ATGAACCCCTAATAACTTTTAAAATTGGAGCTGTACAGAAAAAAGAGGACTTGAACACAAACCAGTCTTACTGTAACTACATGTCAACATCGCAAGCAGGAGGGAGAAAAATTTATATTCTGTGTAATCAATTTCTAAAGTTGGTCCACAGCTCCTTAATCTTTGCTGGCAGAGGCAGGATTTATGACCTATACTGCAGCCCATCAACAGAGGGTGCTGTTCTCTGAGTGGCTTCACTCAGCAAGGAGGCAGACTCTGTCTATTCTATATACAGTCTATGGTTTGGATCATGAACAGGTTCATTGGAAACAGATGAGAGTCATGATCGGGCATAAAAGGAGCATCCCTGAAAGGCTCAGTACTTCACAAACAAGGATGGGGACAGGTTCATCCTTTTGTGAGAAACTGCGTGAGCTTAAGTCCAACAGAACAATGTTTCTCATCATACAACTGCAGAAATTTTAGGATCCCATCATTCAAGAAGTTATTCAGCTGCTCTTCTCTGCTTGGGGACGTCATGTCCACAGTTTTAGCTTACACAGGCTTGTTCACAAAAGTTTTTTCCCAAAATGATACTTGGAGCAGTACACTTTGACAGTTTGCGATCAAATCAGGTGGGATTTAATGATTCTTCTCACCATGCTGCCATCGCTTATCCCGAACCCCCGTTGAACTGTCCCCTTTCAAGTCTCCTGCCTCTATCCCTGCTGTTTCTTTTTAATTAGTACGTCAGCAAGAACAAACTAGAGCCACACACGCTGTACGACATTTGTAGTAAAAGTACAGAGAGATGTTCAAGGTCTATGTTTCAGCTTTCATGGTCAAAGACAGATAAAATTTTAAACACAATGATCTTATCTCTTTAGCTTTCATGGACATGGATGCAGTGGCCTCATTCACAGTATCATGGTTTAAAACAGACAATCATCTAGAAAACTTCCTCAAATACAGGATAGTCACCACACAATATCTGAGCTTTATTTTGTATTTCTCTCAGAACCTCACTTTTTAATCACTTCTGATTTCCCCTAAACTGTAGATGAACACCCAACTCTCACTTTATGATTCAAAGTATGAGAAGGTGTTGAAATAGTATGTGCTCAATCAAACTGAGAAGATAGATCTGCAGGCTCATTAAGGAAAGCTGCGTGCTGATTCTGTGGTTGGGGGATGCAGTTACGCTAATTAGTCCTCATACTTTAAATCAAAAGAGAGAATGCAGACATGCTGCTTTTATGTAAATATATTGAAGTCTAAGTAATGTGAATTTAGGTCACGGAGTTCTGACCACACACATATGTAATTATATATATGAATAAATACATTACATGTTCTCCAGTGTGCAGAGAGCAAATGCTGGATGTTCAAGTCATTTATTTTACAAGCTCATGTTTATAAAAGGATGAGAAAAGCTTCCCTCTGCACGACAGAGCACATATGGCCTTCTAGAGTAAATAGAGAAAATGATTTCGCCATTAAACACAGCTGGCTGGTATTCATGGTTTTAATAGAGCATGCTCATAAATTCTGAGACGATGGCTTCCAGCAGCTGCTTGTTTGTCGCGAGTTCTCGGCCAATCTATTACGGACTGCAGCGGGGTGACGCAGCTCAAGGAAGAACATTTATGATCATTTCTTTATCATTTCCTTGAAGTAATAATCATCATATTAATCATTTTGCACTGCAGACGCAGTAGTTCTTCTGCCTTAGCGTCTAGGTCTGATTGCATTTCCATGAAGAAATGATCATAAATGTTCTTCCATGAGCTGCGTCACCCCGCTGTAGTCCGTATTGGACTGGCCAGAGGTCTTAACAAGCGGCTGTTGGAAGAGAGTAGGTGAGTTGTGTTTAGTCTCTTTGCTAAAGAAATTAGGCAAAGTTAAAAAGATGTTTGGTGGCTAGTACTATGGCTGGGACCCTATATGTACTGTTGATGAAGTTAGGTGCTGTTCTGAGCATTATTTGTGGCTACAGAGTGGCGTTTTGGTTGAGGTTTGTTGATGGCTCCTCAGACCGCTGTGTATTGCTATCGTGCGGTTGTTACTAAAGTTGGTATAACTAGAGAAGCAAGCAGTCGACAACATTCATCTCTTGAGGGGGTGTCTAACTCGGTGTTACAGTGTATTTGACCCAAAATTGATTTTATACTAGAATATCCCTTTAACTCTCAGCCCTCAAAGACCACCTCTCAAACGGCTTTATTGTCAGAGATTTAACTCTGTGACTCCAGCCTCCTTTCATTCCCTTGATGCATTAATTTTTGTCCTCAGTACCCTACACTTCTTGGATAATGCAGTTAACCCCTGGTCTGGTGTTTTTGTTATTTGTTCAGAGAAAGCAGCAAATTCACAAACTGATAAAGGAAGTGCGTCTTCAACAGCATATGGAGAACTTGTGCAATTTACTGCCTCTGTGTAACAGACTCAGATAATAGCTACTGCATGAACACACACAACGCAAAGGCCAGCTGGCAGGAGCACACATCACCAGAGCAAATATTGACCCTAATGCTACAAACCCAGCAATAAACACGCGCTGCACTCTGCGCACACGTACTTCGTCCACGCTTTGCTGCACAGCACGTGTGTATCAGGATGAGCAAACATGGATTTAAAATCACTAAATGTGTCACTTACCTTGATGGATTAAAAATGGGATTATCCCGGAAATCAAGACCTGCCCTGGATCAGACTTGTCCATACTGGGTCCATTTCGGTTCACACAGAGCAGTGAAGGTCGCCCTGTCGCTGGGCCTAGCTGTCCTGTATCTATAGACCTGATTTCCATGGACCAGGTCCAGAAACTTTGCCTTAAGTCCATTCTTCCATGAGGTCCGGTTCTGGTCCCGGAGAGCAGCAAATCTTTGATAATCCAATTCGGGTTTGAAGAAGTGGATCCAAAATAACTATGTGATGAATTTAGCTTCATATTTCCTGCAGCTACTGAGTCCGAGAGAGTAGAAAACAGTAAAATACTGTTTTAATCTTGGGTTTAGTCTGGGGTAGTTGGTGGCTCTTTGATCGAAAGTAGTGATTGATGAGTCCTTTAAATTTTAAACAGAAGTAATTGTGTTTTCTAGAGTTTTAAAACGTAATCTTTTAGAGGCCTTGTCGCTGCAAACAGTGGTAAACTTCCCTCGTTGAACAGCTGATCACTCACGTTGTTTTACGGTCGCGCCCTGACCAGGTCCTGTTGTATCGAACGACTAATGCGCATGTGCAATTTGACAACGTGAGGCCCAGGTGGACCGGAAACACATAATCAATCAGTAAATTTACAACCAAACCCCTCATCAACATTTTAACAGCGGCTTCTTCATTTTACCAAGTAGGTTAGAAAATATCGACCCATTTTAATATTGACTTATTTTTAAAATGTTATATAACAATATCCCCCCTGTTCTCATTTTAAGTGGCGTGGCAGCGCCAAAGCGCCCCCTATCGACAAGCCGCCAATGCTAAAAACAATAAAAATGACCTAAAATAAACAAATAGTGTTCTATACTAGTAGAAAAACATGAATGGATAATACAACCCTGTTTGGGTGCTGTGTTAAATGTTGATCAATAAAACTGATAGTTTTAATTACTTTTTAAGGGTGTGGCAGCAACAAAGAGGGTTGTATTATTCATCTATGTTTTTTCTACTAGTATATAACACTATTTGTATATTTTAGGTAATTTTTATTGTTGTTAGCATTGGTGGCTTGTCGATAGGGGGCACTTTGGCGCTGCCACACCGTTCAAAATGATGATGGGGGAATATAATCAAATAAAATTTTAAAAATAAGTCAATTGTGGTCAATATATTTTTTACCAAATTGGTCAAATTCAGAGGCCGTAGTTAAAATGTTGAGGGGTTTGGGTGTAAATTTACTGATTGATTATGTGAGGCCAAGGTGGGCCAGAAACATGTTATTTATCAGTAAATTTACACCTGCAAAAAACCTTTATCCATTTTTTAACTGCAGCTTCTTCATTTTACCAAGCAGGTTAAAAAAAGAATATTGACTGTAATTGACTTAAAAATATTATTTGATGATTCCCCCCCATCCTCATCTTGACCGGCGTGGCAGCACCAAAGTGCCCCCCACTGCTAACAACAATAAATATGACTTAAAATATACTCATACTACTCCATACTTGTAGAAAAACATAAATGAATAATACAATCCTCCTCCAAGAAATGTTTTGGTGCTGTGATAAATGTGGATCAGTAAAACTGGTAGTTGTAATGACTTAAAAACAATATTTCTTTTTCCAAAAGTGAAGAGAAATTTCATCTCAAGCTTAAACATAAACTTAATTTTAGCATAGCTTTTTTGTTATATTTTTGTAAAACATTAAAAAATAAGTTTTAATATTTGATTGGCATCTTTGCACTATTTCTAATTGGATACATGGCCTTTTGCACTCTTTCTGAATCCCCTTCGCCTCACTGGTGCTGTTAATACTTGCTTTATTCATATCTTACTGTGAGGAATGATTTATTTTAAATTAAACAATTAAAAAGTCCTTTACTCCTCACAATTATGAAAATTATCATCCAATGAAGGTCATAGTCTCGAGGCAGGTTCAAAAATCTCATTAAATTGTTTTAAATAGTTCTGACTCTGGACCACAGGGAACCATTTTTTTTAAATCCTTTTTTATTAGTTTATCTACATCATTCTTGTCTGCTACGTTGGTTCAAAATTGGAAGTACAATCTGCTGCAAAAAACAGCCTGTTATGAAGGCAGTGATAGCAGGACACCTCCAGTTTTTTACTCTCTGTTCTGAAATCAAGCTGGTGTTTTCCTGGTTGGCTTGGCAAGACAAAGTTCAGCCACTGAGCGAGAGAAACCTATGAAGAGTGAAATACTGGTGCAACTTTCCACAGTATATATCTAATAGTGCAAAACTATTTGCAAACTATTTATTTGATTGAAAGTAATCTCAAGTTCATGAATTAATGAGCTCTTCCAAACAAACAAAACAGAAAGGACTAAATGAGGATCGACAGCAATTCAAGAGCAACTTTATTGAAAACTGTTTTGATCAGTGATATCAATCAGACAGCGATGTGGTAACGGTCAGACTCAGACTTTTTAAAAGCAAGAAAAAAAACTGTTTTTTCAAATAAATATTGGATATGTACTTGATGGAGCAAAGAGTTCAAAGCCGATTTCATATCAAAAAACAGGACGATTGATTCAACGGGTTAGAAAACATGAATATGTTGTAAATGGGATATCTTCAGTTTCTGTGAGCAACACCAAGAAAACTTATTTAACAAGGAACACTCAAAATGACTTGGAAAGTGGATGATGTTTTTAATAAAAACCAGGTCTTTACTCGTCTTTAAGGCAGTAACAGCGATTCTTAAATCAGCAGCTGCAGATCTAAAGGATGTCAGATTGTCTGTTTCTTATTATAATCCTAATTAAATACATTAGAGAAGAAAATAAATAAAATAAACAACATGGCAAGATAAAAATAATCAAAAACAAACAAACAAACAAACAGATGTCACCCTGTCCTTAATCCCTGTATCCCTTTAACCCCCAGTCCCTGGAGTGTAACTAATCTTTGGCCTTTGCTTTTATACCACAGTGCTTTCAGTTAGTCCCTCTTTCAGTAACTACATGAGGATCCCTTTTGTTGATCCCTTTACATTTTAGGGTTTCTCTGCTACAGTATAATCTGTTCTCTGTCCTTCGGCAGGGTTTTAGTCTTGTACTTGCACCAAGAAACACTGTGAGTCGTCGTTAGTCAGTCATAATCAGTCTTTTAAGGCTTCACTTTTCCATAGTTGACACTCAGTGTTTCTTTAACCGCTGTCTTAATGAATACCACTCTAGTGTGTAATGTGCTGCCATGAATAAAAGATTTCTACTTGAAGTAAAAGGTGCTAATCATAATGTTAAAACTTGATCTGAAACTATGAATGTACTGTAATAAAATCCACCTCTGATTCAATAAACTATAGTGCTCATCTGAAACTATTAATAAAAAGTACTCTCAATGCCGAACTCATGCAGGTGAGTTTAATGTCGATACTCTCTTCTTTCAAAGTTGAGCTGGATATTAAAGCACAAAGCTTCTATTTTTTTACCCACTAATATTCATTCAGCTGTTTCCATTGTCACTTTTAAAAAGACTCACTTATTTAAACAGAGCTTTATCTCTCCCTGTTTTAACTAATGATGTATTTATGCCATTGTTTGTTATTGTTCTTTGATTTTACTTTGGTGTTTATGATTGTATTTTGAATTTTTTACTGTGAAGCACTTTGTGAATCTTTTCTATGAAAGGTGCTATATTAAATATATTTTACTTACTTACTATTTAATGCTAACACAACCTCCTAATTTTCAATCGAGCTTTTTTTCTACAGTGTCTATCTCTTTTTTTTATTCAGAGGCACTGTGTGGAGGTTTCCCGTCATCAGGCTGTCTTGTGAAAGTCTTTTTTAAAAAGTGTACAAATATGTCGTACAGCTTGTAACAGTCATATGTCTCAAAAGGTGCTACTCTTTACACACACAAAAACAACAACTTGTGATTATGAACTAGTTTCTGCAGTTATAGACTAAAAATCAGATAAAGGGCTCGTAGTCTCAAAGGTGGACTTGAGTCAGATTGAACACTACAGCGATAAAGATCTGAGCTCAGGTCCAGGTGTGTTGGGACTTCATTTTGCTGGCCCGGCACAGGAAGTCAGTCTTAGAGGCTCTGCTTTCTACCTGTCCGCTGCTGCCGCCTGAAGGATTCAGTTCTGCTCTTCATTCTGGATCCTACAGGCCACAGCCGTGATCAGTGCTGCTCCCTTTCCACTTCCATCCTCTGACTTATGGAACGTCACCTGACACTGTGGGGCCAAGTCCTGCAGAGTCTCTTGCATGATGCTGGAGAAACTTGAGGGGAAAAGGGACAAAACAGGATTAGGATATCAGGTATGAATTCAATCAACGGTGGATGTTTCTTTAGGGTCAGTGTTACCGCTCAAAGCTTGACTGTTTCTGGACTTTGTAGTCATTTCAAAATTTTACTCTCTTCTGATTCAAAGCTTAAGTTAGCATGAGAGGTTTGTGCTTTGTGGGACTTCATAAAATACTCTTATGTTAATCAAAGATAAAACCCGACTGATCCTTACTGAGGGTGCGTCTTGTACAGGGTGCCGTCCACTCCCACCGTAATGGAGAGCTGATTCAGGTTGCGGTTCTCTCTGATCTTGTCGACCACAGCTGCTAAGCCTGCGCCGCAGAGCTGAGCTGCACGGCGGGCGACCACGCTGCACACCTCCTTCACCAGGAAGCTGTCGTCACACGTGGAGCTGGTGAGGCCCAGGTGCTGCAGAATGGAGCGCACCTGTCGCATTGCCAGACGGTCCCTTGAGAATCCGACAGCATGACAAGAGTTACTAATGAGAACTTGAGAAGAATAAAACTATAGCTGCATCAGTGTGCACGCGACACCTGCTGATTCAACTACTGCTTGAGTCAGATGGCAGAGAAGACAGCGTCTATATTACCATTAGTCTTAGTTTTTAGGAGAAAAGGACAAAAATATTATCAAGGTGCAACGTCAGCTGTGCCTGGAAGACAAACACTTGCTCTTGACTGGAGGTATGAAGAAGCAGCTGTCACAGTGTTGGCTGTGCTTGTGTCGTACTGCATCTCTGTGACCGTTTTACTGTGAGACTGTTATCTGTGTTGGAGTGGGTGTACTTTCTGTGCTGTACATCTGCATATGTGTGTGAGTGGGTCTGTGCAAGCCAAGCAGGTGGAGTGCTTAGGGAGAGGATCCGTCAGTGGTAAGAGTTGTTGATAGGTCGTGCTACCAGCAGTTCAAAGAGACTGAATATGGGTGTCTGAGCTGACAGTAGCAGAAGACTCCAGACCTCCTGTTATATTTACACTAAACCAGACTGTTTGGAGTCTAGATACCGGGTAAAAACTTTCTGTGTGCTGTGCCTGCACCACTAAATCCTGCATCAGCTACTGAGGAATCAGACCTTTGGTGTCAGTGTTCAAGTTTTTGGTAACACCAGACCTCGACAGTGCGACCATTTCACTCACATTTGCATCTATAAATCCAAAAATGCATCTAAAAATAGATGTGTGTGAATTTTTAAATGTATTTAGGGGCACATATGCGCATTAAAAAAATTAGCCAAGGCAACAAATGTTTTTTCATGTAAATACAGCGGTGAAGTTAGTTTCAGGTTGGATATTCGACGGACATTCACTGTGGATCTACCGGTGTCTTCTCACTCTCCATAATTGGGAATAGCAACAGCAGCGCGGTTAAATCTACTTAGCATCCTCGTTGTCAACATCGGGTGTTGAATAAGGGACCGTCAATAAATTTCCTGTTGATGTTCTCAAAAAAGGCGGTTTTCCCTCAATAGCTTCCATGTCATGTGACCAATTGACCTAAAATTGATTTAAAATAATAATACTTATGTTGACTCATAAGACACACCTCTTTATTTCCCTAATATTTGTGAAAAAAGTGTCAAGCCCTGAACACCGTTTGGCTTCAGCGTTTGACTGTTGTTTGAGAATGTAATGAGTTAGCAGAAATCTTCAATCTTGAATGGTAACGATTGATTTTTGTTAATAAGGTTAAACAACACTGATAGTTTGTATTAAAATTCTGTGGTTACATTTTCAGTTTTAAGTTTACTTTGTCGACATGTCTTCATGCTTCATCCTTTTTTTACTTTTCAGGTACCACAGGGTTTCTTCAAAGGAGAGACACTGACACCAAGAAGTCTGCCACTCACCTTTCAATCTGTGACAGGAATTTAGTTTCAAAGATTCCCCGAGTCTTGAGGCGCTCAGACAGTTTGCCTCTAAACAGCAGGCCTTTGGCGGTGTAATCCATCAGTATATTCCTTACTATCTCCCCCAGGTACATGCCGCTGATCATCTTCTCATACCTTTAAGAAAAACACACACAAATTGATTACTCCCAACAGCAACATATTGGTAAGGAGGCAGGAATGAGGCTGAAATCCGCTCTGAGGATTTGTTGCACTTGTAATATCTATATGGAAAAACTAAATCTATAACATGTCTACAACAAAGAGATGAACAGCAGCTCATTATTTTCTGCAAAAATAAAACTCCTTTGCAGTTTGGGACCGTCTGTATCACATGTAAGCCCTGAGCAATCCAACAGACTGCTGTGTTTGGATTGAAAGTACAAATCAATCTGCCAACAAGTGGCAGACAGTAGGAGGTTTGGCAGTCCTGTTGCAGCAGGGGACAATAACACTGAGCCCTCTCCTGGAACAACAGACGCCTCTTTAATATGAGCTGCTGGAGCCTGAGGGTTTCTCTCATCCCTCTGTGTTTATACTTGGTCTATGTATCCTTTGTACTTCACACTGCCCTCCTTTCTCATGTTTGGTACACAGTGACAATGTTCTCTGTTATGATTTGATCCCATTTTCATTCTCATGAGAATATATATCGTCCTCTGCCTGCATTAAAAAAGCACTGGTTATGTCAATGCCGCCACAATCAATCCGAAGCTCTTGGTGCCTCGTGAATGCACAAACTGACTACATCCTTAAAATAAACTGTGGACATACTTTAGTTTTAAAGCTGAATACTGATATTCAAAATGTTTTCCCTCTACAACCAGCTAAACCAAGGAGATTTGTTAAAGAGAGGGTCTACGGCTTATTTTCAGGCTTTGTATTGCCAAAATAATGGCCCTAAAGTAGCTCTCTGTGACTTAAAGCACCCTTTTTTCAGCCTATGTCTAAAATGATTTATTTTAGCTACAGTCTCTTTAAGCCTCCGGCACCCTGGAAGCTTCCTCCACTGTTGCCGTACACTTTCAGGGGGGGATTCACCAATCAGCTATGTCACAAGCTGAGCAGATTATGCACAGCTCTCGCAGAGGTCTTGTGTGATTTTTTTTTGAACGAGCCTTTCAGAGTGGCCAGCGGTCTCATCCTGGGATTACCTTAACACACAGTTGCCTCACACTGAGCAACTTCGCCTATGTTTAGTCTAGAGATCCTACATTCAAGGTAATATTGATCTGTACACCACGACAAAGAACTTTCTTTGTTTGTCTTTTTTTTATGGCTGCACATGAGGTGAAGTACTGACTGTTCCTGTGTAGACAACGACACTAAGGCCCGAACTACACGTATATAGATATTTATGTATCAGGATATTTTTGTACTCCCGTCTAAATAAATGTATCTGTCCACACGTGTTAGTTCTCAAAACTATCTGCGTCCACACGTAGCCTTCAAACTCAATCCTATCTGATGCCGCTTAAAAGAAATTCAGCAACAAAGCTAACTGATTGGCCGATGAATCGTAACAACGTGATGCGTCATGCATTGTTTGCGGAAGCTACGCTAGTGCGTCGGGTCCATGTGACGGACCATGTGACCAATAAAAGTATTGGCCACAGCAGACGCGTCTGTGAGCTGGCTGACTGGTGGATGTAATTGTATAAAACAAGGTTCACTTGCAAGGCTGAAATTAGCCCCAAAAGGGCAAAACAAACGTAAAGAATACCCTGTCTGTCCGCCATCGTTGTTGTTGTTTTTCTTTTTAATTCGAATGCGCGAGCTGCGGTTTGACGTCATCGATCCGTAAAAGTCCAACCACACGAATCCACTACGGATACAGGACACAGATATTTTTTTACTTCTCCACTTGTTTTTTCGGATTCAGATTCATCTGGTTTGAGTGTTCCAAACTCCCGTTTTGGTGTGGTAGGGAGGCCTATTCGGACATAAATATGTGCGGTTTGAAATATATCCGCATTCGTGTAGTTCGGGCCTGAGTTATCCAATGAACCTTCTGTAAAAAAGAAAGGTAGATGACAAGACATAAACTCAGCTGAAATAGCTGGAAAGAACTTTGTGGACACTACTCCTGTAAGTGATGACGTTTGTTCCTGAAATCTGCTCCTTCGTAACTGAAGCACTTTGAAAATGAAAAGCCGTGTCTTTGATTCGAGGCTGTACAAACTATCAATTATAGCAGAAGGGCCATTAGCACAGTATAGCTCTACCTGCGGACCTCTGGGTGTTTGCAATAACTGAAGGGAAGAAAACCTCTTTTCCAGTCCTGTGCAAATCAACCCTGTCTGAAATGTTGTAATTAAAACTTCCAGGTCAAATCACTTCCATATTTGGAGCACACAGAGATACACTCCATGTGACTCTACATGTGCTGTGCAGCGATCCGCCAATCACCTCGCTTGTCTGCTGAGAATTACTTTCGGAACATTACTCATCACTGTTTAGCTCAACAAGTAAGAATTGTATGGGTTTTAAATTGTTCATTAACGTGGACCACTCTACTACAAGCAGTGCGTGTTTTGTGAGGTGCATGCAATTCTCGGAGGACATGCGTTTCTCAGCACAACCCCGGTAACAACAACAACAACGATCGCAAACTAAGCAACAAACAGAGAAAACCACCAAAGATGAAGATTTGTTGCCAAAAAGAAAAGGAAAGTCAGTTATCTGGAATTATTTCAGTTAAAAGATGGATAATGTCGACCAAAACACGAGTTCTGTGTTCATCTGTTTCCACAATAACGTCCCAGAACAATAAAAGCTACAAAGATCTCTGAGACAGACAGAAGCCATTCTACTAACATTCACAAAAAGAGGTAAGATCAGTGCAGGTTAACTGTCCTCAAGATTTCAGGAGTGCAGCATAACATTAAGTTCTATTCAGGTCATCTGGTGAAAATTCCTGTATTTTTTAATATCGCAGGGTTGAAAAAAATCGCAATGTTAGTTTTTTCCAATATCGTGCAGCTTTAGATTCTACTATGAATCCTGCGCTCAGATCTGTGCGAGATTGATAAATGAGGGCCACTGTCACCAATTAGGCTGATCCAAAGATAATGTAATATAATACTTGATTTTACATGACCTTCTGAACTCTAATCGTTTCATTCAGTCAAATTAATCTCTAAAGTGAATTTAAAAAAATATTTGCCATTGACCGGTACACATCCAATCTTTGACTGTAAATCTATTATGCAATGTAGACCTGCGGCTAACACAAGGGTCATCACACCACAGTAATGGGTAGCAGTGCAGGCTTATTCACAGTATTTTCCTCATGACAGTGAATGACCCACAAGGACTTGGTGTGAAAACCATTTTCAGTTTGTCTTTCTTGTTACTATAAAAAAAAGGCATGAAAGGTCAAACTATTCTCTATCTGCAGATATTCCCTTGACACTTGATGTGATGCAGTTTAGAGGACATATTTGCAGAAGTAACCGGTTAAATCACATTCTTCACATATTACTCATACTGTACCTTTGCTTCCCAGGATAGTTAGAGCTCTCATCGACAATGCGATCATACTGGGTGCAGAAGTCATCAAGTTCCCCGTTTTCACCAAACGCGCCCCACTCCATGTTGACACACATTAGACCATTGTCGCCCTCCACCAAGTCGATGTTCCTCATTTCCTCCATGTAGCAGACGTTGGTCCCTGTACCTGTGTTGTTAGAGATACAGTTATGAAAAGGTGCAGTTCTATTCTCTTCTGAAGTGTCCTGAGATTTTATGAACCAGTGCCATACGAATGACTAATGACTTGAAAGTTAGACCAGATTGCAGAGAGGTGAGGAGGCCAGGCCCCAAAAGAAGTAGCAGGTGGGCACACAGACTTACCTACAATGAGTCCAACCTCACACTTGCAGTCCTCGTAGCCGCATGTCATCATAGTCCCGACTGTGTCGTTCACCACTGCCACAAAGTTCAAGTCAAACTCCTGGAAACCGTGAAAACGGACAGATTTATTATTAGGGTTTGTTTTCAATCTAAACATCGAGCATCTGGGATGTACAGCGACACCTCTCTGAGCTTCTACATTTTTACACTCCGTCCCGGTCTCTCAGGTCAGCTGATAAGCTGCTCCTGAGAGAGCCTAAAACAAAGCGGAAGGACAGAGGGGATCGTGAATTTGCTGTTGCAGCTCCTCAACTCTGGAATAACCTGCCTCAGCATATCAGACAGACCTCCTCTCACCTCCCACCTCTTCTCCTTGGCTTTTAACACTCAGTAGGAGGTTGATTTCATTTTATTGTCTTTTATGGATTTTATCTGCTTTTTTTGTACTGTGTTTTTATCTAACTTTATTTGATCTTCATTGCTTTAATGTGCTTCTGTTCTGTTACTTGCTGTATTTTTATCTTGCTGTGCAGCACTTTGGAAACCTTGTGTTTGTTTAAATTGTGCTATATAGATAAAATGGATTGGATTGGATTGGACACCTTCATCCACCGAACCATTCATCATTTCTTTGTTTATCTCAGCGAGGAGGCTGGAGATGATCCCAGGTTAGAGGACTGAGCTGGAACCCAATCGTGTACAGAAGAAAAGAGCGAATTCTGCTCAAGATACGGACGTTGTGATACATAACAAAGGGAGAAAAAAAAACATCTACAACTGGCAGCATTTTGAAGGCTATCACATTCTTGCACAGATTTTTCAGCTTTGTGATTTTTTTTTCTGTCTTCCTGGCAATCGGTAATCAAAAATAGTTTCCCGGGGTTAAAATGAGGTGAGCAACCTGAGCAGCAGGTTACCTGGAGATCACATAGTTGGGAATCTTAGGATAGCTTTTCAAAACCTCAGTGAAGTTTGTTTAAACACACTGAGGCACAGTAATAAGGGGGGAGGTCTGGAGGTCCTAATTCCCTGAATTTTAGTGGAATGAAATTACATGGGATGGGAACAGACAATTGATAATGCTTAATAGTAAAAAAAAAAAACTGTTAATTACCAGTTTAACCCAGTTTGACTTTGAAAAGACACCTGAAAAGGCATTTTGGTAAATTTTGCCCGCCTGAGAGGCACATTCCTGCATTTCATAATGCTTGGTCAACTCCAGTGGCACCCAAGAGGGCATATCCGGGGAACCACCTGACCCAGTCCACTTCAGAGTACTCCACTGAGTATATTTATTTAAGATTTCATGGAAACCCCATAAAAGATCCAACTTTGCTTAGGAGTGAGGGGAAAGGATTGTCGTGAACAATCTACTTCAGGGTTTTAAACCTGCTCAACATGCACACTCAATCACAATATTACCCTGCTGAGTTCAATGTGGGATAAAGTACATTGTCTGCCAGACAGAGTACACGCTGTCTGTAAATTGGTAGAGGTATTATTTTCTCAAGAGTCACTTAGATTAAGTCAGTTCAAAAGTATTGTGTTGTGTGCTGTGTACTCACCCTTCTGCGGCGAACAGCATCTTTGAGCAACATAATGACATCCTGCCCCTCGCAGCCACTCGCCTTGAAACCCTTTGTCCATTTCAGAAGAATGCCCTGGAAAAAAAAAAAAAGAGAGAACAGCCGCGCTTTGTGTTTACGTATGCAGTTCGGTACAACTTATTTTGATAAACAGCAGCAGTATTTGACTGACCATAAAGAAGATCGAGACAGGAGCTGCATCAGTTTTTTTTGTTTTTTTTAATCTATTGGATGATGCAGGTACATATGTCTGAAAAATGTTGATTCACTCTGTGAATATTCTATTTTCCAGCCAATAGAAATAATGTCACATAATGTCTGCTCATGTCTTTCACTCTCGACTGGCTCTTCACCTTTTCCCTGCTTTCCTCCAGAGACAACAACAACAACAACAGCTGGTCAAAGAGAATAACATATAGCTACACGCTATGGCTCAGTGAGTGTGAGATGTATGTGGGAGTTGATAGACATGCCCAACACTCATACAGAATACAAACATTTCCCCTGTTCCCGTCCACACCCAAGGTCATTATGGTGCCATTTGTACAATAACAGGTGTTGATCAAACTTTACCTGATCCAGTTTTTTTTGGTGACAAGGGAAGGAGAATGTAAATCCAAGAGGTAAGGATGCACCTCTCATGCCCATGTAATCCAGAAAGTCAGCGATGCAATCCACAATGTGGTTGAAAAGCTGGAACACATAAAAAAATAAATAAATACAAACAAAAGCAGGAGAAGCGATAATGAGACGATTCTTTGACTTTTGATCATTTGTGCAGTTACAAACAGTGAGAGCTAGTTTTGCAGTCTAGTTCACTTTGTCAGTATTTTTCAAACACTTGCAGCAGCTTCAGACAGCATGGAGGCTACAGTGTGTGACATCTCAGGTTTTCCTGTGTCTCTGTAATGGCCTCATTAGTTGCAGCCGTAGGCCTCGTCTACCCCCAAATTTAATTTTTTTATCCAGAAGAACAATATTTTAGGGCTGTGCTTACTCGATTTTTTCCCGCATCCATTTACAGTCTATGGTTAATTTCATCAAGAGGAATGTAACAAATGCTAATGGGGGTGTTTTCAGAGCACCCCTGTTTCACAGGTGTCTCAGAACACCCCCCTTGTTTTCACCATTTTGGATTCGCCCAAGCCGCTGAAGACTGGCAGGAGACAGGAAGATTGAAGAGCGTCCACGTTAATCAAAGTCCGGTGGTCTGCTGAATATTCATTTTTATTTTAAGCGTTTCAACTTGCTTTTTGTGTTTGATTGCCTTCTTGTGCTGATATTAGTATATTTTCACGCCGAGACACGCTATGCTGAGCTGCATCGTCCCCTGCCGCAGAAGGGTTTGCCGTCAGAGTCAGAAACCCGCCCCCGATTAGTCGATTTTTGGTTGAAAATTTCAGGGTTTTAGTCGACTGAGAATTTCTTTGGTTGATTACAGCCCTACAATATTTATTATATTGAACCCAGGCTTTCATCTACATTTAAAACAGCGACAGAGAAAAGGGAGGGAGGAGACTGTACTGAAATGTGCTCAAAGTGTTGAAGTCAAGTTTTGTTGTGGAGTTGTAATCTCTCAAATCTGAAAGTTTGACAGAAAGTTTTTCATTCTTACTGTCGGTGTCTGTTGGTTCCAAATGAAAGTCATCTGTCTCTGATAAGTACTGATAATGTGTATCCTTATCACCAATATAAGACTAATATCAGCTGACTGCTAGTTGAAACACTTTAGGTGATGGTTATTTCACGAACTGAATGTGCTAACATTAATAGTCTGTTATTTATTGACATTCAGACAAAGCTGAAAGCAAAGACCACAAGAGGAAATATTTCCTGCAGCTGGATGTTATGTAATATTGTAAAAGCCGGCCTGCAGCCAGTGTGATTCATAAAAACTTATTTAACAAAGATCAAGGCAAATGCTTGATTTAAGAGCTGTGCAAGTCACTTCTTTCACAAAATATTGGTCCGAGGGTGAAAACAAAGTAGTCTCTTGCCTGTAAAAATAAATGATGCTTTTGCTCTGAAGAACTGCAGGAGTGTTATGTTTCTCTTTGTCTGTAACATAATCATAAATACCTGTAAATACCTCCAGCAGCCTTCAAAGCATGCACTGAAATACATGTATTAAAATGAGTCTGTTTCCTTTGCCACCACACAGACTGACTTCCTGTCTGAAGCTGGCGATGAGAGAACATTGAATTTACTCATGAGGACCATGATATGAATATTTTTAGCAGAGAGAAATTGGATGTATAACGATCCAATCTCCGCTCAGTGCAGTACATGCTGAACCAAACGATCCTTTGCAAATGTCAAATGAATTTAAATTGTGATCAATAACTGAGACTGCTTTGATGTTTCCTCAGTTTTTGTATTCAATGATTTCATTAATTTCATTGAAAATACTCAAACCCTGATATTTATTTTTTTACCTCTTCCCCTGTGCTCTGCATGGTCTCCTGTGGGATCCCATAGATCTTTTGGTGCATGTCCACAGTTTGTTTTGTCCCGCTTCGCAATTGCACCAGCAAAACTCGAAAGCTGGAGCCGCCGAGATCCAAAGCCAAGAAGTCGCCATGTTCTGAGGGGCCATAAAGAAAATAACAGATGCTTGTAAGCTGTAGGAGATGTAACACTCAGCTTACATACATTGAAGTAGAAGTCATTTTTATCCCAAAGCTACCTGTTCCATCTGGTGTGGATCTCACATAGGTGGGGAGCATCTTAACACTTGACTGTTCATGGGTTTGCCTCGACAATCCTCGCACCATCGCCTCGCTCATTCGATTCTTCACCTCTAGGAGCTGTTCGCGGCTCAAACGTAGTGTGTCAAGGATGCGCTGACGCTCGGCATTTTGAGCAGCAAGGCGGTAGGCAACTGCTGTTACCATGGCGGCACCTTTCCCGCTGCCACACTGAGATTGCAAAAAACGCACATCGCAGTCTGGCACAAGCCGCCGAACCATTTTGTGGAGCCTCCTGGAAAATCTAAAAACAGAAAGTACATCAGTCTCAGAAACAGTGTTGTTTGTCATCACCTGTGCATTTCCTTTTCTCTTGCTATGCTCAGCTGAGGCGCCAAAATGGCAGAGTGCGCTCATTGCTCACCTGGTTAAGCTCATACCATATAGGTTGAGTAAATATGGTCCTTAACTGTGTGACAGCTAGCTGACAAAACAATAAAACCAGCGTCCCAGTCGGCCGGTCCTGTTGTAGTTTACCTTCACAAATTTTTTTCCTCCATAATGATAAAGGAGTGGAATGAAGGTATCTGCATTTTCTAACAACCCTTAAGGCTGTGAGAAAAACAAAAGACTCATAAAATATCCAAACAAAATCAGGGGAACATCTCTCTCCCGCTACAGAGCATCTGACGTTCAGAAGATCCCTCCCTCAAGAGTAAAAACATCAACATTTAGAAATGTAGGGGGGCTGTCTTTTCACTGATTATGGCTGCCACAACTGGGAGTGACATAAAAGAAAGGAACAGAAATACTTAATTGAGCGGCGTCAACGGATTATTCCTGACTGTGCTCACAAGGCCAATTAAAATAATGAATGAATACTAACTGCAGGCACTTTTCACAGTGTGGTTGCTTTCAAGCCATGTTGAGAAGGCGGCGAAAAAGGGAACTTTTGAGTCATTCGCTTTTATTATGATTGTTATACGCCCGGCTATAAATGCCAAAATTTCCTAAGTCACCATTGTCTTTTCTGAATTATAACACTTTCTTCATCATAAATCACAACGTACCGAATCATAATCACTTATTAGAGTTTTCAATTATTTCTGTTTAATGTATAAAAGAATGCAGTTAACCGTGTCTATTTCTATCTGACATAAAATAATTTTTAAAAAGATGATACTCACAGAACAAAAAAACCCATAAAATAATATTGTAATGTAAATGGAATAACAGGGCATTAAGTGGCTTTTTCATTTTCAAATGAAATCTCCACCTTGTATTTATTTCTGTTTTGACACTTACAGATGGCTGCACAGAGATTTCTGAGTCCTTTGTGATGATAATTTTCTGAGCTAACACAAGGGGAAGCCAATGTCAATGTCATGTTATTCTCATTAATTATGATTATGCAATTAGTGGATTTAATGCAAAACACATTAACATGAGATCTGCATTCAGTGAGAGGAAAAAACACGTATTTTTCTATCCTATGTGACTGAACAGACACTGAGTCCCAATTTTGATTCTATGGTGCTTTTGTCCATATTATCAAGATGGATCAAAACACTCAGAGGGATTCTTATGTTCAGACTCTGGAGGGTTGTGTGAGCTCAGCTGTGCTTTTGCACTCTGACAGCTATTGTTTTGATACACCGAATTAGTACACTCTGCGGTATTCTTAAGATAGGGCTCCGATTTCTTTGCTTAGCAACTCACATGACCCTGTGCTGCACCAACTTACTGTGAACAAAGGGGTTGGGCACTGTGTTCCTTTGAGGTAAACACAAAGTAAACTAAGCAAACTGCATCTAGACTACCTTGAAAATCTCATAAAGCTCTTACTGCTGTTGACGGTAAAAAAATAAATAAATCAACTGTCTTCTTTTAAATAACCCGATGTATTGTTCAACAACATACAACATACTGAAGCAATCGACAAAAATGAAAAGAATTCATTTTCACCAACAGCTTATGACTTCAGTGATGATTGAGGAGCTTTTGTTTTCTTTTTTCTCCAGTATTGTCCATCCCGTGGTATGTGCGATTGTCTTCCGCTTCGTTGTCTAAATTGTTTCACAAGATAAAAATGCGTTGAAAGAATATGTACCTGCCAATCAATGGAACCATGAAGACGTGATTAAGCCATCTCTGAAGAAGACTGAATGGAGAATAAAAACTAGTTCCATTAAGTCTGAGATAGTCCTGTCAAGGCTACAGGGATCCCTGCTGCTTGAGTACTTCTTGTGCCACACTTTTCTCATGAAGTCCACTTTCCATCAATATGATTTGTGGCTCACCCTCCTTTTGGGGGATGCTGATGATTGTTGTCTTTTGGACAAGTTAAACAAACATACACAGAACTCAGGACACATACAGTACATTAACATACGTGACATATAACAAATACAGACATCTTGCTCACCCTTCTCCCACACACAGTCCCAACCAACATACGCCCAACATATAAAATAGACAAAACTTATAAAAAAGGATAAATAATCTGAACATAAATGCAAAAAAGTAAAGAAAATAAATCAGAAACATGAGCAGTTTGTTTTGAGATGAGAGTATAGTGCCATTCCAAAGTGATAAAAAGATGAGATTCTGTCTGAAAGGCGAAGGGTTAAGGCAAAACTGAAAAAGGAAAAAGCACTGATCAAATTTCTCCAATAGACTTTTTTTTTTCAACTATTGCTTCCAAAAAAACCTTTTCCTTTTTTAACAAAGGGGATTAAAAGCTCACCAAGAGCCAGACCAGAGAGCTACATCCTTACCCTACATGCTCCACTCTTTATTCAGCTAAAAAGCATCAGATTAAGCAGCTACTCCACGTTGGTCATAAAGTCACATAATAAGCTTCTTCACTCAAGTGTTTGAGAGATATGTAACAGGACCATAGACTGTATATAAGATGGACAGAGTCCGCCTCCTCGAAGCTTATGGGACTGTGGACAAACTTTAGAAATTTATTACACAGAACATAATTTTTTCTCCCCCCTGCTTGTGATTTTGACATGTAGTTATTGTAAGACTGGTTTGTGCCCAAGTCCTTTTTTTTCTGTACAGCTCCGTTTTTAAAAGTTATTAGGGGGTTCATGTTTTCTATGATTGACACCTGGTACAGCCTATGGGCGTTCAGGGATTGCATAGCTCTCCCGGGGGGATACGCTGTTTGAGCCGAGCGTCATCACAGGGACTCTCGGCGACTGCGCGGCCGAATGCGCACAACGCTAGTGCACAGCTCTGGTTTCAAGGAAGTGGAGAAAAACCCGGAATTACCGAGAGCTTTTTGGCTTCAAATCCGTATACAGGCGGAAGGCGGAACCACGTTGTCCATCTTACATACAGTCTATGAACAGGACAGACCAAGATCAGAAACACTTACTCTGTGTGATTCTTGTAAACAGAGCCGTCCGCTCCAATAGTGGCACGCAGCTTCTCGGCTGCTTTGTTGTCCCGGATCTGACGCAGTACCGCTACCAGAGAGGCAGCACACAAGTGGGCAGCCCGCGTAGACACTGTCTGACAAACCCTCTGAGTGGCAAAGCAGTCATCAACCGATGGATCCAGACCAAGACCTCGAAGCACCACTTCAGCTTTCTGAAGGCCTTCTTCATCTCTGCAGGTAGAGCACAATGCAAATACTTAATTTTAACTTTGTTCACATCCCCAATAATAGTACATTTAACAGTGTAGTGTAGTGGGGCAGCTGTGGCTCAGTGGTAAAGTCTCACTCAGAATTTTAAGGGTTCAATCTCCGAATACTGATGGGTAAATAACACAGCTGCCTCTGCAATCAGCACATAAATAAAGTGGGCAAGGGTGAATGTGACCAGTGATGTAAAAACACTGAGCGGTCAGAAGACAAGACAAAGCACCATAGATACAGCCCAGAGCAGTGGATTAAACAGAGTGGCGACACTCCCATAGGCATACGCTGTACAGCCTGGCGGACCCCACTTCCGGGTTATGGAACTCTTAATAGTTCCAACATGACCGCCTGTCACGTCGGACGCCGTGTTACTGATATCGAGGGGACCCCTTTATATGTAAAAATGTGTATCCCAAATGTAATTACGTTTTTTTAGTCAGGAATTGGGATCGATTTTTTTTAGCCACGGTTTGCTCCCACACTCCCCGATGTAAAATATTGTATCAACGAATGTAATGCCAATACTTGTGTAAATGGTATCGAGGGACCCCTTTATATGTAAAATGATTTTAATTTTAGTATGCTCAAATTGTAATTACAAATGTAATTACGTTTTTTTTTAGTCAGGAATTGGGATCGATTTTTTAGCCACGGCCTGCTAGTTGGACGTCGTCAGCTGTAGAGGCCTGCCAAAATTTATTGTGTGACTGAGTTATGAATCACAGATAAATCATCATCATCAATCATATGTTGAGATGGTTACTTATGGGCTTTATTTTAGATTTCAGCCTTTATCAGTTCCCGATGTTATGTGCAATTTATTCTTTTTAGACTAACATAAGTGCTATGTAATTCGATTTTTTCTGCTTATGGGATGATAGAGTTAAGGGACCGCTACTTTTTAAATCCTGTCAGCATTCAAGGCGTATGTTTAACATGGCAAAATGTTATGCAGGCCATGCTGCAAGACCAAAACATTGCACAATTGTTTAAACAGCTTGTAACACCTGTTACTTACCACTTTATTGTATTATTTTCTCTTATTAAAAAGTAACACGTGTTACCAAACTTGTCTTATTTCACTTTTATTTGTCATCCAGCCGCTAAATATACGTATGTGACTTTGACGTGTACACAGTAATCCAATAAGAGTTGCATATGTTGAGTTTTTACGGTTAATTTTAATATTTACCTCTTAAATGTGCGCTCACTGCAGTCTGTCCCGTTGAAGAGCATGGACAGTGCAGGTTGCGTTTGGAACTATGGAGGGTTACATGAACCCCGTGACCGCTCCGGCGGCGAGATCTGAAGTTGTCGCCACTCTGTTTAATCCACTGCTCTGATACAGCCTATTTACCATTTAGAGTGTATGTGCCGTTTTGCATTGCGTGTTTTCTAATATGCAATGCATAAAAAATGTCCAACCGTGACTCTCAACGACCGAGCAACATTTCTATATAGGGAAGTAAAGGAAAATTGCAGACGGAAGACAGGAGCACAATCTTGGTAATGTTGAGTTTGACTCTTCTTGTCAAAATGGTTACAGCAAGTGTCAGAGTTAAGTTGTTAAAGGCCTTTAAATAAGAAATACTTCTAAAAATATATATATATATTTAAGGAGGATGTTTTTAGGCGTTTTGGCCTCTCAGATAGAAGAGCTCATGTTCTCTCACTTCTTCACATGATAAAGAAAAAAGCTTGCCAACACAGACGCTGGAAAAAATGACCTTTTCTGGAGGCAAAGTCAAAGGTGATGATATAACCAAGAACAGACTTGAAAAATGTGTTTAATACCAGCTAACTTATCCCAAAATCATCCTTAAACGTTAAAATTAAGCTCGTTTTACTGGCGAGCCTGTAAACATTGCAAAGCGGTTGCTAAATACCCTTTTCAATAGGCAGCATGATCTGAACACATCCAGTGATGTCCAGCAGCCTCAGGGTACGATAACACAGCTTTAAGCCGAATGCCAACACATGTCAGCCCTTGTATAGACAACAGGAGAAATAGAAGATGTCAGATTAGCAGGTTTTACGTGCCTTTTCAGGCTTTATCAGGTGGTTCAGTGTTACATCAAAGCTCACTTTATTGTTGTTCTTATTGATTTTAATTTCTAAGAGGATACTGTGTGTGTTTGCTCCATACAGCCCCACAGCTCTTTCGTTCTCTTTGCAAACACACAAACTCACTTGTCAGTGTCAATGGAATAGATGTAGCTGGTTTTGAAGCTTCCAGTTGTGAGGAGTTGTGCTGTAGCGTTGCCCTGAAACAGCTGCTTCTCTTTGGTCATCTTCACCAGGATGAGACGCACCATCTCCCCCATGTACATGCCGCTGATCATCTTCTCAAACCTGAGTGAAAATGTGAAAGAAAGAGCAACAAAATATGAATTCAAATCTTTTTTTCATCCATATAAATGGACATCTATCAGCGCAATGAAACATCTTTGCTCATTCCCGATGATGATGATGCATTGAGTTGCATAATCCACATTCAACGCTGTGATCAATTTATCAGAGAATAGGGTTGGGTATCGAGAATCGAGTATCGATGGGGACCGGGACAAACATTTCAATTCTTCAGGAATCGTTCAAATATTAAAATTTCGATTCCAAGTTTCGATGCCGGAGTCCGCCGACCGGAAGAAATAGCCGCCGAACATCAACGTAGAAGACGCCGCTTAACACCGACAAGGATGGAGCATATGAGACGAAGCCAAACAGAAAGTGAAGAGAGACAGGGAGTACATTGCCACCCACAGCAATGCAGCCGCTGTGGGTTTCAATGGACTCTCTCTCTCTGTCTCTCTTCCCTCTCTGAGGCTTCGTCTCAGACGCTCCGTCCTCATTGGTGTTCGGTGGCTTCTTCTTTGTTGGTCAAAAGAGAATGTCAACAGATACAGAAGTCAACATGAGCAGTCACTGGCTTTGACGGGCAGTACTTCGAGAGCTCAATACTGAAATGATTTCCTTTGTGCTTGTTTGTACATCATTTTCTCAGAACACACATATAACCCTGGAATTTCATCAAAATCAATGGCTACCAACAGGCTGAAAGGGCAGAGAGTAAATGCATTTCACCTTACATTTTTTTTCATAACACAATTACCATTTAATTGATTTTCTGTTGGCCTGTCATCTGCAGAGAATTGAATCCCTTCCGGCTGTATGCTAACCTGGAAGGGTTTGGGTGGTGGAATGTTCTGTTTGACCTTCAACAACTGCGTTTCAAACCTTGATTAATGTTCCTGTCACCATGGTTGCTCACTGAAACTGAGCGGAGAAGTGACTTGGTGGATGTAAAGTTAAAATACAATAAAAGATGAAATGGTTCATTTATTTTAGAAAGACTGTGTTTGTTACAGTGTAGTCATGTTATATTAGACCATATACAGTTCATCAGTACTGCTGGTTGTGTAAACCACAAGAGGAGTGGGAAGAGAGAAAAGAAAGCACAAGAGTCAGTGGAGGCAGGAGACTATGTAATCATTTAGGTTTGGTTATTATGTGCTTCAAGGATGAGGAGATGGATTTGAAATGGATGGATGGATTTTACAAGGAGCTGGGGCACGCGAGCTTTTAACGTGAGATATGACATCTTTTCTTAGCTCTTGTCGGTGTAAAAGGAGTCAACCAACAGTACTTTGGCTCAGCTGTATAGTCACCCAGAAAAATGTACGAAACCTGAAAATCAGAAGTTATTCAAGTCGAGCCAAAAATCTAGAAAAGCATGTGCTACTGTCTGGACATCTCTTTCAAAGTGTGTTTAAAACTTGTGACCTTGGTTAGAAAATGACAGTGCTGTTAGAGCTGAAGAGCATATCCATGTTCCTCACGGTAAGCAAAAGGCTGAGGCAAATTCTCTAAAGTGTCTGTATCTTTTCACATTTTGTCAAAAGAGGTTTCCGACAAGCGTTAAAAGGGCTGGTTAACCTGAGCTCAACAGCAGAAAGCTGCTATTTTTATGCCTTTAAAAATGCCTAACAGGATTTCACACGCTTTATTTAGAGAATAGAAATGATGTGCTGGAATGTCAGCTTAACACAGCGTGTTATCTACGGCGTATAACGTTAGAACTCATGAATTAGGTGCTCACACTGTACCTGTGAGTGAGTAATCAGCCTTGACAATAACTATGGAGCCAGATCAGGCTCAAAAGTATTGAAAAGTAGTGTAAGTGGAAAAATAAGATTTGAACCTGAAAAAAATAAAATGGAACCTGAAAGTCTTGAATTTCGAAATTGAACTTTGAAAAATCCCAGAATGCATTAAAAAAACCTGTTCAAATGTAACTTTGATTCTGTTTTTTAATACTTTTGAATAAATTACTTATTTATATTTTTGCCTTGGACGTTTCTGCAAGGTCCTTTGTCTCACCCTGTAGAGAAAGCCACTGTCCAATACTAGTTCTGTAAGTTTCCCAACATGTCCTTGTAAGTCGAGAATGTCTTCACTCTGGACAGATGATAGATGCATATATCATTGTTTCGTTCCATTTTTATGCACTTTTGAAGGTTTTCTTTTGTTCCTTTTCTTTTCTTCCTCTTCGCTTGTCTCGCTGCGAGATGCGGTCATCACCATGTTTGTGTAATTCTGATACTATGGCAACGAGACTCGGCTCCTATTGGACCACGTGACAAAAATCGCTTCACCCCCTGCATATTCGATGTTCGCAAGTATCACTACGCCGCAGAAGGGAAATAGTTCGACACCGAAACACTGATTACTAAAAATCGACAGGATGGCATGAGTAGATATTTTTTTTAGTACTTACTATCAATAGAGCTTCTTTATGAATCATAGTTTATATTGCCCTACTGAAGTGGAACGAACCAACACGATCTCATTCAGTCAATACAGCCTAATTGTAGGCTAAGCTAATGTGTATTCATGCCACTTCCTGAACGCAGGGTGATGGGGTGGGGAAGGAGGGGGAGGCCTGTCACTCATGGCAGACCGCGCCCCTCTCAGTCAAGGCCCGCCCCCACGGAAAAACAGGGTCAAACATGAACCTGAAACTTTTCAAGTTGAATCCGAAAAAAGATCTGAATCTGAAAAATAATAATCTGAAACCGAAAAAAACGTTTTGAATCCGTAAAAATAAGATCTGAATCTGAAATAAATAAATAAAATTCAATCAAAAAAAAAAAAAGTACTCCAAGATCGAAATATACATTGAAGTGAAAAATATAAATAAGTAATTTATTCAAAAGTATTAAAAAACAGAATCAAAGTTACATTTGAACAGATTTTTTTCATGCATTCTGGGATTTTTCAAAGTTAAATTTCGAAATTCAAGACTTTCAGGTTCCATTTTATTTTTTTCAGGTTCAAATCTTATTTTTCCACTTCACTTTTAATTTTTTCACTTACACTACTTTTCAATACTTTTGAGCCTGATCTGGCTCCATAAATAACCAGTCACTCACACAGACAGGAGTAGAAGTCAAGAAACAACTCTGAACAAAGAAAGTACCGTAATTACCTTTCTGAGAACTTGAAGACTTTGCACAGTTGGTCACGGCTGGTCTGTAAGCCCTGAAAGCCCTGTTCATATTGCAGGCAGGATGAAACAGCTGTGTGTGTGTGTGTGTGTGTGTGTGTGTGTGTGTGTGTGTGTGTGTGTGTGTGTCCATGGCTGCATAAGAGTGCGTAGAACCTTTCACACTGTGTTATCTCTTCTGCAATCCTACACCACAATGTGAAATGTCCTACATAAATCCTGTGCCATCATGGGATTAATATCAAAGTACAGGGATGTGATGATAACAGCGTTTGATTACTGCGCTGTTGCCGACTCACCATGTGAAAGGGGCTTTTCTGAACTCCACATCAGGAACTGAAATTCGGGCCGTCTATTATCTTCGACATAAAGTTTGCTTTAACAGTCAGGGACACTCCCATGTGGTCTAGATGATTATTGATGACTTAACACATCTGAAAATCATTGCAACTGTACATCATCCGGAGTCAAGCACAAGGAGTTTAAACTTACAGTTACCTAGCAGCAGTATCATAAGATCATGAGTGGACAACAGACCTCAGGACCTCAGGAATACAGTAAAAGAACAACATTTAAAAACAAAAGCATCTCTAATGCGGGTCTTTTCACGGTCCACTGAAGTCAGGAGCATTATTTTGCTCTAGTAAAGGGAAACTGCTTTCTCAGCTTTATGTTAGGAGCAAGATGGTCTCTGTGAGCTGTAGAAAACCTCTCTGACTGCAGTCAACAGGGTAAAGATGTAACCCTGTGTTCAGGGTTAAAAAAAAATCATCAAACAACTCAACAAAAGGTCTTCGGTCCATCAGCAGAAGAAAAGAAGGTATACTGCCAATCATATAAATTGGTTTCAGGAAAGCATCGAACAATGAAGAAGGCTTAAAGTGGCTACCTTTAATATAAAAAACATGCCTTTCAGTATTTTTCAATTATAGTTGGGAAATCAGAGAATCGATCAGCCAAGCGACAGTGGAAGAAGTCAACTAAGGTGTTTGTGTTTTAATAATGCCTGGAAACACAAAATCTGATGGTTCGTTCAGAACCTGCCCTCCTTTAGGCGTCAGAAAGAGAGTCACTGTGATACGCAGGAGTGTTTTTTCCAAATCATGTTTCATTTTGTCCCAAATTTGTTCTATCCATGTGTATTTTTACAATGTAACCCCATTGTATCCACTGTAAGAGTGTTAAGTTATGTCACATCCACACAGAAGTGATTTATACTTGATCAGCACCTCAGTGATGAAAGAGGAAGAATGATATACTCATTGATGAATATGTCATCTCGCTATGAAAATACAAAACCACCAATTTAAAGTAAAAACTAAATGTGAAATGAGTTCAAGTATTGTTATCACTTCACATTCTGTTTTCACAGGACCAAACCAAACAATAATCCAAAAGTCACTTACAGCTGCTTGCCAGGGTTCAAAGAGCCGGCGTCTATTTCACGGTCAACGTCAGTGCGCAGATCATCCAGGGCGCCATCATCTCCAAAAGCTCCCCACTCTGTATTGACGCACATCCGGCCCTCGTCACCGTCCAGCAGCTCAAGATTCCTCATCTGCTCCATGTAGCAAGCATTCGTCCCGGTTCCTTCAGGGAGAACACAAAAAAGTGTTACAGACCTAAATAACAAAGTTTCTGTAGTTGCTATCAGGCAACTGTGAAGATTTATTTCAGAGATCCTACCAGTCTTCACTTTTTTTGACTTTAACAGCTCTGGTTTGGTTTACCAACTATGATTTTCAACCCTCAATTTAAAGTCTGCTAAGGGCGGAACAAGTCGTATAGTTTTGAACTTTGTCTAGAAGTGTTATACAACATGTTGATAGAACCCAAACTCCGATGTCTGTGTTGACGCTAATATGAATAACATGAGCAAAAAGATTATTTCTAACTAAAGGCGAAGCTTTTTCTGCCAAGTGGAGTCAGCTCGCCACCGCACAGTGAGGCTCCAAGTACATCATTAGTCTGAAGAAGGCTGGGGCTTTCAGCACACTCGAGGCAAATTAATAAAAATAGTAAATTCAGAGATGCTTTTGTCCAGCTCCTTTTACTTTTGAATGGTTCCTCTCTGCTTTCGCCATTTGACAAAACTTTGAGAGTTAAAGCAGAGTACAAGGTTTTCACTGGAGCCGACACTTCAACATAAGCACGCTATTCATCCCATAGTATAGTATAGTATAGTTATAGTTTATTTCGGCTTTGTAACAAGGTACATTCCATTCAGTGACATTTCAATTACATTTGTTTCAGTAATCATACTGTGTGTACATCTGTGCTCTGGCTGCTCTCAACTCAACTCAACTCAACTCAACTTTATTTGTTAAACACTTTAAAACAACCACAGTGGATGATATAAAGTATAAAAGTTAGACAAAGAAACAAGGAACAAGGAGTTAGGGACGGTACCCATGGGTCTGCGTCAAACACAGCCCTGTAAAGCAAATATTGTTGATATGGCTGAGTTTACAGCTACTGACTTAAAGGTGGGGTAGTCAGGATCTGAGGAAGTGCCAGTTTTCTGGAGAAATCTTGAATGTAAACTCTACCCCTCCCAACCAGTTTTCCCCTCAGCTTCTCCTCTCCCCTCCCTCTCTGCTCAAGCAAGCCCCGCCCACAAACAGACGCTCCTGTTCGCTCGTATCGTTTCAATTAAATTCAGATATAAAGCAGATAAATACTTCAGATAATTACAAATGGGGCCCAGTCAAGGTGAAAGTAAAAAGCATTGGTGCTACTGTAGATGTCAACAGACTACCAGCAAATACAATGTTTGCAGGACTTCTACGACTAGGATAAAGTGACGTAGTCCAGGACCCGAGGGAAACAGTTCAGCGGCGCTACAACACAGTCCTGTTTGACGAGAAACACTTCTCTTACAGACACTTGTCTTACTTTGTTAAAGCGGTTTACCTGTCCAGCAGAAAGGTTGCAGGGTCCATAAGATCCCGAAGCGTCCCCCATCATTTGTGCTGATGTTGACCCGGCTTTTTAGCTCTTGTCCAGTCTACCTCCTTTTTAAGCGCCCGCTATTCCACCAGAGCCTCCGGTATTTACTTTGTTTTATTGCTTGTGTCGGCATTCGTGGCCAAAGGAGGATTCAGAAAATTTTTCATACTTTCTGGTTGGTTTCTACTGTCCGATATTGTAGCACGCTAACTTTGTTTGGGCTCGTAAACGTTATTCGAGGACGTGGAGCGTGCCTCACAACCAATCAGCACTAAGAAGCAGCGTCCACCTCGCATAACTAATAGCTATTGACTGATACAAAAAGCTTTTTTGTATATACACCACAAAAAAGATGCTTTTGATGCCTTTGAGATATCACCAATGTTAAGGATCTGGTTACTCTCACATTCAACCTCCAGACTTCACTTACAAAGTTGATGCACAAACAGTAAGAGAGAGGAGATGGATAAATGATACAGACTGTAACATCAGAACAATCCAGGCTGTCAGTCAACAAATTAATCATTAGTTAAGATGCAGGAGTGTTTCCCTGCTGCGGCCCTAATGGCAAATTACAACCCCAGGGTTAGGCTAATGGGTTTGTAGAGGATCTGGCTGGGGGTTCAATTAAATAAAAACACGACTCTCAATGCCAAGGGTCCTTTTATCAGAGGCTTGGTTTGTTCAGTGTTGCAGGTTTGTGCCTATTCACCATCAACCAACAGTAGCTGATGAGCTCTAATTCCCTGTAGTGATGAACTCACAGACCTCCAGTCAGCTCACCCTTGGCAACAAGAAAATGTTCATGTCAGGTGTCATCGGGTTCAACAGAATCCTCATCAGATATCATATTTCATGAGGATGGGTCAAACATATGAACAAATATCACAAAAATTGAGTTTGGAAGCGAAATGTTTCCTGTAAATTTGCTCACTGAGTATCTGTTTCTCTCCAAATTAAGTATTAGTATCAGTATGTTGTCTGACCGACGTGTAATGATTTCCTCTCCTTTTTTGACCGATGGTATTGATTTCCATTTAATGAGTCTGCACTTACCCACAATGAGCCCAATTTCACAGAGATGATCGTCGTAGCCACAGGTCATCATGGTTCCAACTGTGTCATTGATCACCGCTAAAATATCGATATCAAAGTCCTGCGAAAAGATTTGATCATTTAGGTTAAACTGCAACAGACTTAGCTTTGAGACACTTAGAACTTCAGGGATCGACCAAGTTCTTCTTCTCCTTCTATTCTGTATTTCTTCTAGTTTTCTATAGACCAAAACTACTTTATTGTAAAGTGGTGAAAAAGCATGCTTCAGATCTTGACGACACAATCAAAACTGGGACGTTTTGGGTTAGGTGTTGCAAGCATCACTGTCCCCTGGACCTTACTTAACTCATGTTATCCAAGGTATAATGAACTTCTTCTAAATAACTATTTCAGCTTTAATTTTTTTTTTTACTTTTGACACGAATTCAGATTCATTCATTTAATTCATTTCACTGTCCAGACTGAGGATGAACATCAGGGTTTGTAGCCGAGATCAACAAAAACATTTTATACCATCATTTCAAACACATCGTATCAGCTGACATCCTGTGATTTTGATCCATTGAAAAGAGAGCATGCGTGCACACACAGGCATGGATTATTTAAAGACACTTTTGTCTACCAGCAGCATCGAACGAAGCTGCAGGCAAATGTTTTAGTGAGTGTAATTGTTGTGGGAGCCTAATTTATTGCTTTGTTGGCAGAGTCGGATGCCTGCATTTCTCAAGTTGCTCCCTGCAGGAAAAAAGGTGCAATTCCCACCTATTAATATTGACAATAGATCAAACAGGGCACAGTTCAATTTCACAGGAAACCATTACATACTGCCCATTAAACAATCTGTCCTTTTCGAACAAATAAAAAAGATACTACTTCATGTAAAGTGACTGACTTACTGCATCCATTTATTTCTGAGAGCAAGGTGCAAAGGAGAACTTTTATTTTTCACAACTTTTTAATTGTGAGAAATCTAAACATCACAAAAAGTAAGAAAATATGCATTTTGTAGATAACTTCTCTGTTGTAACAATGCTTCTTGGTAATAAATCTTATACTGTTTATTTTCCCACTTAAGCTGTGCCACATTTGTAAGTTATATATATTTGTGGGATGAGCAGCTGAGCCAAGATATGGGTTATGGTAATCATACACTTACCCCTCGTTTTTTGATGGATTTCTTCAGGAGGCTGACCACATCTTTTCCTTCTACTCCACTTGCCTTGAAGTTTTTGGTCCAAGACAGCAAAACACCCTGACAAAAAAAAACACACATAACAGAGGGGGATTAGTGACTGATTGGAGCCTTTTCCAAATCATCTGCAATCAGTTTCACAGACTTGACTGAACTTTAAGTGTCTCAAATGAGACACTTTGAGTTGACATTCAGACATAAAAGTGCCAGGATGGAAGTTACAAATTCATAACAAATTACAGACTGAGACGGCTCAAATTCTGCAGGTATACCAATTTCAGTGACAGTCAAGTGAAACTTCAGTGAAAGTTGGCATATCTGCAGGATTTGACGAAACTAGGGGCAGTGTACAAGAAATGGTTGAGCAGAGTATTTGTACAAAGGTAAAAGGAGAAAGGAAAGAGGGACTTTATTAGAGGAACTGGCAGGCGCAGCTGCTAATGAAAAAATAAGAAGGGAGATGATTGGTTCATACTGCTGCATGGTGCATAAGGAATAACAGGCAAGGCCAGCACTCCATTTGATTGTTCTCCCAGCCTGCACTGGGGCTAGAGAAACATAAAAAATGGTTTCAGTCGTCAGAAGACCGGAAAGGCACTATTCAGTGCAGGTGCAGTTATTGACAATAAAGACAGCTATCAATAAGTAGTTGTTGCTGCTGCTGGCTGATCAATTACACTCCATTTCCTGGATCTCGCCTCCAGGCTCTGTGTGTTAAGTGGAGCCACCACAATGAAATGGTGTGAACCCAGTAATTGCTTTAATATAGAGAATGAAATGGTCACCAGTTTCAGCATGGCCTGTAATGTAGCATCGGAGGAACTCCATCCACAACACAAAAATCCTGTATCACATTAATGAAGGAGGAATGCTTGAATGTACAATGAACATCACCTGATTGGGTTAATTTAAAGCAGGTTAGTTATGACTTGGTTTAAAAATGGCATTTGCAGGAGGCTGAGTCTCTCAGAGGTACAGCTGAAAAGAGCTTCACCACTTTGTGAAAGCAAATACTTCAAGAATTTCTAAATGATATCCCTCAATGTTCAATTGCAGAGAATCTGAGGTTTTCATTATCTGCAGAACATGGTATCATTTAAAAATTCAGAGAACCTGGAAAAATCTCTGCAGAAAAAGGACCCGGCCAAAAAGCAGCTTAATTGGGCACAATTTTGTGCCCTCAAGTGGCATTGCATTAATAACAAGCATGACTTTGAAAGTTGAAATCCCAGCGTAAGCTCAAAAGTCCACTCTAGAAATCAAACATAAAAAGCATTGTTCCCCAGCAAAAGAGTCCAAGAGCTAACCTGGCCTGCCTGTTGTCCTGATTTGTCATCCATTGAAACACTGGGTGCACCATGAAATGTTGAGCAGCTGAAATCCTATACCAAGCAAGAATGGGACAACATTTCTCTGTCAAACCTCCATAAACCGCTCTCCTAAAAATCTATTCCCAAAAATTTAGCAGGTCTTTTAAAAAATTAAAGTGATGCAACATGCCTGGACAGATTTTTTTTAAGCATGTTGCATGCATAATATTCAAAAACAGTGTATAGTTTTCATAAAACAGCAAAAAAAAAAAAGTTCTTGGCACAATTTAAATTAAGGGTTTCAAGATTTGCAAATCACCAAAATCAGCTTTTTACATTAATATTTACCCGTGTCCCATCTTTTTGTAATTACAATTGTAATTTCATGTTTGGCACATGATGGTATGGGCATCAAGAAAACAAATCTAATCCATAGATGATCAGCATAAAAGGTCACTGATCAATACCGTGTGCTGACAGGGCAAACTGAGAAAGGCAGTGGAACATTTTGTTAATTTGCAGACACATTTGCTCCTGTCTTTAAATCTATTTCTATTCTTTGGATGAGGCTAAAATAGAGGTGCAAGTTGAATTTCACTCACATTAGGCAGTAGAGCAAGGCTGGTTCAAATCACTCACCTCGTCCAGTTTGGTTTGCTGACAGGGAAAAGAGAAGGTGAAACCCAGAGGAAGCTTTTTATCTTTTATTCCCATCTTCTCCATGAAGTCAGCCAGACAGTCAGCAATGTGGTCGAATAACTGCAGAGAAGACACAAGGATGATTTGTTCTTAATCAAACTGAAAACTCAGGCTTCCGATAAATATTCTGTGTTTGTATGTGAACTTAACTATGTGTATGTGGGACTTCCTGCCTATGTGGGGCCATGAACTCTCTCAACAGCTGATCAGTGGCACTGAACTGTCATCAAAATAAGAAACACTGCTTACCTCAGACCCGCTGCCTCTCATAAGGTTTTCAGGAATGTCATAAATCTGGTCTTCCATCTCCACTTCTTGTTTGCCATTAGCCCTAACTTTGACCAGGAGCACTCGGAAGGTCGATCCGCCGAGGTCAAGGGCCAGAAATTCACCTTGTTCTATGAAAAAAGAAAATTAACAAACAATAATAAGCAGAATTTCACAGATAGAGAGAAAAAAAGAGTTTCTTCTGCAACTTTTTATCATCTTATAATCATCCCCTTTCAAAAATATGCCTCTAGTTTTTGTATTTTTGTTACAATCTCCAATTGTTAATCATTGAAAGTAATTAAAACATCAATCAAAAAGTTCACTTCGTTTGAAGCAGCACTGCAACAAATTATCAGTCACTTGAAACTAATTTTCTCAACTTACTGAGCGGTTAAATGTTTGTAGAATGTCACAAATTAATTCATTTTTAAAGTCACCCATGTCCTCAAATTCCTGCTGGTCTTCTGGCCTTAACTCAAAAGAACTTTTTTCAATTTTTTTCTCCTAAATAACTCAATACAAAAACAAAACAAATGTTTGTGTCTCAACCCATTCATTAACCTTCCCAGCTTTATATGCTTGTCCTTGTCTAAACTGGTTGGTTGGAGTTGCGTAGCCAAATTACCTGTTCCATCCGGAGTGGAGAGCACAAACGTGGGCAACATCTTGACAGTAGCTGCAGGATTGGTGTCTCTGCACAGGCCTTTGTCCATCTCTCGTCGAAATCTTACGGACACATCCATAATAGTCTCAACTGACAGCTGAAAATGGAGGAGGTATCTGTCCACCTAAATCAATAGAGGAGAAGAGAAATCATGACAAGGGGGAGCTTGGGATTCTGACAAGGGAGTCCAACAGTGTCTTAAAAAGCACTGAATGTTACATGCAAAAGTAAATCAACAACTCTCACAGAAAGACAGGTTTGCTTTTTAAAAAAGGAGCCTGAAATCCATCTTTCTTTAGAAAAGGTTTCTATATTCCTCAGAGTCTCAACAAGACGTTAGTCAATGGGAAAACAGCAGCATCTTATAGGCGGTGTGCACTTGCGATGTATAAAAAAAGCTTTGTATGTGGGTCAATGACGTGACGCCTAAATATTCTGTCCGGCTGTAGTTTTTTTAAGTTAAAAAAGGTTTAAATGCACAAAAATATACTTCCTATATGTAGTCACTTCAACTTTTCAAAAATCAGGTCTTATTTGTAGTTTTTCTAAACTTCAAATGTCAAAATATCATGTGGTGTGACCAATAATAACATTAATTGTATTAAATACAAACTAAAAAATCTAATTTCTGTAACAGAAACATTAATACTTATACGTCATTGACCCATGTATTGCTGACTGACACGCATGCTGTCAGATATGAGAAAACAAGTCATTCATAACCCTTAACACAAAGATTCTGCATCAAAGCAAGTTCATGTGTATGATCCTTGTAGCCTGGACCCACCACATATCAGTTAGAGTTCGGTAATAATCTGAACACAAGCGGCCATATAATCATTCTCAGGCTGAGAAGAAAGAGTGATGGAATCGTGAAGGATAGAAGGGGTCAGGCGTAGTGGCTTTTATGCCTGTGTTGAAAATGGTGGTGGTGGGGGGGATTTGTGGGAGAGCAGTGCTGTAATGACCCCTCTCTATTATCCCATTAGTGCCTGAACACTGAAAAACCAAAGTGAGCACATGGGTGCACAGAGGTATAGTTTTTCTACAATGTAAATGCGTTCTAAAGGAAAAGAGATGTGAAATGGAAATCAAAAGCACAAGCACAGCACTATTCTGTGCTTCCAACCCCTATTTTTTTCAGATGTTTCATCTCTGTTTCAATCTGTGCAACAATCCCCACTGCTGCCTTTGTGAGCAGACACCCCCCCTCTACACTTGATGCCAATCAGTGGAAAAACTACCTCTAACTAAAAGAGGAGGTAGTGAGTGTCTGTAAATATGACTTTTATTGGTGAAATCATAGAAATAGTTATTGTATTTATTAAAGATGATCCTGAATAATCAGTTCTACATCTGTTAAGTACAAAGAAGTTTCTGTAGCGAAAACTTCATGGCTTCTTTTACCGACTTTTCACAGCAAACTTTAATGAGGATAACTGAGCATAACCCCCTCTGGAGCAGGTCAGGCGAAAGACGTTGGTTGCCTTGCCAACCAATGGTGTTGATTTGAACATTCTTGCTTTAAAAAGGTACTGGGGGTGAAATCAGGAACATATTGCATTATCTATCAGTTTTATTTCAGACTGAAATGCTCAATTTTTTCCCCTCCTGTTAGCAAAGCAATGGGCCCTTTGAGAACAACATACTCCTGTAATGCATGATTATCATGGTCCTCTATTTTCTAGTTTTCACCAGATGAATAGTTGTGAAAGCACGTTTGAATGACCTTTGGGACTTTTTTGTGCTTTTGAGCAGTTTAATGCAGCATTCCCTAGAATTAGTAGGGCAGGTGTTCGAGGAGGCAGGCTTGCTAAGAAGAAAGCAAACAAGCAGGCCCTAATGTTCTCAAAAGATTGCCTCCATTTTCCCATCCTTGAGGGCACACGAAGAGCCATCTCACAAGACCCTTTCTTTATCATTTACAGCTCACAGGCTGTTATGTACCAGATATATATACATAGGCAGCCGCAGTACATGTTCAAGTTGGTATTGATAAATGATTATACCTTGAAGGAAGTTCGACCAGAACTCCTGCAAGCCACTCATAATGAGTTCACTAACAGCAGGACGACTGTGAAAAATACCTTCCTTTTAACTGCAATTCAAAAGCAGGAGGGTTTGAAGTGTCCTTCAGCAAGAAGTTGTACAAAGGAAAATAATAATGTGCAATTAAACCAATTAAACCATTTGACTATGTAGCAAAAAGGGAGTCTAGCTGTTTCTACAGTCCTTTTCAAAGTCAATATTAACTACAACAGTATAAAGAACATGTGCACTAACAAAAGTTTTTTTTATTATTATTAAATTGTCCTGGTCAGCCATGGTTTTGTGACAATAAGCAGGTGCAGAAAAATAACTTATTATGCAACTCCCATAACAGTGTATGATAACTTTTTGTTTCCTTGCACTTTTTCAAGTAGTTATTCAGATAAATACTTATATTTGTACATAAAAAAATGTGGAAAGTACTGTAATTTACTACATTTTATACAGATTTAGTAAGAGAGTGAGGTTTAACTACAAACCCACAAGGTTTCCATCAACTGCATGACAGACAGCTGACTAGTGATACCTGTAATGTAAACATAATAGAGGAGAGTGGGGTAAGTTGAGCCTACCCCTGTTGCTTGGAAATGGTGAATGAAATTGATCATGTGACCAAAAATCTAAGAGATGGGCATCAATTCATGGAGTCTGTGAAGTAGGCCTGGGTGATTTGGCAAAAAAAATGATCACAATATATTTTTTAATATCGTCCGATCTCGATTATTGTCACGATTTGTTTTTAAACTGCCAATTTTAAAGCATCTGTACTAAACACTGAAGAAACTAGAGATAAGTTCAACATTTTATTAAACAGATCTGTTGTGTTGCCGGTTTTTGAGGGCACCAACCGCCGACATTCCTTACACATCGGCATGATTTCTTGACATCACTTTGGAGATACCCGAACCACTGCCACACAACCGACGGTCTTACCCCATACACGGGGTAAGTTGACCATAGGAGACGACTTTTTTTGCCATGCTATATTATAAAGACAGTTATGTTTACACTCATTCTGTTGGTTTGCAGGGATGAACAACATCTTAAAATATATTCAGATACACTCGTTAGAGAGGAAACTATGATTGCCTTGATGTAGTGATCTGAAATATGAAAAACGGCTCATCTTACCCCACTCTCCCCTATGTCTCTCTACATGACAAGCAATGACTTCAGTGAGCAAGAACCATCCATAGAGACCAATACAGACAAATTCTACTGCAAAACCGCTTTGTACAGCTACACTCTTTGTTAAATTACAAAAATTTGTATGGGGAAATATTCCGAACGGGTGATTTTGACCAAAGTCACCTCAGGTAGATTTTGACGCAGAGTGAGGGGTGACGTGATGACGCCACTCAGTTATAACATGCTAGGAAGTCCTGCTACCTGCTTGACCCCTATTTTTAATTTCTCACTACAATATCGACCAAGACAGTAAATATCCTATCTCAAAAGTTTACCAAACTAATTCCAGAGATAACCCCGACTTCAATACTGACCTTCTGTGTTTGCTCATCGTGGTTTTCCGCGCAGAAGTTAGCCAGTAAACTCGGAGCTAACATTTTAAAGTTACAGATGTGAAGAGACTGAACGTCCTGTTCGTCCTCCTGCGGGAGAGTACTCAACGTCCGACGACCGTAACAGCTTTAACTAACGACGACACGATAAGTAACCGAACTAACGCAGCTTTAGTGGTTTAAAAAGTGGTGAATTAAAACCGAAGTTATAAAACAAAGTCGCACTGAGTCACTTCCAGCTTCCTGGAGTTGGACGCTGTTTGACGTCATTCTCTACTGATGGCGCTGATTGGCTGAAGGGAAGGCGCGGCAAAAAGACCACAGAAACTTACAAGAGTGGCTGAAATCTACACTATAATGCTTTCAGTTTTGTTTATGGCCTAAGGAAAATAGATTTAACCTACATTTTCTAGTGATATACCCCGTAAAGTGATGGACTGCTGTACTGAGTGACTGTTATTAGTTCACCTTAATGCTACCAGTGGCATAAACAGACTTTTCAACAGGGGTGGCTCATCTCGGTTTGCTAGGGCACAGGGGTGGCCAGGGCAGGGGTGGCCAGGGCACCAGAAATGTCAGTTATTCAAGAAACCCATCTATATTCTGTATTTATTTTTTTTATAATAATAAACTTCGCTTGCCATAGTTCGAGTAACTCTGACTGAGTGACCGAGACAACCAATCCCAGACCATTCTGTCAGGCCTTTGTGCTTAAATCTAACCAACCACTGAAGGCACCACACAATAGAAACCAATCAGAAGCAATGTAAAGCGGGTCTTGGCGTCTCTCACTGTCTTTCACACACAACAGAGCCAACATTTAAAACCCACTTTCTAATTTCTGGTTAATTAAGACTAGCATTAAAAGGCCACAGTGCAGGGAGAGCAGCTGGCATGGAGTTGAGGGCATCAGTCTTAATGTTTAAATCGACTTTAAAATAAGGCCTCGCTCTTGTCATTTTCTGAAACTCGGCAGCCCTGTGAGGTGACTTGGCCATCTAATTGGGATGCCTCCAACCGTCTTGCTGGTGAGGTGTTCAGGGTACGTCCCACTGGTAAGAAAAGACCCAAGACATGTCGGAGAGACTATGTGCCTCAGCTGGGCTGGGAATACCTCAGGGTTCTGCTGGAAGGGCTGGATGAAGTGGCTGGGGAGAGGGAAGTCTGGGTGTCCCTGCTTAAGCTGCTGTCCCCACAACCTGACTCTGGATGGATGGAAGTCTGCTCACTAAGTTTGTGAAACTGCACCAAGAAGACAATTCATAATGTAGAAATGGCTTGATAACAGCTGAGATCTAAGTGGTGAACTTCCCACTAATCACGGAGGAGGTCTAACAGCACATACACTCACACGCTATACTCAACTCTAACTCTAAAACGTATAGAAAAGACAAGTCGGAAAAAATAATTTTTTCCAGTAGAGTTTCAGACAGTTTGGAAGAATTTGGGTTGTAATAAGAAGATCTACTTTTAGCTATCAAGTGGACCTATGCCAAACAGGCTACATAAAAAAAAAAAAAACATGAGATCACTGTATGTATCAGATGAAAGGATGCAGGAAAAAAGCTTGTCTCGGTGTCAGACCATAAGATATATCTCACTTCTTCTGATTCACAGCCATGAAGAAACTCTGATATGGTTTTCCCGAATCCTCTCTTTGCCACTCTGTCATGGTTAGATTTATGAGTAATTTACGAGGTGACAGTCTAAGATGTCACAAATCCTTTTTATTCATTCTCTCCTCTGACACTGCTCTGTAGTTCCTGATTGTGTGGCTCTTTCCATGACCTTTTGTCTGATTGCCTCAGTGCACGGTCACCTTAGAGCCTTAGAGACTTGTGAGAACAAGACCACAAGTTAGTGTGCTTTCAAGTAAATGTCAATGTCAATATCAAGTTTATTTGTATAGCACATTTAAACAGTCAGTGGCCTACCAAAGTGCTTTGCGATAGCGAAGCAATAGCAAACATACACAGCAAACAGCAACAACAAAAGACATGTAACATATAAATGTAAACAAAAACAAATATATAACCAATACAAGTATCATACTCCGTCAAAAGCTAAGGTGAACAAGTGCGTCTTCAGTTGGGTTTTAAAAGTAGAGAGACTATTTGCAGTATGCACACTTAGGGGTAGTGCATTCCACAGAGTGGGAGCTGCAACCGCAAACGCTCACTTCCCTCTGGATTTTAAAAACGAACGAGGCACGTCTAAGACGGCTCGGTCAGCAGACCTAAGGGCTCTGGAGGGTTGGTGTAACTTAACAAGGTCAGCCAGGTACTCTGGGGCCAGCCCATTCAGAGATTTAAAAACAAATAAAAGAATCTTAAAAACGATCCTCTACCTAACTGAAAGCCAGTGAAGAGAAGAGAGCACTGGAGTTATGCTTCTTGGTGCCAGAAAGGAGGCGAGCTGCCACGTTCTGTACAAGCTGCAGGCCGTTAAGCTCTGCCTGGTCGATTCTTAGGTAAAGGGAATTGCAGTAATCCAAGTGAGAAGTAATAAAAGAAGGGATTACTGTCTCCAGGTCTCTCTGGTTGAGATACGGTCTAATCTTTGCTGAAAGCCTCAGTTGGAAGCCTTGACCACAGCACTGACCTGCTTGTCCAGTTTGAAGGCACCATCAATAATAAACCCAAGATTCCTGGCATGGGATTTTACATATGGTGCTAATGGGTCGAGGGAGCTGGCAAGGACCTGAACCAGGTCGGGACGGCTGAACAGGATAACCTCTGTTTTGTTTGCGTTTGGTTTTAGCAAGTTTAGGTCCATCCATGTTTTAATGTCTTTCATGCAGTTAAATGCCGCCTGGAGCGAGTCTTTAGTAGGTGCCTTCACTGGCAAATACACCTGTACATCATCGGCAAAACAATGAAAGGGGATACCGTGCTTCCTAAAAATGGACCCCAGCGGTAGCATATAGAGGGAGAACAGTAAAGGACCCAGGACTGACCCGTGGGGAACACTGCATGTCAGAGGGGCAACAGAGGAGGAAAACTGTCCCATGTGAACAGAGAAGGATCTCCCAGAGAGGTAAGATCTGAACCAGCTCAGGGCAGTCCCTTTTACAGTGTTCTAGGCGAGATAGGAGGATTGAATGATCCACTTTATCAAATGCCGCTGTTAGGTCGAGGAGAATTAAAACGACACAGTTTCCAGAGTCGAGATTTAACAAAAGATCGTTAAAAACCTTTAAAAGAGCAGTTTCAGTGCTGTGAAGAGACTTAAAACCAGACTGAAACAATTCAGAAACATTGGCCCTCTGTAAAAATTCTTGGAGTTGGTTAAAAACAACTTTCTCTAAAACCTTGGAAATAAAAGGAAGCTTAGAAATAGGCCTAAAATTTGATACAATCAAGGGATCCAGATTTTCTTTTTCAGGAGGGGCTGCACCATGGCATGTTTAAAAGAAGATGGAACACACCCAGAGCTGAGACACTGATTTAAAAGAAGCAAAATAAAAGACTGAACTGAGGTGAAAACTTCCTTAAACAAACGGGATGGAATGGACACCTTGAATAAATACAAGACTTTTTTTTTTTTTATCAATTTCTTGAGACCCCAGATTTATGGTGCTTAGCAGCTCTTGTGAAAGAGCTGTATTTCCAGATGAGCTGCTGATGGCTTGGGTGCTGTGCTATCACTGCATGTGCATCTGGTTGAGACGTCATCAAAAACCTCTCCATGAAATGAATCTGCCAACATGTCTCCTTAAAAAGGATGTGACGCATAGAGAAAATAATAAAAAGGATAACGAGCCACTGTTTGTTGTATTATCTATAGCATCTACTCAGTGGAGAGGAGATCTAAGGACAGGCAGTCGTCAGACTTGCGTACATGGGGTCTCATCCCCCCTGCAATGTGTCTGGATCTTCCACCAAATGCACTTGCTTGCATTAGACCCTAAAGTAATATGTATTTCTCTATAGATGAGGCACAGTGCACATAAAGCAAAGGGTCTCGCTTCACCTTACAGGGGTTTCTATTCACATCATCACCCACTTTATACATTTTCATACATCTTTCACGCAGCGAGAAAAATTAGCCTACTGATGGGTTAAATTAGCAAAGAGCAGTAAGATTTGGCATATGTGGTCTGAACAGATGCTGAAAATTACACTAGCATCTATACAAGATTAGCTAGGTTATGAATATGTAAAAGCAAAAGGAGTTACACCAAACTCAAAGCTGAACTTTAACAGCCAGCCACTTTGAAAAGGTGTCGGAGGAGAGGCATTGTGTGATGAAAACAGGTAACAGGTCCAGAACAGTCCTTGTACGCAGCATTTATGCTGTGTTACATTACTTCCCTCTTAAAAGCTCACCCTGTTGCTTGTATACTATCTCTACTTTTGTGTTTGAACTGCATTAACAGTCCTGATAATGTGGCATTGATAATAAGCCAGACTCAGCCACCCTCAGGCTCCCCTTCCTGCACGCTGTGCAGAGACCTCCTTCAGCTATATCAAGCGAGTACGTGGAGGCGTGTTGGTGTTAGGATGAGTTTCTTCATCCAGTCATATTAGCCTCTAGAGTGTTGGAGCTGTGTCACTCAAATACCCCAGACACTTTGGTGTTAGATTACTGGAGCCGGGGGCCTCCAACAACCATCCCTGACTGAGGAACCCTGTACACATTATTTACATCATGTAGGTCCCCAAAATATGTTTTGCTTTGGTATTTCCTTCTTGGGACCTTCCACATTTTCACCTAAGGCCTTTTAAAATATGTTGTCCTTTGTTTTTACCGCACATGAATTTCTCTTAGGGTCAACTAAATATCAACAGTATGTTTAGGGTTGTGAACCGCTAAATATACTTGAATGGTCTTAGACCACTCTTTGTTACACTTGTGGCATGATGAAGCTGTAACCCAGATCTGCAACCAGTAAAGCTTGTCAAACTGACCCTTCGTGTGGACCTTCCATTCTTTCAAGTGTGAACCTGGGCTAGGCTTCCTTACAATTGGCGGGAAGTCTGATGCTTTGTGAGGCATGCACAAAAGGTCACTCATGACAGAAAATTTGTTTTAAAACTGGCAGGATTTAATGTTTAGTAAAAGCCTTAGAAAGCTATGCAGATCTCTCTGTCCTCAAGGATAATCATCTTCATTATCCTACCATTTTACCTGGACATCATCATAAGACAAATGCTTCTATCCTTAATGAAGTTAATGATGCATATTAAAAAGTCTAAAAAATTCTTGTAATAATCAATCAATAAACCTCAACAGTTCAGCAGTGCAGAATGATAACCAGCAATAATCAAGCCATTAAAAATCCAGAGAATTGGGTTTTGGTATTGGCATCAAGCAGGTCAAAATTAGACCTTTTTATTCTATCATGTCCAGGTGAATGATGCTGGTTTGAGCTCTGTAACTCGACTCGCTCGAAAGACTTTCTATTAAGATCAAATACTAAAAAACAGGTGATGGAAAAAGAAAGATCCGACATGGAAGAAAAAAAAACAAGTATTACATATACAGCATAAAAAAAACATGAAGAAGGCCTTGTCCCTTGAGAGGTTACACTTGTTGTTAACCTTAAGTGATCTCGATCTGAATTCATAGAAAGAAATGTAAGCAACAAGGCAAAAAAGCAATAAGGATGCCTGTAGGGGTCAGTCATGGGGACATGGTGTACACCACAGAACTAAGTGTCCAGTATCTCGCATGAGGTACTGAGAGGGTTATCTTATACAATCAGGCTTACTTTATTCAACTATGTGATATTTGGAATGCTTATGAATTAGAGTTACGCACATGATTATATAATTTAAAATATCTTTTCATGCAGCACACAACCAGGACTTTGAACATGAATGGAATTCAAGGAATTAATCTTGTATTTAGAATTTCCTTTTCAAATATGAGTGTGGGTCTGTGAACTGAGGGTGCTATGAAAGATTTTTCGCTGCACCACACAAAAAAAGCTATAGATTTAAACTTTTTTCTATTAACTCCTGTGAAAGGAAATCACATCACACACAAACCAATGCTTGGCATCATCCTGAAAAGCCTTAGAAAACTTCTTCTAAAAGCTTTTCAATCAATTATTCGAGCCTTTAAATATTTAAAGGGTTTGCTGGGTCATAAAAAAGGCTTTAGGATTCAGTCGAGATAAAATTTCTTTACTTTAGGTGTAGAGAAAAAAGCTGGCACAAACACAAAATATTCTGTTTCAGACCTCATGTTGTAGCTCATAGATACCCCAATTGATGTATAAAACAAATTTCAAATGATCTTTTTTGGTCTGAACAAATTTCTAATAAAACTTTTGACAGACTAATTCACTTTCAAGAGTGAAAAATGTTTTTTTTTTGTAAATAAATGTCTAACCCCTTCATCCATGTGCTTCTAACCTTCACAGACTCCATGAATTGATGCCCATTTCCTAAATATTTTGGTCACATGATCAATTTCTTTGGCCATTTCCAAGCAGCAGGGGGTGGCTCAATTTATCCTTTGGCTCATCTTACCCCACTCTCCCCTATTTGACCCAGAATTCACCTCTGTGCTGGACGGCGGTTGACACTAATTAGACACTCGGTACAGGTGTGTGTGGTCCGCAGTGCTCCTCTGATATCTTTAGCAGGTACATAACGACGCGGGAGGCTGTCGATATAATATGAGAAAACGACAGCCTTAGGAGTCCAGCAAAGTTTCTCATTTTTCAACAAGGATACTCGGTCAAATGAAGGTACCAGAGGAGGAATCGATGAGCGAAGTACTGAAGCAGCTGACGGGCGAATCTGCACTTCCGGTTTACAGTAACGTAGAAAAGTTCAAACGAGGAAAAGATGGTCTGTACTTTGTTGCTGAGGACTTTCGTGCAACTGTGAAGAAAAGAGAGCTGGTCAACGCCAAGGAGCGGCTGAGAGTGCGTACTGGTTAAAAAATACACCGAATTAATCATGGATCTATTCTAATGTAACTCACTCAGGTTCAGGTCAATTGGTGAAAAGCACCCAAAGTCAGTATGACAGACTAACAGGCAACTTTTGTTGACTTTTTTGTGTCAAAGCTTACTCTAACAGTGACTTATAAAAACTTGAGCCTCTCTAGAGTATTCCAGGTTTTCTTGAGCCTCTATTAACAGGAGCAGGACTGTTGAAACACCAGTTTGCGTCACACTAAAACTGCAAAATTGACTCGTGTGCCAGGATTTCTTCCTATTTCTGTCCACCAGCAGAGACCCAGTGGTTTGCAATTGTTCGGACACTGCACAGACTTTATTGTTAAACTTAAAAAAACTACCACAGCAGAGAGGAATTATGTAAGCTATATTTTAAAAGCTATATTTTTGTCGTTTTTTTAATGTCATAGCTTACTCTAACAGTAAATCATAAACGTAAGACTTTCCAGAGTATTCCAGGTTTTCTTGGGCCTCTATTAGCAGGAGCAGGACTGTTGAAACACCAGTTTGCGTCACACTAAAACTGCTAAATTGCAGGGTTTTTCCTGGCTCAAATTGAGGCAGAGGTGGCACCATCCTGACCATGCGCCACGACGTGCATGTATTTGTAAATACAACCGATTCACTTTCTTTTACAGGCAACATACTTTAAGTTAAGAGTTCAAAAAAGAGTGTGACCATTATTATGTTAAAGCATTAATTTATTAAAACTATATACATACACAAATCAGCTGGCAACTTTAAATTGAAAGTACACTTCATCCACACATCTCGCAACCATACAGAACATTTCAGCCTCCTCTTTTTCATTCTGAAGAACCTCCTCATGCACTCCTTGTAGTCCAAGGCCTCCTGGTCTGGTCCATCAACAGCCACCTTACAACAGACATCCAAGTGCCTCTCCTTCAGTCTGTTCCACAGAGGTGTCTTCACCTTAAACAAAACCATTCATCATGCATTAAGTATTTTTGTTTTTATTCTGATACAGACATGAAGAGTGATAGTGTTCTCAATCATATATATGTATACACTGCAGTGTCCTCCCTAAAAAAAAAACGACAACCAATTATTTTTAAAATATCTAAACTATGTTATTAATTTTTTGTAACTTTATTAGTTGAGTTTTTTAGGTACTACCATCTTTAATATATTTCTCCTTCTCTTCTGCTGCTTTGTGAATGGCTGTCACTTCATGTCTTTTTAATGTGTCCAGCCTGTAGTTGGTTGATGGCTGTCTCACTAAGGAGGCAGCAATTGCCTGCTGTGTTGGGGCACAGTGCTTTTGGCATAAATAGCAGTGCATGCCTTCCTCAGTATGCCTGAGCCAGGTAAATTGATTGAGCCATTGCTTGTCAAAGCCACTGGCTCTGTGTTTTGAGAAGATCTACAAAGAGAAATAAAAACCACGTACACGTTGGTTTTGCGTTGTTATGCTCCTAATTGAAAACTAATTAATTAATTACCCTCGCCTCGCCGACTCGTCCTGTCCTGCATTCTGACCCTCGCGATCACTAGTCCCTTGTGAAGTACTTTCAGACCTGACACAAATTTCCACGTTGTCACCAACATGAATTATAGCATTTTACCTGCCTGTTACGTTTTTTCTCTGCTGTGTTTCACCTGGACTCTTGACTTTCCTCCTCGCGAGGTCGCTTTTTAAAGTACTGGCTGATTTTGCCTGTCATATCTAAAACGCTTAAAACGGAGTAAACTTTTTTTTTAAATAATAAACACGACATGCTTGGATGCAAAAAAGAGAAGCAGTATTTACCTGTTTGTACCATCCGCCAGGGAAAATCAGGACGCCGATAGCACCAACTAGCGGGAAAAACACTTGAAAAAACATGATTCGATCCGTTTCTTCTTCGGTAGATGCTTCAGGTCTTTCCGGTGCACTGCTGTTGATATAGCGCCTCTATAGTGGCGCAACCCTGCAACTGCAGTTAAAATACGTTGCTGCTGCAGAGGGACATCAATCGCTCAATCAACACAGCTGGAGCTTTACGCTGTGTTGAGCGAAATCAATCGCTCTGGCTGGGGGCGGCACAAAATTAGGTGGAGGCGGCCGCCACGCAATTTTGAACGCAGGAAAAACCCTGAAATTGACTCCTATGTTCCAGGATTAATTCCTATTTCTGTCCACCAGCAGATATCCAGTGGTTTGCAATTGTTCGGACACTGCACAGACTTTATTGTTGGACTTTAAAAACTACCACGGCACAGAGGAGTTATTTAAGCTATTACTTTATAAGGATCTACAAACGTACGGAAATGCCAGAATTAATTAAACCAAATGTATTTAATTATTAAATTTATTAGCCTTGATGTGAAAAGCTTACAAATCTGAAAGACACGCTTTATAAGTTACACGAGGCAGTTACAAGGCTAGATCATTACATTAAAATGTTGTAGGAAGGCAGTTTTGGAGGAAATAAAATTGTTAGATTTGAGAAAAAGCGCTTTCGTCCAAAGTGATCCAAACCACGGACAAATGGACACATCGGCCTTACCTTTTTTATTTGTTTGCCAGATGCGCTAGGTTTTGCAACAAAGCAAAGTTCAGAAATTTTAATTCAAGGACTTAAAAATGTTCAGCATTTCACTTTATAGTTATCTAACTGTTTTGAATATCTTTACATAACAACCATTTGTTTATTTTTTTTCCACACAGATCAGAAACTTGAACACAATGTTCTCCCGTTTGAAGCGAATGGTACCATTAATGCGACCTGATCGGAAGCCAAGTAAAGTGGACACACTCAAAGCTGCGACTGAATACATTCGATTGCTTGTTGCAGTTCTGCAAGACACTGACAATGTAAGTGCTGCACTCATCGGGACTTTATTAAATGAAAAAAGTCTCCCCTCTTGTCCTCCTAAGGCAGCGCTGCCTCTAAATGTTGATTAGTGTCATTTTTTTCCTTCTCAGGATGATGGCGGTGAGACTGATTTCCTAAAGAATGCAATCACTTGTGGCCAGACTGAAGGCTTAGGCAGTGACCTGTGGAGAATGGATGACGTGAGTGTTTATTTTTTCACTGCACTCAGTTCACCTTGGGTAACATGTTGTGAGCAGCCAGTGTGATTATTCATTCAGACAAACCTACATTAAAAGTGTTTAGTAAAAGCATTAGTTAAACTGTTTTTGATTACATCCCTATGGAGTGAACAGAGTGACAAAAACCAACTATTTCATCATTAAAAGCATCAGGGAGGCAATTTTTAACAGAGCAACCATCACAACCTTGGAGCTTTTGAGTGGTTGTGGTTAAACTTTCAAGTTACCTGACCTGAAATTAACTGACCTGCGCCTGTGTTGTATTTACCGAACATCAGTCTCCAGGCAAAAATAACCTGCTCAAACAAATAAATATGTGAAAAGGCTGCAGTGTAGGCAACCAAATGGAAAATGCATCGATGAGCCATAACATAATGACAACACGCCTATTATGTGGAAAGGTCACAGCTTAAAACAACCCTGACTCAGTCAAATCATAGCACATCCTGCGGATGCTTGTTTAGATTGAGGTCCTTTAAGGCCACTGTCTTCCACTGCTCTGTGGTCAGTGTCTATTAAAGATGCTTTCTGTGATGTACAGGGGTCAATCTAGGAACCCCTAGCTATGCAGCCTCATACAGAAACTACGCTGCTTTTGAGCCTCATTCCTTAGACCAGCGGTTCTCAACTGGTCTCACTCTGGGACCCAGATCTTCCCATTGTCCTTAATTTGCGACCCACTTTCACAGAATTCAAACAAAGCTAATTTATTTTGTATTAAAAAAAAACCTCAAAAGATTCTAATCTTTAACAAAAAATCCACTTGTTTTATTGAGTGAAGTGCATTTCAGAGTACACGAAGGCTGCAAAAATGAACCACACAAAGAATCAAGCTGGCAGCCTCTCGCTGCAGCATCAATCACAAATCATGACAATCTTGATAAATGAACGGACGGAACCGGACCGAAGGACAGTAAAGGTCCCAAAAATCCCTAGAACTGTTCCTTTGTTGCCCTCTTATACCACCCAAATGGCGTCATTAGTCTTATTCCCGTAAGCGGCCTTCACGTTGGTGTCTGACAGCCAACAATGTGACTTCTTCTGTAAAAATGCACATATTTTTGCTGGCCGGCACCGCCAGTTTTCCTCTCTGGACTCGAGATAACATTTATTCTTGTGTGGAAAGTTCACCATGACCTGTCTATTATTCGCTCCCACACATGAAGATGACAACTACTGAAGTTGTTTATACAGAAAATATCAAATATGTCAAGTACATGTCATGAAATCAGAAACCAGATAATAAACATAAAGCCAAGAATGATTATCGTATTCAGATGTTTCCCTTTCTGCCATGTATTGAAAAAGAGCTTGGTACGAACATGTAAAATACACAAGAATTCATCTTTCTTTAGATTATGTGTTTGCACAGAGAATATCAATCGGAAAAGGTATGATTTAATTTAAAAAGCCATACACAGTGCGAGGGAAATGTTTTTCCTGCTTATTAATGAAAGCCATTACTACAGAGGTCTATACTAAAGAGAGATGCCAACTGTAAATAAGGGTTTTTAGTGGAAAAAAAAACATGGGTGTCGTGCTCAGGGCTTCAATATTTATGTTTTAACTTAAATGATGAATTGGTTTCACTATTCATATATTCAAAACATTCATTAAGTGTGTAAAGGAAAGGGAGTATGTTGCGAAACACTACCCTACTCACCTCTGGTTTATGAAATGGAAGCGTCCTTGAAGGAGAAGCGGGTCGTGCGCCGCATCACAGTAATGGTAATTCATTTGTCAAGTTTTTACCTCTTCTGTTTATACAAATTTCCATACGCACAATCATCTCTCGTCTCATTTGTTTCTAACAGGTACATTTCATTCAGGCACTCACTTTAACCTGAAATGAATGGGCTCATTCTATTAACATCTGACCTAGCAGACTGAATGCTTTGCAGAAATACTGCACATACAAGATGAAAATGCACAAAGGCGTAATTTATGTAGATTTATGTGGATGCTAAATGCCGATAAATACCTCTCACACTACACTTTTAAGAGAGTTTCACTTTACCTGGTGGGACCAAAGTGAAGCCAGTCCATTCATGACAAATACAAACACAGTGGAGTAGATAAAGTCTGATCTTCAATCATATGAATCGTTTTTGCAGTTTCATTCATTTCTTGCTCCTTTTCCAAGTTTTGAAAAGTGTCGCTGCATCAATTGTTTGTTTCAACAGCAACATATGAGGTTTCGCTGTTTGCAGATGTTCACTTTTTTTCTGTTTATGTCTCACACTGTGTCCTAAATTTTTAAGATAAGGGTTGTACAAAGGATATAGTCGAGTCGAGAGGGTTGTGCTTTAAAGCTTTATTAGACCAGACGTAATTCTGTCAAAGATGACTGATGTAAAAACCTACTTACATCCACCTTTAAACCTCTCAATGTGCTCTAAAAGCCCATTTCAAACTTGCTACTTCACATAGTCAAGCTCCTGTCGTACATAGAGCTTGTTACTGACTTTGTATTCATACACTGACAGTCTGCTGTGAAGTGTTTGTGCCTTCTGGACACGGATAACTCTCGCTTTTAAGTACAGCTGTTTTCTTTATGAAAAAATGCCCTGAAAATACTAAACTTGCGCTGTTTTAATTGCATTGAGTTAATAGATTCACAGTCAGTGTTTCAGCTGTGCTGTATTGAGATTTTCATTAAATGCTTTTTTCCTGACAGTTTCTGAACATGGCAGAGGAGAACATAGAAGATGGGTTCACTTTGACTCCAGAACCAGTAGCAGAGGACGGAGACATGAGCAAACTGGTGTTGCAACATTGCGTGATGCCTTCGTACCAGTTCATCATCCAAGTGGCACCTGATCAGAGCTCGGTAACTCGCTGGACTTTCTGTCTGTTGTGTTTCATGTTATACTCGGTTATTTCTGTAGCTGTATCACGTGCAGGTGAGCAGGGGTGTCGAAGTGGGGGGAAGAGGAACCAGGTGTAAGATTTCAGGTTCAGCCTGGAGGGGCGTCCATGGAGTCGAGTGAGTGATGCTTCAGGTAGCACTATGTCCCCCCCATAGAGGTGAAACCAGGATTTCAAAAACTTAAATAGAGAGCAAAACTGAAGGTAAAGACCTTTTGACAAGTTTCTTTTAAATAGTGAGAATAACTCGTACAGTTTCAGAACAATTGAAGCTCACATTCATTAACTACATTTAATACAATCAGTCAGAATTCTGTCAACTCTGTCAAGCTTACGTTTCATTTATAAGTTTAACAAAATTGTCTTAGCGTCATAGCTACGATCTCATCTGACCTTCGATTAATAGAAACTACCTTACGGTGAAATTGGTTTAATGCACTTTCTGATTTTAATGATATGTGGACTTGGTGATAGCTTTTAACTGAGGTGAAATTATACACTATCAACGAGATGAAAGTGAGTTCAGCTCTGGGAGCAGACAGAGCGGAGTTAGAATATGAAAGAGATGAAATGAGAAAATAATGAGAATAATGAAGGAAGGGGCAGCGGAGGGTGAAGAGAAAGGAAATCATTCATTTGAGTGTGTTCAGAGAAGCTGACCATCAACTGATTCAGCACAGAGACAGTTGTTTTCACAGTGGAAAGAGAGATTAGGACATAAATAGAAAGACACAGAAATAGAATTTGATTGCCAAGCCATACAGATCCTGCTGTGGAAATATCACATTTACTTTTCAGGTTACTTATTTCTGACTTCAGGAGCTGTCAAACAAATCTATAGTTGTTTGAAACAGGGTTTAATCCTTGTATAGGGCTGGTTTAGCCTGTGGGGAAGTGAAGCAATTACTGATGCAGTCGCAGGAAAAAAAAAAAACCAAAAAAAAAAACCACTTAATCACGACACAGAAAAATGAACTTAGTTTATGCATTTGAAAAGACTGACATTTACATTATGCCACACTATTACGACAAGGCTGTAACCACACACGGAGAGATGATTGACCTTAAATTAGAATTTCAGTCAGCGTGCAGGGCTTGTTTCAGCCTCCTCTTTGCAATTCATCTCACTCATTCTCAGTTTATTCTCACATAATGGAAACAGAGTAGTTCAATAAAACCATATGTGAGAGTAGATAGATGATTATATTTGATACAACTATAAGATAGTAGAGAGGTCAAGGGTTAGAAATATACGAAAAGGCTTCCTGATGTGATCAAGATAAAAGAAGCGCACACGTGGTTAACAGCTCCTTCTTCAACAGAGGAATAATAAATCAAATCAATCACGATTGTTTTCTTCTGCGAAAGCTCCCTTAACAACATACTTCAGATGTAAGGCTGAGGAAATATTATAATCCTATAAATTCCTGACATTATCCAGCAGGAGTTGAATCAAAACTGCCAATCAACAAGCACTTGATTGTCTTGAGAGAAGCTGTAACATCTGATGGATTGAAACCGTCCCCTCAAGTGCCACGCCATCTGATTGGATAATTGAAGGTGAAGAGGTTTAGATTGCCTTAGGACTGTTTTTCCCGCAGTCCCTACACTTGTGAAATTATGCCTTTCCACACGATTGGCGTGACAAGCTGTTCAGTTTTTTCACCTTTCTGAGGCTAAACAGTCTGACAAGGTAAACTCACCTTTGATAAGGACATCTTTGTAAAGTGAAAGCGTCAACATGCGCAGAGGTGTCAAAACCGTGAAATAAGATTTTAAGACCTCGTCTTTTTCTTTTTCTTTTCCCCACAGATCACTCAACCCTTCTGAGTGGAGTTAAAAGCAGATGTCCTGGACCGATATTGGAGATCTTCTGGGTTGTGCAAATCAGTAAGCATTACAAAAACAAGATTCAGAAGAAGATTCAGGTGAAATCCACACTGTTGCAACACTGAATGAAGGCAGAGTCACTGTCACAGAGATGATGTTTGGGGTCATGGTGTTAAAATGACTGCAGCTTTGTTTATTATTATTATTACTCTTTGTAACGCTGGGTGGTCTTTTTGGCAGTACAGCTGCTGTAAGTGACCTGAATTTGAACTCTGAAAATGGAGTTCAGTATATACATGATGCCCCCGTGTGGTCTGAAAGAAGATGGTCCCGTTTTCAGCTCTGCTGTTGACAAATTGAACCAAAAAGAAACACAGTGTGAAATGCTAAACAGACAAGAGTTAGTGTTGATCTCTGAAGTTTGAGGCATAAAAACCAAACATTGTTTGTTCTTGGACCTGTGAATGTAAACTCAAAGTTAAACAAGACTTGAGGAATTGGATTACAAACTGGTCGAACTGGTTTGAAGCTGTCAGATGTCGTCTTAACATTTAAAAACCTGCTCGACTCAACAAACACGTGCAAGGACAGGAGTAATGACTGTGAAATATTTAATAGGAAGGACACTGACATCAACATTAATGAGGTAAAAGTCTTTTCCAAAACCTTACCCTCTGCCTCTGTTTGTGCTTTTACACGGAGGGTCCAGCATATGGAGAGTGTGGGCTGATGGGGGGTTTAACCTGCAGGCACATAAGCCTGCAGCTGGATTCAGTTTGAGAAAAAGAGAAGCCTTTGGAGAGAATTCCGACTCACGTTTTTCTTGAAATTCCTGACAGAGATCTTTAAATAATTTAAAGAGAGTGGAAGTGTCGGTGACAGAAGTGATTTCCAGCTTCGATTGTCAAATATTGACGTGTGAGAAGGATGCTCTCTGAAGTACACTTTGATAGGGCTTGTGTGTTTGACAGATGGTGCTTTCAGGCCCACGGTGAGCCAGTGCAGAAACAGATGAGGGTTTGATGTTGGAGCCTGCTGGGGGGCATGTTAGCTTCACGTAATGTTACTGCAGCAACATGATCCAGAGTTCAGGTGATCTGTTTCTGCTGCAGAGTAGTTAAAACACTCGTTCAGTTCAAATGAAATGCCTGAATCCCATCAAACTGTTTGTCCTTTTTGAGCTGCTCCACACAGTTTTAATCAGTTTTTGAGATTGATTGATGTAAGTTTGGACGTTATGTGGTTTAATTTTATTTTTTAATGTGAAATTTTAACTTTAACTTTAAGACTCAGCTCACAAACACTGATGCTTTCATCACTTGGGACCTTTTCATACTGAAGTATATTAAACTCTGGAGCACAGGAGGTAAATAAAATACAATAAAAACCCTCTTTAGGAATTTCCCCCTCTGGTTTGAAATATGATGCTACAGCGCCCTCTTCTGGTAGTGTTATTGTCCTGATCACTGGTAGGTGGAATTAGGTAGTACACTCAAATGCACCAGATCTTTTGGAGTAATCCAGGTTACAAACTGACGTCTCGAAGGTGTTTTGTCTGACTAAATATTTCTGTTTTTCCTTGTAGGGGCCTGATGCTTTGAAGAAAAGGATCATTTCTTGAAGACAATGCAGTTTTATTTCTCTTATTTAATTTGACCATTTAAATTTAAGTTTTGTTTTGAGTATGTATGTGCTTTTATTTTCATTCAACAAACTGTGTCCTTGGCAGGCCCTGAAATAAATTATTCAAGAATGCTTAATTTTTGTAATCATTTATTTCTGTTTCAAAACAAAATAATAATAATAATAATAATAATAATAATAATAATAGATTTTATTTGTAACGCACTTTACATTTAAAAACAAATCTCAAAGTGCACAATGATAACAAAAAAAAGCAACAATAACAGTACTAAAAAAGGCAGCAATAACAGGAAAATCAAGCAACAGAACAGAACAATAAAAACAGTCGGCAGATAAAATCAGATAAAATGTGCAGATAAACAGAAATACCTCTTTGCGATAGGTTTGATTTAGTTTTTGCATCAATGGACCAAGTAATCGGAGTTCTCAGCTGAGTAATCTGTGGGTGCTGTGGGTGTGTTTGCACATACAGGTCAGACAGGATGAACCTTTTATGATGTATCAGATCATTATTTGTGATGCACTTGCTTGTATAAGCAGCATATTCAATTGAGCTAAAATGACTGAGTCATGGTGCACAGAAAAGATAAGTAACCTTGATCATCCTTCTGTATGTTATTTGGTTGTCTTTATTGCTTGGCAGCAGCTGTCTGCATCATGAAAAGGACTCAATCCTCTCTGAACATAAAGTCACCTCTTAGTAAATACATGCAGTACCTTTGAAAACACACAGTTATTTTCCCTTCTTGATCATGAGTGGATCTCATTGTCAACACAGACGTGTCAAAATCAGGTGACACCTCTCTTATTTTACAGTGTGCATGCCCTCCTTTGTTAGAACAGCAGGGGGCGCCTGTTTGATGTGTCTCGGTGTTTTTACACTTGAACTGGGCCTGGAAAACTAAACGTTTTTGGAGACAGCGAAAACCACGAGGGCTGTGTGTATCATCTGCCAGCAGAATAACCAAAGACTGGCTCCCACTGCAGGAGTAGGGGGCTCTGTTTAGGTGTCAGACTGTGGACAGGCGTGGCAGTGGGCTGGTCCAGGCGCGCAGGGGAGATGAAACACATCAGGGTCCATTGATTTGGTTTGAGCTGAGGCCCTGAAATAGTCTGACAAAGAAACCTAGTATCGCGAGGCAAGCTTTGATAAATCTGCTGTCATTAAACCACATCTGTCTCTATTCTGAGGGCGGCTGTGGGCTGTGGGTGTGCCGCACCCACGCTGAGGACACCGTCCTGAGGATGCACTGAGGTGAGTACTCTGCCTCTTCTTCATATTTGTGTTCACTTGTGTCGGATGAGGCAGTCATGGTGAAATGGCTGGGCGTTGCACGGGGTCCTCCCTGTCGCGTGCATGAGCAGTATGTGCGCATGATGCCTCAGTGACACTGCGCCGTCCTTACAGCCTCATGTTTACCATCTTGTTTCTCTCTTTCTTTCTTTCTTTCTTTCTTTCTTTCTAATGATGCTCGGTGTAAAAGGATTAAAGTGGGATAGTTTTGGCCCATGAATGCATGTCCTCTCCCTGCCTTTAGGCTTCGCTTATGTCAAGTGCAAGGTCCCATATGTGCAGAGCCTGTGTTTTGCTTTCATAGTGATGGCAGTGCTCGAGCCATGAAGGCTTTAATCCAGCTAATTATCGTCCCGTTGATGGTTTTTCACTTATTTTACCAGAGACCAGAAAATCTAGTCTGATGATAAATATGTAGGGAAGCACGAGGGTCTTTGTTTTACAGAAATGTGATGCTTTTAAACGCGCAGCAGCTGATTTATCCACGGAGAAGAGTCGTGCAGAGCGGTGTCGTCGCTCACGTCCTCTGCATTTTTGCGGGTGGCCATTAGCGGATGATGCTCGCCCTGCTGGTGCTGAGGCTGCAGAGCGTGCGAGTGTTGCTAGGCAGCCGTGCAGACTGACTGGTGGCGGAACGGAGGATGCTAAACCCATAAAAACAATATTGTGCATGCATGTTAAATATGGCGCTGATGCAAAACACAGTGCACTGCACGTACATGACTATCTGCACGCACACTCTGACTGGATGATCGATGGGCCTGTGCTCCTCTTCCTCCTCCTCCTAGTCCGGGTGGCACAGCGTGTTTTGGGGGGATGAGCAGGGTATCTGCCACAACACAAAGGCAGAGAATATGGATTCACCCAAACCACAGCAGACCTGATACTCAAGTTATGTCACAGTTACAGGGCATATAGGGAGCCCATTTTTATGCCCTCTGTTAATCATGGGTTTGAAATTTACATTTTACTTTCTCAAATTATAGGTGTACAATGATTTAGTTTAGAACATTTATTAGTGTGTTTTTATCTGCAGAAAATCCTGATTTCTTTGAGACAAAAATGACAACATAGATATTTCTAACACTGACCAAAAGATACAGCAGAAGGTCAGTCATATCTCAGGTTTGCCTGATCGGTGTGCAGTTTGTGTCAATGAAGAATAGTCTCATAACTTGTTGTCTTGGTTGTTGTGGAGTTCATTTTTCCCGCTAAGTATTTACATTAGATTTAATGTGCTTCTCCAGTGTGAAAGCTAAACTTGCTGTAGAGGCCGAGAGAATGGAGAGTCATCTTGCACAGAGTCAACAAAATGTATTCTGCCTCTACATCATTTATGTATTAATGCATTTAGGTTCTGTGTACACAGCATTTCTGCCAAGTGCTCAGTCAGATGTTTAGAGTAAATGAGATCATTTGTTTGGGGCTGAATAGGGCGAAATAACCCTTCAATTAAATATACAAATGCCACAACAATGAAGTCTGCTACAGTCTTCAACTGTTTGTTATACTAAAATGAATATAAGTTACTTAGGTTATAATCTGAGCTGAGTTTGAATTCTTCAGTGTGCAGTGTATACCGTAGGTCATGGGTAGTATAAAGCCAGACAATGAAAAACGACTTATTTCAGTTGTTTTAATCTCAGATATGGTGGAATATTTCAATGCAAAATCACAATATTCACCGCCCTCTTGTTTTGAAAAACTATGTAACAGCACTCGTTTGCAAAAAGCAGTTATGTAACTGGATGTGATCCACCAACGAGACATTATGACATGAAGCTAATGAAAGTGGAGCCCGGGGAAATCATTCTGGAGCCACTCGAGAGTAAATCAGTCCATTTCTTTCAGGCTGAATACGGTAAAATCACCTTTGAATGAAATGCAGACAAGCTTTTATGATGAAGTCTGCTGTGGGCGTACCCAAGTCTCTCTCTCTGATGGCTTTGTTAGACGGGATATACAATTTAACTCCTCTATGATTCGTGTTTTGATTTGACATCTTGCAATTATGATCAGTTTGAATTCCACTGAATATAGTTCACAGCCTTCAGTTTATTATAAATAACTCCTTAATTACAAGCTTTCTGACAAGGGCTGCTATTGTGTTGCTTTGCATCAAAATTGAGTGTAAACATTTGTACAACTGAGGTATTGGATTCAATGTTTTTACTGTTATAACAACACATGTTGACATCTCTCTTATTAGTACTCGACATTTTGTGAGATCATGATGTGGTATCTGATCCAAGAGAGTGCCCTCAAACTAAGATCATGTTTTGGACCAAAGACATGTAATACAACTGCAGCCTTATGTTTCAAACTGCATCTGAAACAACTCATTCAAACACAACCTTTATGAAAAATGACTTACTTTGGCAAAACAACTGCGTCCAATGATCCACTTTTTAGAGAACTGGGTGTAACAGTTCTTACTTGCCCCAAAACCAGTTACATAACTGGATGTGATCCACTAACCAGCCATTACGACATAAACCTAATGACGGGGAGGCCAGGGGAAATCAATCCTGGGTTACTTAGGTAATTATACCCCTATCTGCTGCTCTGCTGCTGGATGTCAATGCTCAGACTCAGACCCCCCCTAAAACCACTGAGAGTGGGTAGATTTACAGCAGTCAATGCAGGCGTGGATGTGTGAAGGTGATGTGCATCACACAAATTCACTTCCAATGATTCAGAGTGAAGCTGCAGGATCAGATTTAGGAGTTCGTATATATCTGATGTAGCCCGAACAGGGTAAAAGCTCAATGTTAGATAAGGAAACAGCCAGTAAAACAGCCCCCCTACATCCTGAGGTTTCATGAAACAAAAGCGGGGTGATAATGCAGCCGTCACGGTCTGTGACTGAGGATTAAGTGGAGGAGGAAGCAGAGATGGTGGGCCTGCAGCCAGATCTCCATGTCTCCCCTCAGTCATTAGGACCCTCCCAGGAGAGAGAGGCTTTCTGTCTGGTGCCTGTCAGCTGGGCCCCCTCTACCCCCACAGAGAGAGAGAGAGAGTCATATACACTGTGAACCAACATCTGCTGTGAGTAAGAGGAGAGAGAGAAACCTGCGTCAGTGTAACACTGATACTGATTGGCAGCTTTTCAGGTAATTTGTTAACAATGACCGTGATAGTATTTTGAATTTAAGACAAAACCAAACCTCATAATAAGACATCTGTTCGGAGATCAACTCCAGAGATGCTTCTAAACATGAATAATCCAGTGAGTTTTACTTTATGGGATGTATCTAAATGAATGATTGCTCAATGCTTTAGCAAATTGCAGATGAATTTAAAGATCTGATGTAGTATCTCAGTTGAAGCTTGGTCGGGACAAAGTGCAGTTTTATCCAGAAACTCCATTAAAGGTTTAGTCATCTGTTGGCTTTTCTCACAATCAGAATGAGCAATTCAAAGAGATCTGATGCAACCATCTTTTCTCTGTTAGTGTGAGAGTGTTCGCTCTGAATGTTGAGGATATTGTTTGGAGTGCATGTGATCAGAGATGCGTTGAAAGCAGGGTTGCAGCGGTGACGCTCTTAAAGTAAGTCCTTGCGCCAGTTGGTGAGATGTAGTGGAGGGGAGAGGGTGTGGTGTGTTTGGGACCTTATCTGCTCCCTGCAGCACTGTGTGTGTGTGTGTCTGTGTGTGTTTGTGTGTGTGTTCACGTGCAGGAGCTGAGTATGTTTCACTCAGGGTGGGGTGGGGCGAGCTCCTTCCACTAGATCCTTACCGTAACTCTTTACCCTTTCTCCAATTACCGAGCTGTATCACGAGCTAACTTCCTGTCTGTGGTCTGACGCTGCTGTCTGCATGTGAGCTCTTACTGCTAATGCTCCATTTGCTTCAGCTCTGCATTTCCACCAGCCAGGGCCCTGAGGGATACAGCATCTTTAATGTTGAGGGTAGGTTACTTTTCATCTTAACGCTGCCATTTGAAAAGAGACAGAAATCAGGGCTTATGTGCAGTCCAGTGTTCTGTTTATTTTTAAACCTCAGGAGCAAACTCGGCTTTCATACTAATATGAGATACAAGCAGATTTGCTGTGAGTTGATTTCCACTTTAGTGAGTTTATTGATTGAACTGACAGTTGTTATTTAATGTTTGATCCTGCATCCGTCCCATGGCTCCTTGCAACTCTAGATCCTTCAGCTATCGAGGACTCTGATGTGCACAGACTGAGGAAACCTGAAAATGCTCTGCTGCACGTTGCACTTCGATTTCTTAGGATAAGCCATCACTTTGTCGTCAGTTTCACAGGATTATTTTTATTGTTTTCTAGCTTTAATCTTTAAGTCTTATCCGCCTCATTCCCTCATTTGCAGTCACGTCACTTGCCCGCTCGCTTAAATTCTTACGTGGATATGATGACCGTTTTGAAGCAGTCTGGAATTTCCACAACACTACTAATCGACATCCTATCTTACTTTAGGTAATTTAACCCACAGTAGTTAAATTACAGACTGCAGGAACTAACCTAAAAAGATCATTAAGAAGACTATTTTCTCCCTCATAGACTTAATGCTTCTTTGCTGCTGTGTTGCATTTGTTTTTTTGCACTTTTGCACTTCCCCCACTCTACCAAGGATAAGAAATGTTTACATTAAATCCCCACCAAGTCGGCGTTACTTTGAGTAACTTTCAGATCAGGTAGCATCACACGATAATTAGCTGTTACCTTTACTTGGGTGTGTAATGCAGGTTGATTATCCCAAAGTTGCTGCATCAAATTTTATGTGTTTCACTCCTTTGCAGCATCTTTTTGTTGCAGCACAAGGCGATCCGTGTCTTCTCCCAGGTTGTACAGTATTTTTGTTTTGTGTAATAAAAATTCAGAGTGTTGCAAAGCCATAACAGTGACATCTTTAGGCCTTTAGCTGCCATGAAACGCCCCATTGTTCCAATAAGTAGTGGGCGGGGTGTGATTTACACTGTTCCTATGATTAATGATGTCTTCAGGCCAGCCTCTATTTCTCCTGTTTTATCTTAGAGCTTTCTTTGTGTTTGTTGTAATGTGTCCAGTGGAAATATCGAGCGTGGCCATGTTTAATAACCAATCTTTATTGACATGAAGTTCAGGATTTAAACCCGAGTTATAGTTTCAAATCACCTGAACCTTGCATTAATATTATTTGGTTAAAGTGAAGTTGTAAATTGTTGAAGATATCTGAAGTAAACCTACTAAAATAATCTGCTGTACCCACTTTTTTCCATGTCTAGTCCTAAGATGTGGAAAAACCAAAGCTGATAAGTCAAGATGCCCCACAGCTCCTTAAAGATGCTAGTCAAGACCTGTTTCACCCCGAACCCCCTTCAAATTGCAAGAGCTCTTACTCTTCCTGGTTGTTTCCTCCCTCCTTCAATCATTGTTTCAAGAGGGGCTGACCAAATTCGCACGGCACTGAATTAATGTTGCTTCATGATTTACATAAAAGCCTTAAAGAGCTCTGAATCTCCTCATCTCCCTCTTCAAAATAAAAGCGCAAGAGTCTGTCTTTTTTAAGTCAAGCATCCTCATGAAAACAATATTTTTCCAGTTACGTTCATCTAATTTTAATGATGGTCATTTTTAATGAGGGCTGCACCTCTTATTTGATTATGATAGCAGAATGAAGTGCTCTCAAACCAGCATTGCTAATATTGTCACTCTTCCTTCGCAGCTCTCCCCACCCATCCTTGGTTGTAAGTTGCGAAACAGAAGAAGATGAGTAAGTCCCCCACGCCCAAGAGCACCCCGGTGCAGCGCAGCCCCAGCGATGGGGTCCCTGAGAGCCTCCAGTCTCCTCAGCACTCCACACCTGGCTCTGAATCCCAGCATAAGAAACGCATCTCCAGTCTCCTCCAGAGTCCGGTGAGACGGTCGTCTGTTTGTGTGTGGATGATTCATCGCCTCGGTCTTTCTCCTTTTCTGTCTCCTTCCCCCTAGTTGTGGTTATCTCCTCACGTTGTGATCAATCTGAGCTCAGATGCCACTTGACAGCTCGGGTAGCAGTCAGTGCAGGGAGTGCATGACTCTGTTTGTCTGTAAGAGGGCATAAGGAGGCCCCATGATGCTGATGTAAAGTGTGAATCAGTCATTGTGTAAATGTATGAACTCAACCTCCCTCTTTGGGTGTATGCAAGGTCAAACTCCCAATAAATGCCCTCTGAACATTATAAAAGTGAAACTCATTGTATGTGTGGTAACATATTCATATTTGTGTTTGTGCGTAGTCATTCAGGGAGGAGCTGGATGTGCTGATCCAGGAACAGATGAAGAAGGGTGGCAGCTCATCAAACCTCTGGGCGCTGAGACAGCTGGCTGATTTTATGGCCTCACACGGCTCTCCAGCCGCCCTGCCAGTTTCTCCTTCCAGTATGTGAACGTTTCCATCCTTCTGCAGAATGTCATTGTTTCTATATGTTTAACAGAGTCATGAAAATTCTGCAGGTTGTAACATGTTTAGTTTAGCTGGATGTATGTTTGATTCACTAAAAACCAGCGTAGAGAAATGAAAATCCCATTACCTCTTAAATTCAGTCTGAACTCACACTTTACGAGGACAGTCCACTGCAGGAGTATCCATCTGCTCCACTGTTATTCTTGTCCCATTGCAGCGAGATTACCACACAAACACTCACACTCTGGGATGGGAACAGATTTGCTCAGCAGACACACAAACTCATCCACAAATTTTGAGAAACAGAGAACCAGAGCATCCAAAAAAAAACATGTACTGGCTAAATGAGGAACTGTTTCCCTTCCTTGTGGGACAAAATTGGCTTTGGGAACCCTCAGGTTTCAGTATCTTGGTTAACTTTCTTCACCAGGGGTTCACTTGTTGATATTGCCATCAGACTCCATTTCCGAAAAAAGGCTGCCGGTGTCAAACGGACAGATTTGATGCTCATAACATGAAAACCCTTTATGTAATTGAAACAAGTTTGATTTGATGCCAGCAAAACATTTTAAAAAGTTGGGTTAGGTTAAAATTTAACACTGTGCAATGCTAAAAAACACTTGCAGGAACATCTCCTAACTAATCAGATTAATTTACAACAGGTTGTCATTAAGACTGAGTATAAAAAGGTGCTGCAGAGAGGCTTAGACTCAATCTAAACTTCCTCCTGAAATCCTGAGCCCTCATGAGCTGAATTAACCTCCCCTGGAAAGTGATTAAGTGTTTAAAGCTGTAAAGGCTCAAAATAATGTAAACAGGAGCGAGACAGCACTTAGTGACCTCTCACAAAACACTGACAGCACAGCAGCATGTTTCTGTCCCTCATGGTATTTGGAGTTTTTATTTTATGTTTTCACTTTCTCTGAAACCATAAAGAAAAACAGAGAAAAGAAACAATGAGGCATATGATGTCCGAAATCAATATTTTTGATGCCAAAGTTTCAAATTTGCAATAATAATTTCATAGTTATTATGCTGCAGTGTGAATACAATAGGGAAAATCTGCTTTATTTCAGGTGTTATTTGGTAATATTTCCTATTTATACAGTTTTTATCTCTTCGGTATAGCTTTTGTTTACTTATCCGTGTTTGCAGGAAATCCTGGGAATCTCATGTTTCACGTCACAATATTATAAACTATGTGTTATTCCCTCGCTGCACGTCTGCAGATATGCAGTCACAGAAAGGGTGCACAAATGGCTCAAAGAGTCTCCTCCCAGAGATCCCTCATGAACTTGAGGTTTTGACAGTGGGACAGTCTGAAACCCTCATGGACAAAGCTGTCAGAGTCAGTGAGCGTGGTCATAGAGAAAAGGAGAGGTTTGCCTCTCTGATCTGTGGCGTCACCAGTTAAAAACATTTGGTCTATCATGAAATAAATGTAAAAAAAAAGGAGATTCAGAAGTTTTGAGCTGCTGAAATACTTTTTCAGGCAAGAATGGGAAAACTTTTTACTTTGAAAACTCCATAAACTGGTCTCCTCAGTTCCCGGATATTCAACAGAGTGTTGTGGAAAGAATAGGAGATGCAACACAATGTTGATACAGGGTAAACTTTTCTGGTAAACTGCGAAAATATACTGAGCACACATCTGCTTCTTTGCAGGCCATTTTTTTGGGTAGTTTTTCCCTGGTATTTTTGAGTATGTGAGCTAAACTTTGTAGAAAAACTGGTGAGCAGTGACGACACTTAAAAACATGAAGTTGACAAAACTGGTGTATATTTTCAGTGAATGCAAGCGTGCAACCTTTTTGATGGAAAAAATAGCCACCTACTGATTGTCCAGGTTGATTCAGGTGCATTTGTGCAGGTTCAGATATGAATTCAAAACAGATAAACACACTCAGAGCTGCAAAATCAAATCACGTCCACGTATCCTCATACAGTTTTCACCACCACCAGTTCAAATGTGTGTGAAGAATCAGTCAACCTCCTACGTTTATTTCTCCAGATCATCTTTCTGTGTTCGATTTTTCTCTCTTTTCCTCCCACAGACATGATGATGGTGACGCCCATCAATGACCTGCACGGCTGGGAGCCCGGCAGCATGGTGAAGGGCGAGAGGCTGATGCGCTGCAAGCTGGCCAGCACCCATCGCCTGTTTGACCTCTTCGGTTGGGCGCAGATCAGCCACACATGTCTCACTGTGAGTTTCACTCTCAGTCTTTCTTTCTGCTGTGAGGCCGAGCGCACAATGACTGAGCAGCATCACATCAGTGTTTGACTTTGACGCTCCGGGCTTTTTGATAAGATCAGCTCTGGTCTGCAGTTTTTAGTGAAAGTCGGCATCGTATCGGGACTAAAATGAATTACACTGTACTTGAATTATCCGCCCTCATTTATGTCTCCCCTCTTCTCTGACAGCTGCGTGTGAGCAAAGAGCAGGAACACTTTCTGGTGCTTCCAGATGGACTGGCTTATAGTGAGGTGACCGGGTCCAGTCTGGTGAGTAGGACTGAACACGCTCATAAAGGACTGATTTCTGCTCATAGACTTTGCTCAAACCATTATTCTTGGGTCATTTGACAAATCAGAATCAAGCAGAAAAAAGTTCCTCACGTGAACTTTGTCTCCAGGTGAAGGTGAACATCTTGGGCGAGGTGGTGGAGAAGGGCAGCACCAACCTCAGCGTGGACACAGAGAAGTTCAGCCTGCACTCAGCCATCTACTCCGCACGGCCTGATGTTCGCTGCCTGCTTCACCTCCACACACCGGCCACGGCTGCGGTGAGTCAGTCCGAGCCAACGCGAGGCGAGAGGTCAGCGTTGGCCGGTCGAATCCAGAAGAATGCGCAACTCAGATAATACTCTGAAACATAAAAAAACATCTTACTTTCACAGTTAAGACCCACGAGTCCAAACAAATCAGCTTAGCTTGTTGCTCTTGGTCTGGATGCATTAACCAGCACAGATCTGCTTATGATTCATACTGTGACTTAATCTGAGGCTGTGACATTATCCTACATCCATGACTGACAGCCAGCTGTCTCCAGGTTTCAGCTATGAAGTGCGGCCTCCTGCCTCTCTCCCATGAGGCTCTGCTGGTCGGCGATGTGGCTTATTACGACTACAATGGAGTCATGGAGGAGGAGGAGGACCGAGTGGAGCTGCAGAAAAGCCTGGGGCCGACCTGTAAGGTGAGCAGACTGCAGAGGAACAAAAAGAGCTTTATTTATCTCAGATATCATCGCCTGAGTCAGCAGTCACTGTACCCGCCTCCCTCATGAGTTGTTTCAACTTCATGAATGGATCAAGAAAAGATGTGGAGGATGTTTTAAAGCGTCTCCTGCTGTGTGGTGACTAACCCTGGGCGCCGCTCTTTCTTTACCCTCCTCACAGTAACGTTTTTCATGGTGTTTATAAAGATGTTAAAGGTTCTTCTGCGTGTAAATGCAGCTGTCGTGGTTTTTTGCAGGTGCTGGTGCTGAGGAATCACGGCATTGTGGCTCTTGGGGAGTCTGTTGAGGAGGCCTTCTACACCATCTATCACATCCAGGCTGCCTGCGAGATCCAGGTACTACACACACACATACACACATATACACACACACACTCCTTTCAGTGACTAACAGCTGACGCATTAGTGACAAAGTGCTGCCACTGCATGTGTGTGTGGGTGTGTGTGAGAGGTCGAGAGAGCTGCATGTGTACATAATGTAGATACACCTGTGCACTTTTCTCCTCTCGCTGTAAAGGCAGCTCTGCACTGCAGTATATTTCAGCATGAGGGAGTGGTGTGCCAAGAGCCACTGCAGTTATCCTACAGGACCAACAATGGCCTGTAGGGAAGGTCATCCATCCCTCAGATCTCTGGGGATACTGAGGAGGAGCACACTCTGCCGGCCTGCTGGGAGTAAAACATGACCGATAGAGACAGAGGCTCGCTCTTAATGTGGTCTATTTTTCCTCAGGTGACGGCTCTGTGCTCTGCTGGAGGTGAGCAGAACCTGATCATGCTGGACCGGACCATCCATAAACCCAACATGACCGGCACCGTGGGCTGGGCCGGCTCCACGTTTGGGCCGCTTCACAAGAGCCGCCTGGGGGAGCACGAGTTTGAAGCTCTCATGAGAACTTTGGATAACTTGGTGAGTGGCAGTCAGTGTTTTAGCAAAAATAATGAAGATATTTTCAACTAATCAATCTTTATTTATACAGCGACAACTCATAATAATAATAGTAATAATAACTTTATTTTATAGCACTTTTAAAAACAGAGGTTAACAAATTGTTTTGACAAATGGTCATAAAGCACAGAACATCGGCACATGGAAATTAAAACAAATAAAAACAAAAACCTCAGTTAAAATGGAATTGAAGGCCAGTTTCATGTTATAAGGAACACAGACAATACAAGAAACGTGCAACATAAAATGAGACCATGAGGACCAAAATAAAAACATAAAATAGATAAGTATTTCGGCTAGTATAACGAAAGCTAAAAAGACAGTAAAGCCAAAAAAGACAGAGGTGAAAGAGATAAGAGATGAAAGACTGCGTCACATAAAAGCAAGTCTGTAAAAGTGAGATTTTAAGATCGACTTAAATGAAGCGATTGTATTTGCATGCCTCCAATTCATGACAAGTGTTATCTTGAGATGCTTAACAAAAAAGGCAGGTCCAGACAAAACTCTAGTTACAAAGACCAAAAGACCCAACCTTAAGATGGGACAGATTTGACCCAGCTCATCTAACATGAGTGACAGTGGCAAGGAAAAACTTCCTTTTTACAGGCAGAAATCTTGAGCAGGTCCAGACTCATGCTAGACAGCCAGCAGGTTGCTGTTGAGTTGGAATAAATACTGAGAGAAAGGGAGGGGGAGAGAGAAAGAGGAGTAGGAGGGAGGGCAGGGAGAGAGAAAGAGAACAAGGGAGTAGGAAGAAGAGAGTGTATGAGCCATTTTATCTATATTATATTTTTTTGGGGGGGGGGGTGTTTTGTTACTCACACAATCACCACACGTACATCACCATCGTCGTTAGTTGGACTTATCTGTCTTTTTTTTGTTTGTTTTTCATTTAATCAAAAATGGCAAAAATATAACTCAGAAACAACCTTCGATTGGACATTGGATTGTACTACAAGCGCATCAAGAGCTTGTAGTACGAGAGCAAGGGAGAGGGAGGGAAAGAGAAAAGAGAACAAAGGTGAGAGAGAGAGAGACAGGGGACAGCAGCAACATTAAAACAACAGCAACAACAACAACAGCAGCGCATACAGAGTTGTGGTTGCAGAGCAAATTGAACCCCATCTTGTGAGATCAGACCCATTCTCGTCCCATCTTCAACCACACGAGTGAAGCACTTTGCAGCATTTAGTGAGTTACAGTGGAGAGGAAGAACTTCCTTGAACAGGCAGAAACCCTGAGCAGAACCAGACTGTCTGAAATATTCACGACGGATTAGGATCAGGCGTCATTTTGCACACACCACCATGGCCTTCACACGCCAAGCTTCGACATGTCAGTTATGGGAAAATATTCAGAAGTGTCGGAAACAGAACTTCTCTAATTTTCAACCCTTTTTTTGAGACGGTGTGTTACACGGTTACTCGAATTCCCTCATTGTTTTTCTGTTCAAAATTTAAAAAGTCGACATGCTGAAAAGTTAAAATCCCACTTGGGTGTGAGTGGGAGATTCACTGATTCACACAAACTTCAGGAGGTTTGTCGGCAGCTCCAGGCAGCTCAGTGTGGAGGCTGCTTCTGCTACCACTCCTCCTCTGCTTTATTCAAAAGTCTTCTTTAAACATAATACATCCAAAAAGACTCTATCTGTTTGTGTAGATTAACTTTATCACAGTGAGGAGTTTTTAGATTGTTAAGAAAGAGCCTAAAACTGATCCTGTTGTTTCTTTACGACCTTAGAAATGGAGGGAAACCATCAGAAACAAGGCTGAAGGGGGTAGGGGTCAGACCAGTTGATTGACAACAAGCTTTAAAATGGCAAATAACCACAGCGAGTGACATATTCACTTCTAAAAGACATTGGTTTAATCTTTTGGCTGAAAACTTCTTTGACATACAAGACAAAAGATAGAAAGTGTTGTGTAATATAAATGTAAAAACAACAACACAAGGATAAAAATAAAAGTTCACCTCGTGTCACAAGGCAACCAGTTTGTGCCGTTTTTATTTCATTTATCAATTAATCGACTAGTGAATTTGTAGATGAAATGTCTCTGATCAGCATGGATCACAGGAACATCATGTCTAACTTCTCCATCTCGATAGCTGCAGAAAGATTCCCGATGTTTCATTAAAAGCCCCCTGAAGCTTTTCCATTAGACGTCTCAGTTTGATGCATCAGCTAAAAGTCTTCCAGGATATTCAACCTTGATGTAATATATTCATAACGCTGCTTCTTCGTACAATATTTTCACATCTCATATCTGATATTTTAACACTCAGAATGTGAAATTTTGCTCATCATAGACATGAAGATTGTCTCCATTAATCCAGCAGTAGAGTTCATCTGATGGACAAACTAAACGCTAAAAAGTGGCTGTTTTAAAAATGTTATTTACAATCTGGTCATGTCGACGATTATGGACATTAATTAAAGGTTTAAGCTGCATTATAATATATAGAAACATGGTACTTGAGTGTTAGACTAAAGCCAGCAAGTTTGACTAAAACAGCGTCTCTGATCAACGCTCCATAATAATTGTATTTCTGTTGTTGTGTCATATTTACATATACAGTATACATATATAAATACATCTATGTGTGACTCTGCAGGTGGTGTTTTTATTTCTGTTTTAACTGGATTTCACAGTGACTAAGTACTCCCCCTCAAAACTGGAGCTTCTTTTTACAGCTCAGATGTAACATGGATTTGAAAGATTTGTAATATTAGAAACATAGAAACGTTACAGGTTAGTGCTGCGAGGCTTCAAAGACTGAGGTGTCTTTCTCTTGTTGTGATCCAGGGCTATCGTACGGGCTACGCCTACCGTTTCCCCGTGCTGCTGGAGCGGTCGAGGACGAGGCGAGAGGTGGAGGTGCCTGCGACCGCCACCACTTTTTACCAGTTTGATGATGACGGGATCCACCCGGCTCTGAGGCAGCACCCGTTCGCTCAGCGCCAGCAGCAGGAGAGGACCCGATGGCTCAACACCCCAAACACCTACCAAAAAGTCAGCCAGGAGCAGGCCAGCCCGGGACACCAGCGCACCACCGTGAGTCACTTTGAAATGACTTTTGATGGGTCGATCAGGTTAGACTGATCCGAACCTCCACCTGGATCAGGCCAAAGCTCATCTCCTCTACGCTGTGTCTGACTTTACCGGCCCTTGTGTGTTTGTCACTGATGCCTGCTCTGTTCCCTTTGCTGCTGCTCCCCCTGCCTTGGCTTTTCATGTTTCACAGGGAAGAGGAGGCAGGAGTGCAGAATATGATTTTAATTCTCTTTGACTGAACCATATGAGGAGAAATGTCGAACTTTAAGTTACAAAGCGGATCAAATATTCAGTTTTTAAAGAGCAGAAGGGACCCTGCCTGCGGTGATATGTGGATTTAAGAAATATTCAAAGAAGCTGAAGAGCAGAGGGATCAGGACCAGGAGTGAGATTAGTGAACTGTGAGGAGAAGAAGACTTAACTCATGCTAATGTGTGAAGCTTTAGTTCAAAATTATAACGACTGCAAGAAGGAGGCTTGGCAACAGAGAAGCTAAGTCACAAACTGGTTATATTTGCAGTAAAAACAGCTGAAGCTCCTTCTGTATTTTTTGTTATTGCTGCAGACATAATTGAACAGCATGGAGTATTTGTTTTTTAATCTGTATGCCTTGGAGGAAAGATGAAGCAGAGCTGCAGTGATGAGTCCTCCGGAGACAAAAACAATGTGAGACCAGTTGCCTGACATCAGTGGGAGGAGCTTCGAGCTCCCTCTCTGTTTTCTCTCCTCCTCAGTTCCTCCCACCCTCCTCTCTCTCCTCTTCTCTGCATTGCAGGGGAAAGCCCTCTGCACTTTCAGGGGTACTGCTGTGCAGAGTCTGCCCTCTGGTGGACAAATGTCATATCAAGTTTGCATTTGAAAAACACTCTTAAAAAAAAGGAAACATACATGTTTTATGAAGTGGCATTATGTTTGATCTGAATACAAAACTCAGACGAGGTTTTCTGCATCCTGTGCCGTAGTGGTTAAAGGCAGAAGAGCTGACCCAAGCTGGCAGCACAGCCATCAAGATCGAGAACCCAAACCAGTTTGTGCCTCTTTTCACCAACCCTCGAGAGGTCATTGAGACACGAAACAAGGTTCGCCTTTTCCCTTCCTCCCTCTCTTTGCTGTGTGCTCACTGTAACATGAAATTTTACTCAACATGATTTATTCTTCACCCTGAAGATCCGACAGCAAAACCGTCAGGACATGAAGACAGCTGGACCACAGTCTCAAGTCCTCGCCAGTGTAATAACAGTTGACAGTCCTCCGGTAAACTGCTCTCTCACTATTTGCCAAACATCTCTCCATTTTCCCCTCCATCTCCTCTCTTGGCTGCAGAGTTAAAAGCTGTAATTTGGTTTCTGTTTTTGCCTCCTAGTCTCCAGTCAGCCCGCCTAAACTCCCACCTGAGCCAGAACCTCCGAACCCCTTTAACCAGCTGACGGATCAGGAGCTGGAGGACTATCGCAAGGAGGTGCAGAGGAAACAGGATGGAGGGACTGACGGTATGAACCTCAGTTCACCTCATCAAACGTTGCTTATTAACCATATAGCCATTGTGCACAGAGAGTAGGTGTCTGTTTATCCCTCGGGCAAGACTTGTAGCTGTATTTATATGTGCAAGTTAAAAGTCAGATCAATGTAATTAATGCAGCTCCACAGAAAAGACTGCTAATCATACATGTGGATATAATTAAGGGGTGTCAGGATGAGAGTCCACAGCGCAGCAGTGAGATGCTGACAGCTCCTCTTGGTCACAATCAGATGCAAAACTGGAGCAAACTGCACAAAACTGCAGAACTTTATGGGTGTTTTTGCCTTTAAAATTTGTGCAGTAATTTTTGTGAAGTGGACATGGAGCTTGAGAAGATAGAGCAGGCAATAATATGCAATTCATACATAAGTATTAGCTGTGTATTGTTTTAAATTCAGTGTAATATACTAATACTCGCTTACACCGTTAATATATTGTGGTTCTTCCTTTAGCCTTCGAAAGGGCCTGTGTGGTGTATTTTACTGTAATAGATTTATTAAAATTTTCCCATCTTTATTCTCACTTCATAGTCAAAAACATCAAATGTAAAGTATTTTAAAGTATACTCTTGAAGATTGTCCTGCACTAAAATGAAAACAGTCATTCTGAAGTGTAAATGCGACACACAGCCCCTTTCTCTGACTTGATTTCTCTTGTGACTGTCTTTCTTGTAAGCTGTGCTCACTTTTTCTGTGTCTTACATTTCTAACTTTCCTGCGCAGCTGAACTCTCACTGTCCCTCACTGTGTGTTTGTATTTATGTGTAAGTAGGGGAGGAGGTGGCAGACGACAAGGAGTCTTCCCCTGCTACCTCCCCCTCAAAGGGCCCTCCCCTCGAAGGTGAGGCTTTGCAGAGCGCTGAATGTCTGCCCTGCCTGCCTCTGCATATCTGAGCTGCAGCCCGCTACAGTTCTCCATGAGCTCATGTGTGACTGCTTCTTCCCTCCATGCTTCGAACTCTGCCTGACAACCGTGTTACATCCCCTCACGTGTAGATGATCCTGTCTCTGTGCAGTTCAAACACCATTCATATGGTGGCTTATTTTGCATATTCAAAATATGCACAATAGTTTTATTAGTGGTTCCATTAATAGATATATGTTTGTGAAATCGCACAAATTACATATTTCAAGTTAGCTGGACAGTTTCTTATATTTTTAGGCTTAAAGTTGATTTTTGTACCTTATCCAGTTGAAATATTACACATAACATTGTCTAAGAAAAATCTAGTTGTATAGAATGAAGTATAGATTATCACAGCAGTGTTCTCGTGTTATATAGAGTTGGAGTCGTGGCATAATATGAGAAAGATCCTGCGTTAAAAATAATGTCAAAGTAAAAAAGAGAAGTATTATCACCAAATTAATTAAATAAAAGTGTAAATGGTGCAGAAAAATTTGGAATAACTACAGTGCTCTGTGTATAGTATTATGCATTAAACAGTGTTGGCCTGTCTGATGCAACCTAGACTACAAAACGTTAAATTTAATCATGTTGAAGATCAAATTGAAGTCCTTAAATTTTTCTTCGTCCTTGGTTTCCTTTGACTTCATTCTTGACCATTATTGATCTTTTTGTAAAATTGATGAAATTCGGGTCACAGGTCAAAAGAAATGACAAAAAACACAAATTTACTCACTTAGCCTGCAGTCTGAAGGTCCGTAATTTCTGCCTCCCTTCAGTGCTGCAGAAGTAAATCATTTTTAAAGCTTAAATCATGAAGATATTTGAGAGTTTTAAACAGGAGACAGGAGACGAGTGAAAATGCTGACAGCGTAAACTGTAACTTGGAAAGAAAACTTGTTAACTCTTATTTCAAACATTAATTCTGAGGGAGTAACTGCGGTCATCAGGTTTTGTTGGCATGTGCATTTGATCTTCATCATAAAACATCTTTTGTCTTCACATAAGAGGAACACACAGATTCAGCTTATAGCACTAACAGCCCCTCTGGTACTTTTAGCTCTGCCAGTCAGTTTTGTAGTCAAGTCACCAAACCTCATGTCCAAGTCCAGCCCCGAGTCTGCAGCTCTCTTGATGGAGAGACACTCATTTTCTCTGCTGTGGCTGTAACCCACATCCAAGTGACTTTGGTGTCTCTCCTTGACCACATCTTCCATCTTCCCTCTGATGGTTCCTTTTTGTCTCCAGTAAGCTGCTCTGCTCTTGTTTGCATTCACCCTCAAATGTTTGAGAGCAAAGCACACGATTCATGCTGAACAAAGGCGGCACATGAACGTGTGCACGGGGGGTGAAAGCACAACTCAATAAAACAGTCTCTTACAGTAAATAAGTCAGGGTCCTCGAGTCCTAGAAATTAGGGTTAAAAACCAGATTGAGTCTTGTATTTGAGTACCACATTACTGCTGCCAGAGTCTCCCTTAAAACGGGCAAAATTAAACAGAGTCACTTTTTAATCCCACTATAAGTCCCTCCTGGGTAAGTCAGACTGTAATAAAAGTCTGTTGGCTCTTTTGATTTCTATCTCAACCCTTTGTTTGGACATCCATCTGTCTCTTTACCCACTGTCTCTGTTCTCCATCTGTATGTGTGTGTCTGTCCGTCTGTTTGTCCTTTTCTGTGTGATACTGATTTATAGGACACACTTCTGGTGCTTTGGTCTTGTCTCAATAGTAAGTACAGAAAACAGTTTAGAAACCCACTTCTCATAAAGCAAGCATGTTCATCTGCTGTGTAGCATGTAGCTTTAAAGCTCCAGCCAACACAGGGCTCTTGAACTTAATACTAAACTTTCTTTATTTTCTTTTAAACTCCGAGCAGAAGAGGCAAAGCCTGAATCTCCAGCCCTACAGAATGGAGGTGAGGAGGAGAAGCAGACGACAGAGGAGCTGGAAAAGGGGATGAAAGCTCTCTCAACCAATGACACCTCCTCTCCACCTGCTGCTCCACCCGCTAAACCACAAGGGGGCACACCTGAGGGCTCTCCCTCCAAGTCCCCATCCAAGAAGAAAAAGAAGTTCAAGCCGCCGTCGTTCCTGAAAAAGAGCAAGAAGCAGAAGGAGAAAGCGGAGACCTGAAGAGCTCGGACTAAGTGGACCTCAGTGAAATACTCCTGTGAGACTTTAGTCAGTGTGTGACGGATGAGTTAACCACATCAGATCTACTCAAACACAGTCAGTTCAGATGTCATTTTCAGACACAGTGCACCAAAACAACCGAACGGTAACAAAAGAAGTCATTTAACACGGATATCTGTGTGGTGATTCATCTTAACCAGGTTAAAAACACTGATGATGATTTTCACAGATTGTTTCACTGAGGTTTTAAACATCATTTTGACACATTACGTCTCGTTACAGAAACAAACACGGAGTCCCCGTACCACTCACGTCTTCTTTTCACCTGCTGTGCTCAAACCATTACCTAACTTCACTGTATAAGCAGTCAGACATGTTTCTTTCTAACACTGGGGTCATTAGCTTGTGCACTCGCCCCTCAGAAATCATTTCAAACCATTTTTTGTATCCACAACTTTGCAAGACACAGTCACAACTTACACCTCTTTGAATTATGCACCCTTTTATCCATGTATAGTCACTTACCACATGTATATTTGCATTTAAGTATGTTGCATTTGTTGCTCACCATAGGCACCCTCTTGTCATGATTTGGTTCTTATTATCTGATAGATGTTGCAGGTAAACTACGTGAGCAGAGGTGCAGTACTCGTAGACATATACTGATAGCTACTGATTGTGCTCCTCTGAATGCTGGTTCTGTGTTAAACTAGTCTACTGACATTAACTACTACAGCAGGGATGAAGATGAAAAACAGAGCGGAAAAAATAAACTGGCTTGCAGCAAAACACAATCCGCCCTAACAAAAACGTACAGAAAAAATGACGAAGCATTAATGAATTTGTTGCTTGCCGATGCAGTCTGAATACCAGTAACAGAAAATACTGAAGGTACTAAACATTCCACTTTCTCGTTTTCTTTTAAATGTATGTGTGCAAAATACCTCTATACTGTTGTAATTATTTTATGTTTTAAGTAGCTATTAGCAAAAATGCTGATGTGCAATGTTTGCTCATTGTTTTAATTTATTTTATATTAGGATGTACAAGTGTGTGTTGCAAGGTTACCATGTATCAGTCATTAAAGATCAACTTTGATTTAAACAAGCTCGACATTGAGTCTGTGACCAGTTTTTTCTTTCTTTGCCATTGTATTTATTTATTAATTTTTCTAAACCTGACTACCTGGTTCAGGACATTGTGCCCCTTCCTTCGCAGAGCCAAGTGAGCTCATAGAATTGCACGGATGCCCTAAAGGCACACCTGTTTCCAAACATTTCATTTACCCATACTAAATAAGACTTTATATAATTGTACATGTGAGTCTGAAATTCTTGCAGACATCTATGTGATCTACCAAGGGTGAAAGCTAGTAACTAGTTAACCCTTTAATGCCTTCTGTATCATATTTGATACATACTTTGGTAACACTTTACTTGGGGCCTATCTCTATAACGCATTAAAAATATATGTATAATGCGTTATAATCATGTAATAGCACTGTTTAACTATCGTTATAAACACTCATAAATGATCATAATGCTTTATAGAAATAGAAATAGAAATATAGACTTACAAGGTCAGGTATTGTAATGTGTTATAACTGTTAACAATTCACTGACAATGCCCACATAGATAATGCATTATACATATAATTATGATGTGTTATAATTTGTTTATAAACTTGTATAACTATCATTATAAACACTCATTAATTATCATAATGCTTTATAACAATAAGCATAACACATTACCTGACCTTGTAAGTCATGATAAAGTGTTTTATAATGTGTTATTATTATTCCTATAAAGTATTATCATCAGCTATGAGTGTTGATAACTTTAGTTATACAATGCTATAACGTGATTATAACGCATTTATACATATATTTATAATGCGTTATAGAGATGGGCGTCAAGTAAAGTGTTACCCATACTTTCATATACTTCTATCAGATCAATATGATCAACAAATTACTAAAAAAAACAAAACACCTGAATACAGGCCGATAAATGATAAAAATGTTCTATTGTAGCGTATCAGTTTCCAAAAACATCTAATGTATCAAACGAGATAAATAAATATATTTGTTGAATTTAATGGACATTTTGATGTTTTGGATTTTCAGTAGTAAGTGAAATAAACATTTCAGCTCAAAACATTTCAGTTTTCTGTATAATTATATAGTATAATAAAGATATACTATACCATAATTTGTGGTGTCAGGCATTAAAGGGCTACATATATCCTACATGAAATGACAGATTGTTGAAGATTATTAATAAATACTGGAAATGGAAATTTCCCTTTGTGAGACTAATAAAGAAGTATCTTATCTTATAACAACAACAAAAGAGTTACTCTTTATTAACGCTGACGGATGCTGTCATCCATGTCGGTAGGGGGTGCTCTAATGGCTACAACTCACCGGAAGTTGACATAAAAAGACAACAGTATCCCACATCAAGTGGCAGACCGTGGACTGTTAGTCGAAACGAAAGCCAAATTGTATTAGTTTGCTGATATTTTTCACCATAAATCCTTCTTATATTTGATTATCCATCGATTGAAGAGGGCACGGTTTGACATTTATCGATAATGGGTCGGAGCAGAAGTCGAACTCCTCCTCGACGAGGTGAGTGAAGCTAACGACGCTAATGCTACCATTACGTTTGGTGTACGATGTGGCTGATGGGCGAGTTTTATATTTATTTTTAACACCAAGAAAGTCAAGTTTACAGTATATTATATGCAACTTTAGCAATTACCAAGTACTTTTAAATTTTTGTGGTAGAAATGCGGATGTAAAGGAATCGTCTAGAAGTCTAGCCTTTGTTGGATGAAGCCATCTGATGGAGACCACTGATGATCAAACGCTGTAACTCATTAAAAATGTAGTAAAACAAAGAACATTTGGACCTTAAAGTTACATTAAGAGGTTAAGAGTATCGTGTAAAGCTAAGAAACATATACTAAAAACCAAAAATAATATAAATGGAAATAAACCATGCAACACAGGAATTACATCAACAAAGACCTAAGGCCCAGAGATGAGAGGAAAAATAATAATCAATCAATCAATAATAAGATAAATGAAGGAAGGTAGTAGCATACCTTAATGGGGAATGCAATATAACACAGGATATGTGAATACATAATTAAAACACAAGGCAATAATATGATAAATGCATTGATTATATTGATTAATCAAAGAGTACAGTCAGTCCCTGAAGTGCAAGATTAATGCCAACACCACTGTAGGGCCTGAAGTTGTGAAGTGTGTAATTAAACTGAAAGGGAAATGGGTTTAGCTTTGATTCATTCTTGGCACCAGCAGTACGATACATCCACTGTACAAGTCCGAACAAAGATCTATCGCTGCATTTCTGTTTGTAACACCTCCAGTTCAAAGTCAGCTGACCTGCTGTGAGTTTACACCAGCCCTGGCCTCATATATCTTCATTTTCAAAGCTTTTCTGTCTAAATTCTAGACCATTAGATTACTAGTCCTTAAGTATGGAGTTCACAGCAATTTTTTTGTACAATTTGTTTTAAAATAAACTTTGAGGTTTTGTGCTCGTTTTGCCTGGAATAATAAATGTAGAGAATCATTTCATAACCCTGGTAAAACCTCTTAGATTGGTCTCAAGCTTTGGTTTTTAATGTCTTGTTTATATCTACGTTTTGGGTGTGATTGCTCTTTTGTTTCTACCTTTGCTGCTTTATTACAGAGAGGAGGCGATCCCGCTCGACTTCAAGGGACCGTGAGCGAAGGCGAAGGGACAGGGATCGCTCTCGATCTCGAGACAGAGACCGTGAACGCCGGAGAAGTCGCTCTCGATCTCCTCACAGGAGGCGCTCAAGGTGAAGAAACACTGTTTGTGGTCATTAAAAATGGCTGGTGTTTGTCTTTATAGAATGTAGGACGTGTGGTTATAGTTTAAATGTCAGTGACTCTGAGTGTATCAAGTTTGTTCTGTCTTTTTAGGTAATTAGTTTTCTTTGGTTCTTGTGTATCAGACAGTGCTCATTTTATGTGAGTAATTCTCATATTTCAGGGTTATCTTCACAGAGTAGTACACTCATCAAAGAAATGCACATTTGTAATTTTACAAAAACACACTAAGATATTCAGTCCACAAAGAATATTCCAACAAGTGCGGTTGGTCAAATCCATATTAGTGATGATAATAACAGTAATTAAAAGGAAGAAAATGATTATATTTGAAAACAGCAAAAGAAAAAAAAAAAAACTCATAAATTATAACTTATGTCATGTAATGTCTGGATAGTCATTTGAAAAGCTGTGTCCCTGATCAGTTTTCTCTGTGATTTTAAAAGACCTTATCAAAGATAGAACATAAGAATCACACTGAGATGCAGAAGTGTCATCAGTCATTTGTCGTGGTAACCCTTCCTGCAGCCATCTTTGTGTTTTCTCTGTAGGTCCCCTCCCAGACGTCACCGCTCCTCCTCCCTCTCCCCTATGAGACAAAAAGACAGACGTGAAGATGAGCGCAAAGACGCGAAGGAAAAGTCATCCAAACCTATCCAGATCTCAGGTATGTCTTTGGTTTCTATATAAATGGATAAAAGAAATTCATCCTTTCTGGGCTTGTGACTGTTTGAAGTTTGTCATTGTTGTTTGCTCAAAATTCAACACAATTTTGTTATAACAGCTGAAGACATGCAGGGAAAAACAGAGGAGGAAATAGAGATGATGAAACTGATGGGATTTTCTGGGTTTGACACCACCAAGGTGAGTTCAGAGGGGTGTCATTTTCTGTACAGCCACAGGGGGGTGCAGTGAATGTCATTCCGAGTTCTTTACATCCTGCAGCTCACTCGCCTGTTGTTGTGTTTGTGGACCTGCTTTATATCCCAGTTTCATGTGACTGCTCTGATCTGTGACCAACAAGGTTACTGACTGTGGTTTCAGAGCAGTCAGTGAAGATTCACTGTGTAGGTCGGTCCTGAACAGGCTGTGATCACAGTTCAGATGTGTGCCTTTGAGGGATATAAACACTCTTTGGAAGTGTTCATTATCAAGTATAAAACATCCATCAATATGCTTAAACTTTTCCTCTGATCAAAACGAAACCATTTGTAATTTCCTGTATTTTGTATTTTTAGCAGCACCATAATGGGTATTACTGCATAGCTGCAGAACATAGAGAGGCGGTCAGATAGTTTAACATACTGAGGATGAAAATGCGGAGCAGGATCATAAAACTACAGATTGTAAAACCTCAAACTGCTGGATGTGAGAATGCTACGATAAGGAAACCAAACTGAGAAATACTCCAGACTCAAAAGTGCCCAGTTCTCTGCCTTCTGTTTCTCACTAAGATAAGCAAGTCTTCTTGATTGGGTGTTGGTTCGAAGCATGATTGGATCAATATCAGCCCAGTGGGAGAAAACACCGTCTGTAAGGGCACAATGTTGCTGGTATGCAGACATACTGGTGTACCAACCCCTACAGTTTCTGTGTCAACTTTCTACCGGTCTGTCAGCTTTTATTCAGAGAAGGGGTAATGTCCCATAAAAAGTTCCCGACCACAGTGTCTATGTCAATAGGGGCAGGAGGGTGTAGGTGATCTCCCCAGCTGAAAAAGAGCTTTAGCTGTTTAGTTTGGATTACATAAAAATGCTCTAAACGACAACACCCTGATAGCTGAACATGGTGTCAGACCACACATTAATTAGCCTATCTCTACCTAATACAAAATTAAAAATGCACGCTCAAGCTTGTTCTCAACAGACACTCACTCAGTATTAGAGTAATTATTTCAGAGACGAACCACAGTCACTTTTTGCAAGCCAAATCAAGTCCCATGGTTTTGGCTCAGAGTCCAAGTGAAGCCTCTCCCTGTGTTGATAAGTAACAACCAAATACATTTGTGTAATCACGAAATGGGAAGCTACTCCGCTTAAAATTTATCAATATCAATCAGGACTCAGAATGAAAAGCTATTTATTACAATTATTAAACTTATCTTGCTTGACAGAAAGCCTTTGCTGATTGAACTCTATGGGGAGATTTTCAAGATGATAGGATGACTGATCTGTGAACAGCAGAAAAATCCCCCCATGGAGCAGAAAGCTGTCTAACATAATTAAAAAATCACCCAAAAAATGCTATTTGTATTTCTTTATTTAGCACAGATTAAAAACAGTGCAAGGAGGGAACGAAGATGATAGGCTTATACAAAGTTCCACTCCTGTCAGGGCAGAGAAAGCATAAGGTGCAGACAACAAAGTAACTAGGACATAGACAGGTTACACATATACAATGATTAGGGAAAGGTCAAACAGATACAAATCGCCATAAATGGAACACAGACTAATTATCAAACAGTGATAAAGACAATATAAGTATTCATAGAAATGAAAGGAACATGATCATAACAAATAATGATGTATTTAAGACATGAGGAATTTTATTGATTTTAGAGATGCATCCAGATTATTCCACAGTGTCGGACCTCTAAAAGTGATGTTAGACTAATGCTACAAGTTTGACAGGAGGGTAACTGAAGATGGCCATTTTGTCTTGTTGAGTACGGGTGAAGGTCGGATGAAAATGTAAAAAAGTTTTTGAAAGTTTCAGGAAGGTGTTGTTTGTTATTGATGAACTTGTGGACATATATACAAGAGTGAAAGACATTGAGTTTGATGCTCAGTAGTTCTGCTTGAATGGCCATCTTATTTATGGTCTATATGAGTGTAGCCTGGGCTGTTTTGTCAGCAAGTGACGTGGTGTGGCTGCAGGCGCATCAGGAGTGGAAGACAACATGGGATTAGAGGAAATTATGTAGAGATCCTGATGTTAGTGAGACAAGACAAAGAGTCGTGAAGCTTGAGTATGGGTCAAGTCAGGTTAGTGTGCAACTTTAGTAATTTTAACTATGAGGGACTCTTGTTCCAATTGTATTCGTCAGTGGATTTCTTAATATGCTCCATGTCAAGACTAATGATGTCTCTCCAGCACTCTTCAACAAGGCTGTGAGGCTGTGTGAGCCAAATTACCAGCAACTAAGGCTCAGTCTTCATCCAGATGAGAGCAATAGCTGGGAGTGACATTGACATGACTTAGATAACATCTTGAACATTTGAATAAAGCCACCCTGACAGGCTCTGAATGTCAGTTCCCAGGCCAACCTTGAATTCACATTACAGCATGCACCTGTTTTAATAGAATTCCATGTTTTTCAAGATTTTTCGTCCATGATTATGTAGTTTTGTGATGGAGGGGAGTGAACTGTGTCAAGCAAATAATATTCCACTCTCTGTTTTATGAGTTACACACTTTTTGAACTGTTGTTTGTGATGCTTTGTTTGGTCAGAGGCAGTAACTGTGTTTTCAAACAGGGGAGGAAAAGCGACGGATCGGCTAATGCGTATGCTGTCAATGTGACCATGAAGAGGAAATACAGGTATGTCAAAAGAAGAACTTTTCTAACTGGGTACAGCTGTTTGTTGGTTGTGCAGCATCACAACACTGCTGAATTATCTGCAGACACTTGCTAAAAATGTGTCTTTAGGTCTAAATGCCGCTCTACAGGGATCTTTTTGAAGTAATCGTTTAAACCTAAGTCGTCGATCAGGCGTTCGGCTGAAAACATCAACTTTTCAGTCCCCTCACAGTGGGCTCTCTCAGCATCAACCACTGTTATTGTAGCCAATCACCTCTGCAGGTGTTTCTAAGCAGACATCCTGACTCTCCCATTGGTGCTCGATGATGTAATCTGCAAGTGTTGCGAGGGTAACAGTGATGCAATGTTTTTCTCATATATATATTTATTTTTTTTAGGCAGTACATGAACAGGAAAGGTGGATTCAACAGACCACTGGATTTCATCGCCTAAAAGTATCGACGACTCCCTGTGACGCCTAAGAAGATCTCCGCCATCCTTGTAGTCAATTATTGAGTGTTACGTTCAGTTTTTTCTCCCTCAAACATGTTGAGTGTTATGCAACAGATGTGTATAAACATTTTCAAGTAAACATACATGTAAATAGTGTTACTCACTGTAAATCACAGCTGAGTGTCGGTTGTGGAGCTGTTGAAGCCCAGTGCCTGGAGCTTTTTTGTTGTTTGAGTGTATTTGAAATAAAGATGTTTTAAAATTGTGTTGTTGCAATCCTAATCAGAAATATGAGTATTAATTTCTTTATACGTCTAACATAATTTGGAGTGTTATATTTTTGTGAATATGTATTAATGCATACTTCTCCTCTGAGTGTTTAACCCTTAAAGTCTGGGGGGATTCATATAATTTACCCTTTTCTATAATTTATTCTGTTTATATTAAATTTTTAAGATTTCGTGTCTCAGCTACATGTAGTCCAATAAGGGGTTCCATGTAAACTCTAAGAAGAGCAGGTTACTCAGTCAGAAATAAGAATTAGTATAAAAAGGAACAGAATTTACCAAATAAATCAACTTTTACGATAATTCTGTCGATTTAAGTTCATGTCCTTTACATCCATCTCTGAGTGAGGCAGGCATTTACCTGTTTTTACCGAAAAGAGCGTGTTGCGACTGCGCGGACAAACATTTTCTGATAGGAAAAGCGACAAACCGGTGTTTAAGGAGCATGTGAATCTGACCAATCACTGAGCAGGAAATAGGACAACATCACAGCAGCCAATCGTCGCCATACACCGCAAAACAGCATGGCAGGGGGGCGTGCCCTATCTCAGAAGCGGGCGTTGTCTCGCGATCGCATGGGCATTGTAACCAATAGCTGATAGGCTTTCCAGCAGGCGACCAATAGCGTTGCGCGGGTCTTGAGCATCGAGAAAACCATTGTGGCTCTACCAGTGGGCTTTAACCAATGTAAAATAGAACCAAAATGGCTGACACAGCCTGTCAGTTGCTGTCAGTCTAGCTCCTCTATATGATCGACGTCTGCAATGCCCAATGGGAGCACGTTAAGCTATTTCCAGTAGCCAATCATATCGCAGCACACGGAAGCTTTGTGGTAAAGTACAGTAGTTAGCTGTCGCTCAGATCAACAAGCCACTATTTTGGAAGCAGTTTGATAAACACGAGCTATCCCTCAGTTGATGTCAGTCGTTATCTGCGTTTCCAACGAGACATATCACGCGTGATAATCGATAAACCAGCACAAACTAGCCAGCCACGTAGCCCTGAACCGATCAGTTTGGATAGATATCGTCGGTTGAACTTTAAAAAACAGCTAGCTCGTTTTTCTTTCCTTTTTTTTCTTCCACATCAGACAGCCGAGCAGCCAACGTCTCTTGTCTTTTTTGACTCAATCGTTATATTAAGCAACAACTTTTTGACGACTTGGCATTAACGGTTAACGGTCAACCAGCCTCCGTATTATTTTTTGCCATTTAGAGCAACACTCGGCTTATTTTTGTACGCCAAGCTATCTTACACCTTGTTTTTGTCAACAAGCTGTATTTTTTGGAATATTTGTAGATAACGGCTACGATATTAAGACAACAGCTCGCCTTAGAAAGAAGGCGAACAAGCTCAGCTGTCAGCCTGAACCACCAGAACCTTTACCTGAACAATCATTTAAGAAGGAGATCAATCCGGCTTTTAAAACTGCCCCGGTGCTGCAACGTTTTTTCACGACCTTTAACTTTTAAATAGCCGGTTTGATATCCTGCAGGAGTGACTATTTTAACGTTACCTTTCGCCTTCTGAATAATAACTATCAGAGCAGCAAGATAAGCAGTCTTAGGATCCGGAGCAGGCTGTGTAGACCCACGGAATCCCTCATCGGATTGTTATAATATCAGTGTTATTGTTGAAAATGGCGGCGATCAGACTGGTGCAGATGTTGATCGAAGCAGCTGAGTACCTTGATCGCAGGGAACGAGGTAAAATGAAACTGTATTGTGTGTTTTAAAAATCACCCTCATTTATAGACATGCCTTTGCAATTCTCAGATTTTGTCGCAGCCCTTCATTTCTGATCGGGTCATGCATTAAACATTGACATGTTATTGTGTTTTGCAAAGCAACACTGCAGAATGCACGAGTAAGGTTCCCACTAGTATGCAGCATTTTGTGTAATTTAATCCCAAAGTGAGAAATGCACATGCAATTCCCCTGTCTTTCATGCTTTGAGAGAGATGCATATGTGGCAGATGCAGTCAGATGTGCAGGGAGACATTGTTTTCATGGAAGCCCCTCCTTTCCCTCTGTTGTGGTTTGCTAGTGGGGTTTATTCCAGTTCAAGATGACATCATTGTCCAGGCTGAGGGAGAAAACACTGGAGAAAGATACTGCAGAAAACCCATTCATTGCATACCGGGCGCTTGAACATGAAGCATTGCAACAAAATTCAAAAAAAGGGCTCGAGATTAAATTTGGCACTCTTCCTGTTCCTTGTTTGTCATCATTTTCCTGTGGCTATATTTTGCACTGCCAGATATCTTGGACATGTGACCACTATGTTGTTTATTTGCTTGCAGAAGCTGAGCACGGCTATGCCTCCATGCCTCCCTTCATCAGCAGCCGAGAGAGGGAGAGCTTGAAAAGGAAAAGCAAAAGCAAGAAAAACACAAGTAGCAGGTAAAGGCGTTTCGGCTCCTCGTTGTGTCATTATTCAGCTCTGCAACGACAAGGCACTGATTGTATCCAAATATCAAGTGTGTCCTTACATATTGAAGCACAATGTCAATTCTTATTATGCATCATTTTATTGTTTTTTTTTCACCCTGGAAATACATCTGTGTCATGCCAGTGCTATGAAATACAGCCCCCATGCCCTGAAATGAAAATTCATAATAATGGTGCTGAATAGAATTCAAGTTTCTTTATACAACACCAATTAGGAGCCTGTTTTATCGTCTCTAAGTTAACGTACACAGCTGCCGTTGTTCTACCGCAGGAGTTTGACATATGCAGAAGCAGAAGAAGCCTGTAATTATGCTGCTTATGCTCGCTTCAGTGGGAGTGTATCTGGTTAAAGTCTTGGTTTCCTCCCCTTTGCTCTCCTTTAAAGCATTTGACTGACAGCAGCAAACATCAGCCAGGCTGATAGTGAATGGTCACTCGGTGAAGGCAAAGTGGGTCAGTCAAGGTGACAGCGGAAGACATGTCAGTGAATGGAGGGGGTTGAGGACAGCAGCAGACCCCTCAATGGAAACAGAGAGTGGAATTGGAGTCTCTGCAACCATCAGTCCATTAATCAGTGCAGTAACAGTGCAGATATGTGTTTAATCCACATCCCGCAGATCAATGTGCGCTCCGTGATCAGATTTCAGCTGGATTTTATGACTCTATGTTTAGTAGTACTTCTGCACGATCGCAATCCAAGTCTTCATAACCTAAAAGATTTCATTGAATAGCACATAAAAGACCTTATTGAATTAGCAGCAAAACAACACCCAATTAGTGCAAAAACAGGGTTTCATGTTTGGCTGCAGCAGAAAAGTTGGCATGGATGGAATATGGATGGATGAAGAGAGATTTTTCTAATAAACAGTGACAGTGAAGACCTGTCATATTGCTGCCACCCACTGCCGTGTTCCTGCTTTTAATCGGAAAGATAAATATCTATAACCTAAACAAGCGTAACCGAGAAGAACCTTGCATCGTGTGTATAGAGGCAGTTGGTTCATATACCACAAATGTCATGTGAGGTGAGAAGCAGCAGTAACACACTATTATTTGGCAGAGTTACAGACAAGAAGAAAAGCAGCCAGGTCATATCAGGCAAGTGTGCACGTTCAGACTCATTGTTTACATGTGTTGAATCCACGTCAGGTATCTCCACAATGAGGACACACAAGTCCATACCTTTTATTAGACTGAATGCGTTCCTCTGCCATTGTGATGTGTTGAAATGAGCATACAGAGCACATAAGGTGACGCATATAAATAAGCACCTATAGGTCTCTTACCTTCTGTAACCCAGCTGCACTATCTGCAATCATGGAGACTGCCACACACTGATATTTAATATGCTGTAAAGGCACCCCTCTCATATTGCATCAGAGCTCAGTTTGCAAAGTTCGATCCCGTGTATTATTCATTTTAGTATTTCCAAACATCAAAACATTCATTAATTTATGTCTGCTTGCAAATGAATCGCAAAGTATCCAACTGGGCGGATATTTCAAACACTGATCTGTCAAAGCTCCCCCAAGCTGCACACATATTATAGAACAACCACTATGTTCCAGAGGTGCGGGAACACACCTTTACTATGTGAGAAGTAGGACAACATGTCGTTCTAGTTTATGTTTGATGTATGCTTTAACCTGAACTTTGTCTGGTATGGCTTCCATGTTGAGTATTAAGTGACTGGGGCACACGGGGTGAAGCATATATACGGTCATATAAATAAGGTAACAAAGAATCCTGTTACCTCTCATAACCATATGTGAAACAGGCTTTATTACCTGTTGCTCTAAAGTTACTGCTATAAAGGGACATTTTAGTATTCCATACCTTCATTTACACACATACCTGAGATAGAATCACACCACTATCAGCATTTTAGCGTGAGGACCATAAACGGTACGGTATATTAAATGAGACCCCGTAAGTGTCAAAGGGCTGTGGAGCCGCGAGTTTAAGAGCTCCCCCTGCTGACTGCCTCAGTTGTGTTAGCAAATAACACGCGGGTCAGACTGTAAAGTTTGGATACATGTACAAATTTTTATTAGATAGGTTAATGTCATTACAGTTTGTTATTATCCATCTATTTTTAGGACTATTACACAGAATTATCAGCATCACACAAGATGTTTTCCAGGTACATTTTAGGAGGGACTTTAAATGAGGGTCTAGCAACTGTTGTAACACATCAAATCAAAAAAATCAGACTGAAGAAGTAATGAAAAAACATCAGTATCAACTAAATCATAACAAACACCAACAGAACAGCTGTGAAGCTTTCCACAGCTGTAAGTATCAACACAAGAGTCTGTCCTGTTGTGTTTTATCTTTAGGTTGAGTATGTGTTTTGGTTGGCAGAAAGGGTGGGGCATCAGTCCTGCAATGCTTCTGCACACACTCAAACTGCAGCAACACAATTTGTCAGCACTCATGGAGGTTTGGCTTCACATGTCAAAATGGTCAGAATTGAAGACATGTCATCCTTCCTGTATACCGCCAATGTTGTGGATTATAACTTAAAACTATTTTTAACCTCGAGTGAGCATTTTCTAGATTTTCTGTGTTGAAAATATTGAGTTTTAACCCAACAAGTTGTTACAGCCAAAGGCTACAGCTGGCCTTTAAAATGCTCTCCAGGAGAAACGTAGTGATACTCAAATATTTGGTCCAGGCCTGTTAGCAAAGACATTTTCCTACTGGGCTCGACACGGTTGTCGATGACAGTGAAAGATTTGTAGTGTTGGGTGCTGTAAGAACATATCTCCTCTGAGCAGAACATGTCTGAACATGCTTAAGAGGCACTTTATTTTTAGACATGTGTGGTGGAAAAACTCCAGCTTTGTGTGTCAAGTAGCCCACTAGCTGCTGCAGGTTCGGCTTTTGTTTGCAGCCCTTGAGCCTTTAAGTGTTCTGCTGTTTGCTTTGACCACTCGCTGTTGTTTCACTGCAAGGTTGTGTCGGGCTCGCAGCATCTCCCTCATCGGCTGAGAGAACTTTATCAGCTACAACTCATCACTATTTAAAGACGGTTAGAGCCAATCCGGTTATTAATAAGGGTTTCTGCTCAGCCTGGATGATTTGATATAGTGTGTGTGATAGCCCTGATCATTAAGAGGCAGACCAGCACACAGTGGAAGGGTATCACTCCTCCAACTGATTTCTGCCAGAGAAGAGTGAAACACGAATTGATCTGCTTCTGTTTGAAGTTTTATTCAGACCTGCAGAAATATAGGGCATGGAGCCACCAATGTGTTTAAAGTCACTCAACCCTGTATGTTCAAGCCCCACCAGTTTCTGTTGTTTCCCAATGGTGTGGATGTGTGAGGAGTGGGGGAAGGGAGTCACCCTCTCGCTGGCGTGTATATGTGTGCATGTGTGTCAGTAGTAGTGACTCCCCCATCCCCCTCATGGCTCTCTCTCCCTCTCGTGTTTTCCCTCTCTCCTCACCTCCCTCCCCCCCTCCGCTGTGTCTTTCCTGCTCTGCTCTCGCTCTTTGCAGGCAGAGGAGAGCAGAGCACCAGCTCCTCCATTACATAGATGGAGAATCCTCCCCCACCCGTCACACAAACACACACTCTGTGCAACTACAGTGCGGTATGGAAATCATACAGTGAGCTTGCCTTCCTTGTTGAGCGGGCAAATGGAGTCTTTACTGTTGAAGTTACTGTAGCTGCATTATGTGACTCCTTAGAGGTGAAACAGGTGAACAGATTTCTGATGGAGAATCTTGTTTTTCTGTGTTCTCAAAGCGTTATCAGGATATTAATCTGAATCCTCAAGTACAGATCTGTGTCCAATCTCCAGCTGGTCCCCTTATTAAACTCAGAGACCCCATCCTTCACAAGTGAGTGGAGTCAATTATTTGCCGGGGTATTTTCTTCTTTTTATTATTGAGAATGATTTACATTCACAGTGGTCATGCACCAGCAGACAAAATTAATCTAGTGCAGTGGAAAGTCCCACCAAAAACTGCAGGAGGAGGAGGAAAGTCAAATAATCTTGGAAATCTTTTTTATTCTGCAGGTGAGGGTGTCCTGACACTTGTACGTTCAACCCTCAGACTGCATTGGACTACATCATTAAAAGTCCAATTTCTATTTTATGTCTACTCTTGTATCCATATTTATGCTTTTGTTCTGTCCTCAGCTTTATTTGACTGTTACATGTTCAAAGCTGAGCGCGTATCTTGAGGGTATTTATATAAGAGCCCCAACATGCTGGAGTATTGTTGAAGTTTATGTGTTGATACTGGAAGGATTAAAACATTTTGAGACTTCATATAAAGGCCTGCCTCTAATACAAGCCTGCTTCAAATAAAGAGCCTTACCTTCTGCAGTAAAAGCAAATTAAGTCCAGGTTTATAATCAAGGGTATGTGGGACTCACTGAAATAAACACACAGTATGAACATGAATGTGATCCGTCATGGTTGTCTTTATGTGACAGGAAGTTAGTTGGTGTCATAACTTAAAGAAAAGTCATGAAGGTCTGTCTTACTTCTTTCAAGAATGAAACCTCCAAAGAAAACATTTTGAGACTGTATGTAAAGGCCTGCCTCTAATACAAGCCTGCTTCAAATAAAGAGCCTGACCTACTGCAGTAAAAGCAAATAAAGTCCAGGTTTATAATTGAGGATATGTGGGACTCACTGAAATAAACGCACAGTATGAACATGAATGTGATTCGTCATGGTTGTCTTTACGTGACAGGAAGTTGGGTTGTGTCAAAACTTAAAGAAAAACATGAAGATCTGTCTTTCTTCTTTCAAGAAAAGACTCCCTAAATTATATTTAATGGTGAAGATAATTACCCCCAACAGAAAGTGTAATTGCGAGTGAAGGGGAGCTCAGGCTAAGTTTTAGCAGTATCACCAGCCAACAGTTTCTTGTTCAGTTCAGTTGCTGCCGACGCAACTGAAATCCAGCTCCCCCTTGTTGTGTTGTGGCTGTATAAGGTGGAGGGGTGGAGAGTTATAGGACCGGGGAAGGAGTTGAGAGGTGTCTGAAATCTGGCCTGGATAACAGGATCATTTCCCTGCTTGCTCTGTTATGTCACCAGCGGCTGTCTGCCTTGCACTGGAATGCACACTGGCTGGAGGTGAGATAGAGAAGACCCAAAGCTAAAACATGATACCCTGCACCACACACAGGGGCATGACACGCTTTACTGTTTAGCTTGATGTGGCTGAGGGTGGTGAGAGACAGCATTGGCGAGCTTGATTTTTAAAATCAAATCAAACATGGAGGTTTACTGAGGTGGGAAGTGAAGATTTGGGGTGTGGGGGAGCAAGAGTCCTTTGAGGATCTATGTCAGGGTGACAGTTTCAGACCTTGCCAAGCTGAAAGTGCAAAGGCTATTTTGGGAGCTGGGGTGGGGGTGTGGGGGTCCAGAGGTCAGGTGGAGGTAGATAAAAGTTCAGGGTTGGTGAAAGGATCTTCTTCCTCACCTTTCTTCCCCCATCCCCACCCACTCTCCCCTTTCCAAGCAGACCAGACAAGCCTGCTCCTTCCAAAAAGTCCTCCTAAATCCATATTTGCGTCTGCTTTTTTCTCTTTGTGTGCTGCCTTAGCACTGCAATGCAGGAGTCGCGCTGCCCACTAGCACACCTCCATCTCTCAGTTTACCTTCAGAGCCGCGTCTTCCCCCACCTCCACCTTTCTCAGTGATATGTACAAAGTGGATAATCAGACAATATGAAGGGGCAGAGTCCCTTCCTCTCCTGCTCCTGGCTTCTGTTTCTGGTTACTGTTACTATGTTTACCCATGGCCTCTTGACACTGCATTCGAGTATGGTTCCTAAAAAAGCACCAGTCTCCTGTGTAGAACAAGCCCAGGGCATCAGAATACCAAACCTGTTCTTCTATTTTCCTAGAATCTCATTTTGTCCGCTGTTCTGACTGCTCATAAACTCCCACACAGCCTTTTCTCTCTTTCTCGCCCTCCCCTGCAGTACGGCCTCGGACTGCAATGATGGCATACAGAGAGGAAACCTTACCCTGTTTAATCAGCTGCTCTCTTATTATATGTGGTTTCTAATGTGTGTTTTATCTTCACAGGTCTACGCACAATGAAATGGAAAAGAACAGGTATGTATGAATGTCCTTGTGTAGTTGTGTGTGTGTTCATTTGTGTATATTTGTCCTATTTTTGCAATAAAATTAAAGCCTCAAACAGCAATAAACAGCCCCTGGCATTGCTCATGTTTGGGTGTGTCCCAACTGTAAGGTATAGGGAAGCTGCTGGTTGTGTAGCAGTTGCAACAGCACACTGGCAGTTGCTGCAACACAATGTACGCATCGTCTTTCAACATGCATTTGCAACTTTAAGTACACAAAATAACGTAACACACCCATTTACAAGTTTGTGGATTTCACACAGTGTTTAGGATGGCGCTTTAATCAAAGAGCTAAAGTTGAAAAGCAATTCAAAACTTAAACTAAAACATCTTGTTTCCAAAAGTTACCTTAACTAAAATCAATATGTTGATGAGGTGAGTCATTTTCCCACATTTGTTATCAAACCTGTGAAATTTGGAGCAAATTGGGCATTGTATGTATATGCTACCATAATGTAGCGCTATGATCGGAGCCAAAAATAAGCATTTAGATGTGTTACCAGCGTTTCAGTTACCAAGTCGGAAAAAAGCAAAATCGGAAGCGGAAACAAGATGGCTACATCTACGAAAGGGGATGCTAAAATAACTTAAAATAAGTAAAATAACAAGCGCTAAAATAACTTTCGTAGATGTAGCCATCTTGTTTCCGCCTCAGATTTTGCTTCTTTGCGACTTGGTAACTGAAAAGCTGGTAACTCGGGTGTGACGTCATTCCCAGCTTGGACATCTGACTTCTGAGGTGACTCGAACGCAGCAAGTCGGACAGACCACCAGAGACGCACTTTTTGTTTTAACGCAACAATTCTCTTTAAGTTGCATGTATGAAGCCAGTCAGTTTAACGGCATGTTAAAGTCTCTGGGATTTATTGTAGACATAAAAATAAAAAAAACTCTACGAGTCCCAATGAAGTCCTGGCACTACATTCCAGTACTCCAGGGCCCTATTTACCACTTTTGCACTTAGTTTAATGAAGCTATAATTAGATTTGTCAGTGGTAATTGAATGTTGATATTAAGGTTGTGCCAGTTGCCTCAGACACTCTACTTGTACGATGGTGACGTTGTGATGTAAAATGTAAATAATGTCACATTTAGAAGATTTGGAGTAAGTTTAAATGAGACATCCATCATCAGAGTAGATTGTTGGTGTAGCCAACAAATATGGAGTTGTGCCGCCGTGTCCCCACATGGCACATTTCAAAATCCTTCTCACTTGCATCCGGAAACAAATTTGTGGCTTGTGGTTATTGACGGACTCTGAAATTTCACAAACTATCATAAAGATGCTCTTTATTCAGTGACGTTTAAAAAAAAATAGCATCCACTCCCTAAGCATTAACCAACAATCATCATTAGAAGTCTGAATATTTAACTGTGCCGACACAACAGATTTTAAAACCTCATTAATGTGATAATGCCTATCAGATCTCTATGGAACCTGTTTGAAGGGATAAGATCATCCGAACAAAAATCCCCGCGCTGAGATTTGACTCGTTTCTCAAGCGCGCATTTTAACCTTGAACATGAATCTTTTTTGCGTTACTCTCGGTGTTTCGTCGTGCCTGTGCTTGCTGATCCAAACCAGCAGCTCAGTGGACAGCCTGAATAATGTATAGCACAGGAGCGTGTGCCTGGGATTTAACCCTCTGAGTGTATGTGGAGATACCTCATGCCCAGCAGTAAGTCAAAGTTACGACCACAGCCCGCCCTATTACGCTTGTGAACATGTGTAGCCTTAGGCCCGGTACTCCCACCAGTAGTTTGATGATAGAGAGCAATCATAGGCACACAGTAAATAACTCATAGCAATCCACTTCCTGCAAAGCTAGAGAGGAGTGATAACATCCCCACTTCCTGCAGCAATATTGGCTCTTTGAAATCTACAAACATACATTCGAATTCCCACATTGCGTGCAGCCTGCTTCCCTCTGCTGCTGCTGCTGCTGCTGCTGCACACAAAACCAAAATATGAGTGTGTGTGTGTCCATGAAACACGACTCCAGCAGCCACCACCACGCCTTTTTACTTGCAAAGGTTCTCTCAGCTGGTCACGGGAAGTTACAGCTGGGGGTCAGAGGGCGAGAGGGGATGACAGTGGAGGTGATTTACTGCAGCTCTGTCAAAGTGCATCTCCGTAACCTAGTTATTTTTTTAGTTTGCAGAGGGTGCAGCTTTGGGAAGTGCTGCTGGAAGAGAAACCATCTTTGTTTGCGAGGAACGATTAGGTTGCAGCTGTTGTTATGCAACAGGCTCCACTTGAACATTCCCCTCACTTGGACCTGAGAGGCAAACTTCGCGTGCATTTAAAAAAGCACGAAACTGGGGTAATGAGATGTAGGTTCTCGCCTGCGGCTGATAGCACACAAGTCTGAAGCGCCACATACATTTTTCCATATTGACACACGCGCTGAAGCCACACTGACCAGAAATACCTGTTGCTGAAGCAGTGCTGTGCTCTGCAGCTATGCCCGCAGTGTTTTTCTGCGCTCAGACACCATGTGACCTGCGCTGTTTCATGAGTCTGCTGCTTGTCAGTGTTTAACAAACATTAGCTAGCCCTGCTGATCCCATATTATGTCAGAACAACACAGACAAGGGCATTTCCATGTTACGTAATAACACTGTGCATGCCCTTTGGACTGAGTCAGCTGAGAAACAGCCACTTGTTCTCATCTACTGAGTACTGCTTTGAATGAGTGTGCGTAGGATTCGCTCACTTTTGGTTGTGTGTTTAAAGTTTTGAAAAGGCCGAGAGGTGAGGAAACGTTTGAACTTGCACACTCAAATCAGTCTTAATCTTTGACTGTTTGACTGAAGTCTCTCCAGGAGTGACGCTCACATCAGGATCGCCCGCAGCAGACAGTTAATGAACAGCTCATCCACAGCGAGTCCTCAGCTACCGAAAAAAAAACCCATTTAACTCTAAGGAAGAGCCTGACGTGTACACGCCCACTCAGCCAGGCCCATACAGGCGTATAGACACGTACACACTCGACAGAGACCACAGAGCCGGAGGTGTGTGTTGTGTAACAGCAGGGTCAAGTGGTCAGAAACTCCCCCAGACCTCAGCAGCTGGCCAGGCTGCCAGTTAAGAGTGTCTGTGCGTATGAGAAGGATTGTGTGCCATAGATGACATTACTAATGAGCACAGTATAATCACAGAGGACTGGATTTAACTACTGTTCTCTGGACTGAGACGTTGCTCCTGGAAAGCTGCCTGTTAATTAAATTAGACTGTACATTAAATTGTTATTTCTTTAACTTCTTATTTACAGCAAATCTTTAGTGAGCAGGGGTCTAAATCCTCACAAGCAGCTCTGGGGGGTTATCCTCAGGTATTTAACATAAGCACCATGCCTAAGCATACTTAGACATGCTAAGAATGGTGCTTTGAGTTAAATGCTGACCTTCATATATTGAAGAAAGGTGTTGGTAATAACTCAGTGTATCTGAATGATCCAAAACTATGAGTGCAGAAAAACATGAGCAGCAGAGTGAAAGAACAAGTGTGTGTTAGTGAAGCAGAGGGACAAGGTGAGCACTGAGAGTGGAGTTCACATTGAGCAACATTAACCAGCCAGTGATTGATTGGATAAAAAGTGAGCAAGTCCATATCAATCTTTACAATTTATAAGCCTGAGTTTCTCTGTTTTAAAGATAAGGGTCAAAAGACCGTAAAATTAAGCAGGGGTTTAAATCCTCACAAGCAGCTCTGGGAGGTTATCCTCAGGTATTTAACATAAGCACCATGCCTAAGCATACTTAGACGTACTAAGAATGGTGCTTTGAGTTAAATGCCGACCTTCATATATTGAAGAAAGGTGTTGGTAATGACTCAGTGTATCTGAATGATCCAAAACTATGAGTGCAGAAAACTAGTGTGTGTGAGTGAAGCAGAGGGACAGGGTGAGCACTGAGAGTGGAGTTAACACTGAGCAGCATAAACCAGCTAATGATTGACCGGATAAATAGTGTGCAAGTCCATCTTATTATATGAAATTTATAAGCCTGAGTGTCTCTGTCTAATGAATGAAAATCCATGCAAACAGTTCATATAAAAGCAGAGCCAAGTTGATGTCATATTTGGTGCTAATGTAGGTCAAAGCTCAAAGATTAAGGAACTGCCCTGCTGTCAAATGATCAAATCAAAGCAGTTTTCTTTGTGTGTTAGAATATATTTATATATATAGCCATTAAAATGATTAACATAAGGTTGATATATAGAAATAGCCCTGAAGATATTTGACATTGATTCAGAATTGACTCATTTCTAACCATAGAGCAAACCTTACAGGAAGCAGGGAAATTAGATATTTCAGTCGTTTCAATAATTGAGGCACTCAAGTATTTATACGGCCTTGCTTTTATTACAAATCCCATTTTAAGAAATGATTTATTAAAGACTCTCCGACGAGCTTTCTGAGCTTTAGTCTGGGTCTGATGTCCTGCAAGTGGAGATGTGGTGATGAGATAGTTCGGTTGTCGTCACGTGACCAAAGCTTAAACTTGGGTGTCTTGATTTATCAGAGCAAACTCCCTGCTCTGATAAAAACAGGACCCCAGAAACGACCATGTAACAACGCCGTGACTCAGTGTTCATGCAGGAAATCACAGACTGGATTTTGTGAGTAATGTGCTCTGGTTTCTTTCTGTTTCTCTGTTCTGCAGACGGGCACATCTACGGCTGTGTCTAGAGCGCTTGAAATCCCTCGTTCCCTTGGGACCAGATGCAAACAGGCACACCACCCTCAGCCTGCTGATGAAGGCCAAAGATCATATCAAGGTGTGTACAAGAGCGATGGTGCGTGTCTGTGTGATTTGACCCCAACCAATCAGTGTGAAGAGGTCAGTGTGCTGAGCGCTGTGGTGGGTTAGCGTGCGTCTTTGAAGACTGAGTGTCCGAGATAAGCCCCGACACACATTAACATTCTCATTCTGTGGTGTTTTTTTTTCTTCCCCCTCCACGTTTCAGAGGTTGGAGGAGAGCGATAGGAAAGCTCAGCACACCTTAGAGCAGCTACAGCGGGAGCAGAGACACCTGAGGAGGCGTCTGGAGCAGCTGGGGGTGGAGAGGACCCGCATGGACAGCACTGGCTCCACCCCGTCGTCTGATAAGTCAGACTCTGATCAAGGTTAGCCTTCAAATCGATACGCACTAATAATACACAGATGATAGTCCATGCATGTTGGAAATAATGCAAAAATAGACATTTCCGCTCGTCAGGGATGTGGAAACCAAATCGTGGCACTATGTAACAGTTTTGTTTACTGCTGATCCCGTTGATCCAACAGAGGACCTCGATGTGGATGTGGAGGGGACAGACTACCTGCTGGGTGACCTGGAGTGGAGCACCAGCAGTGTGAGCGACTCAGGGGACGAGCGAGGCAGCCTGCGCAGCAGCTGTAGCGATGAGGGCTACTCCAGCGCCAGCCTGCTGCGCCTGCAGGACACTCAGGAGATGGCCAAGCAGCTGGCCTGCAGCCTATAGACAGCACCAGTCACTGATCCTACACCGACCCCCCCTCCTCCGCCAATCTCCACCTACATTGTTCCCTCACTGTCCCTCTCAGACCTCACCTCCATCCATCCACCCCTCCCTTCCTTCCTTCCTTTCTCCCCACCAGGACTAAAATCTGAGGCCTCTCCTCCAGCCAGTGTCCTGCAGACTTCCTGTCCCCACATTGACTTCCATTCAGACTGCAGCTCCTCTGAGACGGCCGCACACATCCAGCACATCATCAGCGGTTAGTCCATAGGGTGTCACCGGCTCTGCACCAGTTAAACGAGGATTTTAAAGACACTCCACCCCCCCTCCGTCCCTCCCTCCGTCCTTCAGAAACACAACTTTCAGCCAGAGAATGTTACCACACAATATCCCACTGCCTCTTTTTCTATGCCTCAAGAGCCATGGGAAGCACTTATGAGATTTCACCCTTTTCATACATACTTCTTTACACACACAAGCATACACATACAAACACACACACCTCCATCGCTCCTAGTTGTCCTAGTGAGACAGAGTCCTCCCAAAGGTGTGACACTGACGTGACGCGGGGCCTTTTTCGGCCCCGCTCACCTTCTGTGCATGATCTTTTGCACTTAAGATTGCTTTTATTAAACAGTTGCTGTCTCTTACTACCGAGCGCCCCCGCCCCCCCCCTCCACAGCTGTTGCTGCGAGATGAAGCGAATGTCCGAGAACACGTCAGTCGTCTGCAGAGTTTGTGTGACGTCACACTGTCAGGGCCGACAGCAATATATCCTTTAGTACCAAGGCTTTGGCGGGCAGACTCGTAACTACCCTGTCATTTTCTGTCCACACCTGCCATTCAGAGGAAAAGTAACACAAAAACAAAACAAAACAACAAAAAAATTGTGCAGCATGAGATTGTGTATGGGCCGGGGATACGGGAGGGTTTCGCGGGTGGGTTCGATGTTTTTTCTGCCTCTCTCTGATGACGGTGGCGTTTTTGCAGCATCCTTTTTTCATGATGTGTGTATGACTGGTACAACAGGGGTCACTAGCAGGTTTGGAAATGTTGAACACCAGCCACCAAGCCGAATGCTGGTATATTTAGGCAGGTGCTGGTACATTTTTGTACACTAATTCTTCACTGCCCCCTTTCACCAGGTATTAATAGCGAGGGAAGAGCCAATCTACCGAGAGCAGTCGAGAGACTGGAGCACATTCCATAATGTAGAGAGGACAGGCAGGTGAGACTGAGAGAGCATTATTTTTCGAGAGTGGATGTTCCTGCCAATTATTTATGAAGGGAGAGTTCAGCTGGAGACGAGCCGAGTCACCCTAAAAAAGAACGACTGGCTTTAACTTTTCAGTGGGAACATGCGAGAAACTTTCTCTCTGTTTTCATGTGAGGAGCACTAAAACGTTTAAGAAAACCACAGATTCTCTCTTTGCCTTGACTTCATAGCTATTTATTGTTTCTGCAGAAATGTACACCTTTAAATGTAAATAGTTAACAGAAAGATCTCTATGTCTATCAACAAATGTATTTATTAGATATACTAAATATATAGATAAATATATATAGATCTATTTAATTAGTCATAGCTTACGTTCTTCTTCTTGTGAGGTTTATTGAGAGTTCCTATGTGTAGTTTGTTTGCACAGCCTAGTCAATCTATAGAATATTTAGAAACGTCTTTTGTGCCTCGAGGCTTTTGTGTCTGTTCAGATTTCGGCACGGTGCTCCTGGAAATGAAACATATTCTTTGTGATCTTAATAAATTTAGTTGTTTTTCAAAACCATTTGGCCCTGTAACGGGAATAAAAGGACAAAAAAATCTGAATAAATGATCAAAATATGAATTAAAAAGTATAAAAAAGAGAGGAGCTGTTGGTTGATGTGGGTGCGGCGATGATATTTCTGGCAAACCTGAGCTGCGTTTTCACCGAAACGTCTCCTTGAACGAAATGGCTGCTCAGGTCTTTTTGTGCTCGGCCAGAAAGAGGACTGCAGCTTATTTTCTTTTTAACGTAGACTTCCCAAAGCCTGCAGTGTGGCAGCGCAATGCCAAAAGAAACCTCCCCGCTCCTGCATCCACCACCTGCAAATCTCAGTTACAGCATGAAAAAGAATCAGAAATCTAGTTAAAGGATTGTTTAGTCTTTTGAGTGTGTAATGCAGCTTTTTTTTTGTCAAATTGAAACCTTTTCAGACAGAGAGGAACTGTGTAGCCGCGTTGTAAGGGGAACTACAGGGGAAATGTCTTTAAATTAGGTGTGAGAGGGCAGGTGTGTTCACTGAAATGCCATCTGTCGGCGTGTGTGAGTAAACAGAATACGAGTGTGTGTGTGTGTGTTTATTTCGTCACTGTCTTCAGAGAGATTTTTTCGGGGAGGTAGTGGGTGGGCGGTGGTTTTAAAAAATTGTAAGGCTATGTTTCTGTTTTATTTGTTTACTAGTAAAATGCAAAAAAGTCCACTCGACAAAGTTGTCATGTATTAACCTAAGCATTAATGTCTGTCGACGGGAGCCTTCTCCTTTTTCCATCCATGGCCTGATGTCCGTCTTCCACCAATTCAATACAAACGTGTGTGTGTAAGTGTGCGAGTGTGTGTGTGTGAGTGCGACTCCCTCCTCCACATGCTGCGTTGGCATCTGTGGCTGGGCGGCGTATGTGTCAATGATGCAACTATTGCTCCTCATCTCCGTCCCTCCTCCTACTCCCACCCTCTTCTTCAAAGACCCTGGTGCTCTCAGCATCTGCCTTAAGAAGCAGGTGTGGAATCTCTCAAAGAACAAGACTACAGTCAGACCAGTTGTTTAAGCTACAGGTTTCAGCATCAGGGGAAAAAAAGTCATCTTCTCGTGTGTATTTGGTTTTTGCACATTTTATCCCTGTATACAAAGTGGCTAATAATGCCTTAAAACAGTCACAGACGTACAACCCAACAGAAAGGGGTATATGATATGTATGAGTGTATATGATATATCGACATGTAACACAAAGGCCATTCCTTTCCATCGTGACAGTCTCAGGCGTGGTGCTTTTCATGAATTACACAATAAACACACAGACACACCGCGTCATAGCTCCATGAAACATCGCTGTCGCCTGCCGCCTTTCTCCACCGAAAGGTTCAACAATGTCTGTTTATTGAACAATAACTTAAAGGAGGGCGTTTTGTGCACTTACTTTTTAAGAATTGGAGAATTTGGACACTGTCTTCTAAAGAAAAAAAAAAGAAAAATCACTTCAAATGTTGGAAATAAACCCTTTGAAAATGAAATGTGGAGCAGCAATTTATATTTGCCATTGATATTAAAAGAATAAAACATTTGAAACCCTTGTTTACCTACCTATCACCTCGTCTTTGTCTTTATTTTTGGAGCCAGACAAATGAACAGCGACTGCTTTAACCATGTTCAGCAGCCCACCAGTTCTCCCCACAATGAGTAATCTTCATGTAGAGGTTGAATAGACAGTAATGAGGAGGTTTTTTTTCGCACAGCAGATGAAAGAAAGCCTCCACAGGGGCTCGATCCTCGCCAGCCATCCTGTGTGTGTGTCAGAGTAATCTGCTGGCCAAATCCCAGGTTTGTAGGATAATGGCCATCTGACTGCTGCTTAATAATCAACACAAACAAAGCGTGAAGAAGATGAAGAGAGAGAGAGGGGATGAGCGTCTTGAAAAGGATCCTACATCCTTTTGGAGGCCGTCTGGCTGCTTGAGGGGGAGGGGAGTCTCAGGAAAAAGGCGTTTTTTCCCACCATGAGAAGCTCTGAAACACCCTGTTTGCTCCATACAGAGCAGAATCTTGGATGCAGAATCACACCTGAGAACCCAAGTCCAACAGGTGAATGCAAAACAAAACCTCACATAGTCTTGAGTCGATTTAAATCAACATGATCCCCATTTTTACCAAATGCACCAAGATAGCAAATACATGATGAGGAGACAGCTTTTTACTCGACTCTTAAGTGTTAAATTAAAGAGTATATTTTGGCTAATGTCTTATTTTCATACAGAAGTGGGTCCTGACTCATGGAGGCCACCATCTTGCACTGGCATGATTTATACTGCAGCACAAAATGGACAAACATTTGCATTCTTGAGAGAAGCTGTGCAAAAAAACACGAACTAAGACACACAGAAGAAGAAGAAAAGGCAATGATAGATTCAGCTAAATATTCCCATCACTGTACTTTTGATTTATCTTTTTAAATGCACCATAAATCTGCTCGTATGTGGTATAAACTCTGGCACATTTAGACCACAAGGCCAGCACATAAGCCGGAAACTTAAAGGGATATTCCATCAATTAATCAGGGCTGGCCAGTGTTGTCCAATGTAAGAATTAGAATTACGCAAAAAAGTTATGATAAAAGCTGTGTTTGAATTCCTTATATTCAACACATACCAGTCTATGTATTTCAGCTGCTATATCACTGTAAACACATCTGTTCAGCCAGCTGAGGCGACTAAATTGCGTCTATTTTCCTTTGTGTGTAGCACTTTGTTATGCTGTTGTTGCTTGTTTAGTTTTATATAGTTTGAAGTTGTTTTTGAACAACAAATGATAGTACTGTTACTGTTAGAACAACAGATTTGGCGGTCCCACTCAGCTACACCTCAGAGACACAGAGAACAGTGTTGAGTATTGTGTAGTAAAAGCCTGTTCACACCTTTGGATAAATATGAAGTGGAAAACTGGCGATGCTGCCCAAGAGAACTTAATCAGCTCTATAATACATGTAACAATGATGTCAAGATGGTAAAAGGAGGACAGCAGAAATGATCAGTATGTAAGGGACATCAACCAAAGTAAAGAAAACCACAAACAACAACACAGTAAGGGGGAAAAAAAATACCAACGAAAAAGTCACGTAGAAGAAGACCTTCATGACTGGGAGTTAAAGTTCTGTCTTGATCCACTTACGCAAGAACCTGTGTGTGTAGTATTTTAATTAAAGGTCATGAATCTGCAAGCCAACATTTGATTTATCAGTCACTCTTCCAAGTTACGCAGCAGCTTTTCCTGGTAGTAACTGGGTGTAAATATTTAGACGATTAGCACTGACTCATGAAAGGAGCACAGCGATGGTTTTAGCTTTGACGGCTGGATGAGTAACACTTTGACTTGACCAAACAGGTCTTAAGGAGGCCTAAACACTACAACTAAAACTGATATGAGAGCGGCACTGTGTCTTCCACAGTCTGGTTCCTGTGAAATTGTTAACCATCAGTGACGGGAGTGTTCTGCTTCAGATTATCTGTTGTACAATGGTCATGAAAACTGGTATGGTGTTCAGTGGGGGAGGTTACAGCAAGGTCAAGGCCGTCAGAAGAAAGGCTGAAGAGAGACGCAGTATAATGGAGCGGACGTGTGTGTGTGTGTGTGTGTGTGTGTGTGATGTCCTCAAAACCACTGTGACTTGTCTGTCCACGAGAAGACACACCTTTGGCTTAATCTGCACATGAAACACGACACGGCCACCGCAATGCAGCTCAGGCTGAGCCAAGCACAACATGCTCCAGCTGAGTGTATTGACATAACCTACCTGCTGGTGTGTGTATAGAAATGTTGTTGACAGAGTTGTGTAAGACAGTGTGTGTGTGTGTGTGTGTGTGTGTGTAGGTGTGTGTGTTACAGGCCTACTGACCCACCTCTCCCAGCCTTGCTCGTCTGATTAGACAAATCCAGCAGCTTATCCAGGACCGGCCCTCACACCAGTCTACTTTGACCTTTGCCTCTGACCCTGCGCTGAGCAATTATGCACGTACACACCCAGATGTATGCAAACTGAGACGAGCAGAAACCTAATGCAGGGAACACACCCCCATGACATACAGGGAGCATACAGGTAACACACCCCCATGTCACACACTCACACACGTACACACCAAAATGACACAATCAAACAACAAACGGCGTGTGCCATGGAAACACACAACAGCACTAAGCCCAAGGGAACAATTGAGTTTGTTCAGGGCAATTCAATTACTTGAAGGCCTCACGCAACCACAGAGACCCCGCCTACTTCACAATCACCAGCTGAGTTGGAATGACTGGAGGGAATTGGGAGTCAGATCACAAACACGTTAATGATCATCACAGACAAGTTTTTCATACTCTACACTGTGATCTGGTTTTATCGTTTTAGTCCTAGATCCAGTGTTTCCTCGTTTATTTTAACTCAAGAAAGCGTTTCCTCAGTCATCTGTGGCAAGTTGAAGAGTGTGAGTGCTGTATGTGTTGAATGGGGGTTGTAAGGGTGGCTGGGGTATGGTATTTGCATTTCTATTTATTTTATTTGATAATTTTTAATATCCTGCTTGAATGGACGGCACTTTGCGCTACATTATATGTATGAGAAGTGTTTTAAAAATAATGTTTGGAGTTTGATTGATCTCTTGATAAGTGGCTGGTTTTGTAAATTTTTCGCTTTTTGGGATGTACAAGAAAAGTAATGTCTTATTTTTAACGTATCTTAATCTATTTTCACTTTTCAGTCATTTCTATGAATCAATTACTTGATCCTGATCAGTCAAAAACCCTAAATTAATTCTGAATAGAAAAAAAGGGGGTCAATGGGGACCTCCTGATAGACCTATGTTACATCAACCTGCTGAGTGGAGCGGACTACTGTTAATGATTGAGCTTCCTCCTCTTTAAAAAGCCAATAGTCACAGTACAGAGGATCATTTTAACATCAGGATACATTTATTTGGTGATTAAAGGCCGACTAGTCCAGCATAGAAAACCAAGAAGTGGAAAACCGTGCAAATTAGCAAGGGATGCTGAACAGCAATGTAATAGACACGTCCACAAATATGAAGAAAACAGACAGTAAAGCAACGACAAACCACCACAGGGTTGTCTGAAGGGCTTTGATAGTGTCATGAAGAAGAAAGAAAACACCTAAAGTCTTCAAAAATGTGGGGAAAGTGGACCTCAACAAGGTGCTGCTGTTTGTCAGAGATGCTAACAGAAAAATGCTAATGCTGAGACTTGACTGTGAATTGAAGCTTCAGCTGTACTCCGATTTATAAGAGTGAGGCAGGAGATGGTTTAGATTTGACCGTGAAAGGAAATGTTAGGTTAATACAACTCTGAAGACCTTCAAACTGGGACCACTTGATCAAAATGATGAATTTGTACAGCTGGGTTTTAAGAGTTTCTGGAGTTTCCATGGCAACAGGATCACAACTACTTACATATTAGTATCTGGTCACTTTCTTGACTTCATGGCATGTTTTTAGTTTTTTTTTGTGCAGGTAATTGAAGACAAAAAACTATTAGCCTTTAACTCTAACAGTGTTTGAAGCTTGTCAGTTTGTTTGATCAAGGATGGAGAGTTTAAAGGTCTACATACTAAGAGAGAGTCTTTCTGTGAAGGGCTGGGTTGACCACCTGAAACCAGACCAGTCACTCTAAGTCATTGTTTTTTACAGTTCACTTGGAACAGCTCCCTCTGACTTGATTACATGTATAAGAAAAAAAAGCAAACACAGACTGACAGAGTAAGCAACAAGCTGGTGAACATAGTCAAGTATTCATCATTCAGATAGTCCTGTGTTTCCACCAGGAGCAGGTTCAGACCAAAACTTTGGTCACAGGTGGACTCTAGACTCGATGGTTTAATATCAAAACTGAACTAAAGCCATAAATGAATGCTAATGATGCTCTGTGGTGTTGTGTTTAGAGGTTGTTCTGCTGCCCCCAAGAGGCCAAGAATTTAATGCAGTTCATAACCCTGTATGTAAAAAAAAGTCATTTTACAATTTTCTGTGCCAAAAATAACTGATGCGAGCTAAACATTTAGCAAAACCAGAGCTACTCTACATATAGAACTTTTATTTTCCTAAAAAAGTGAAACACAACTCTATTTTACACATATGCATATATATGTATGCATATTTTTACACATATATTTACATATATTTTAAAATATGTAATCATATCATTATAAGTTTGTTAAATAGTAAATTTTTACAGTCCTTCAATCATTTTTTGTAGGCAAGAAGACACAAGGCAAATACAGGTTAAAAAAAGGACAACACCATTTGGAAATATTTATTATACGGCGGTGCAAAGAGTCCTGGAGGGAAATTACCTTGAAATTAATCGTGATAGCCTGGATCTTGCAACCCCTAGCATTTGAGCTCAGATGCTTGTTCTACCATTCAGAATGCATCAGTTATGGTAAATTGCATTGCATGCACATACAAACTCAACCTCTGTTACACGTCAAACTGTGTGCTGTGTGAATATAGCTGTAAGCAAGCATAAATACCTCCCAGTAAGGTTTAGAGAGAAACATGTTTGTTTCACTCAGGGTCTTTCACTCAAAGGTCTGC